TAAATAATTATAAAGTTATTATAAAAGTTTTATATAATAAATTTAATTAAATTAATTTTTAAAAATATATTATATTTTTAATTTTAATTATATTATATTTTTATATTATATAATTATTTTTAATTTAATTAATTTTTTTAATAATTTAAAATTTATATATAAAGTTTTAATAACTTTATATATATTTTATAATTATTTTAAAAAATTTAAATTTATTTTTATTTTATTATATTTTTATATTATTAAAAATTAATAATTATTAATAATAAAATATAAATTTAAAAATAAATTTATTATAATTTTTTATTTTTTTATAAATTATTTTAAAATTTTTTAAAAGTTTTAATATTTTATTATAAAAATTTTAAAATAATATATTATAAATTATTTTTTATTTTAAATTTTTAAAATTAATAATTATATATTTAAATAAAATATAATATTAATTTATTTAATAAAAATTTTATTATAATATATATATATATATATTTAAAAATAATTTTTAATTAAATTTTTTTAATATAATTTATTTATATAATAATTATTTTTAAATTTAATTTTATTATATAACTTTTTTTATATTAATTAATATTATTATTAAAATAATACTTTTAATTTTATTTATATATTATAAAGTTAAAATTATTAATATTTTTAATATTAAATTTTAAATTTTTATTATTATATAAAATATTATATATATTTTTAAATATATAAAATAAAAATAAAATTATATATATTATATAACTTTTAAATATAAAATTAAAAATTTATAATTATAAAATTTTAATTAATTTTTATTTAATTATTTTATTATATTATAATTTAATTTAATTTTTAATTTAATTTAAACTTTTTTAAATTTTTTAATTTTATTTTTTTAAAAGTTAAAATTTTATATTTTTAATTTTAAGTTTAAAATTTTTATAAATTTTAATATATTTTAAATTAAATTTATATTTTTAATTTTTTAAAAATATATTAATTATTTTAAATATTAATAATTTTTAAAATAAAAATTTATTTTTATATAATTATAAATTTAATTATTAATAATTATTTTTTTATAAAGTTATTAAAATTATAAATTTAAATAATAAAATATAATTATTTTATTTAAAAGTTATTTTAATTTTAATAAATTAAAATATAATAAGTTAAATAACTATTTTAAATAGTTTTATTTATAAAGTTAATAAATAAATATTTACTTATAAAATAAAGTTAAAACTTTTAAGAAAATAATAATTTTATTTTTATTTATTTTAATTAATTTATTTAAATTATATAATAAATTTAATATTTATATATAATATTTATTAATATTAAATTAATTTATAATTTATAATAGTTTTAATTTTTAATAAATTAATAATATTAGTTTAAATTAATTAAATATAATTTAATATATTAATATAAAAATATTTTTAATAATAAATAATATTATAAATAATTATAAAGTTATTATAAAAATTTTATATAATAAATTTAATTAAATTAATTTTTAAAAATATATTATATTTTATTTTTAAAACTTTAATTATTTATTTTAATTTAATAATAAAATTAAAAATATAAATAATTTTATATATATTATATAAATTAATATTTATTTATTTAATTTTTATAATTATTTATTTAATATTTTTATAAATTTATTTAATATATATTTTTAAATATATAGTTTATATAAAATTATATATTTAATTAAAACTTTTAAATTTAATATTTTAAATATAAACTTTTTAAACTTTTTTAATATACTTTTAATATACTTTTAATATACTTTTAATATATTTTAATATATTTTTAAAACTTTAAATTATATATATTTAAATATTAATTAAATATTTAAATATTAATTAAATATTAAAGAATTAAAAGTTTAAAGTATTAAAAGTTTAAAAAATATTAAAAATTAAAAAATATAATTTTTATTTTATTTTTAACTTTTAATTTTTAATATTTAATTAATATTTAAATATATATAATTTAAAAGTTTAAAAAATAAAAATAAAAAGTTTTTAAAAATAAAAATAAAGGGTTTTAAAGGTATATTAAAAGGTATATTAAAAGAGTTTATATTTAAAATATTAAAAATTAAAAAAGAAAGTTATATTATAAAATCTTTTTATTAACTTAAAAGTATTTATAAATATAAAAGTTATTAAAAAAATAAATATTAAATAAATTTAAAGAAATTATTAAATAAATAATTATAAAAGTTAAGTAAATAAATATTAATTTATATTATATTATATTTTTAAAATTATAATTATTTACTTTTAATTTAATAATAAAATTAAAAATATATATAAATAATTTATAATTTATATAATTTAATTTAATAAATAATTATATTTATAAAAAATAATATTATTTAATTTTATTATAATATATTAAATAAAAATATTATAAAACTTTTTTATTTATTATTAATATAATTAAACATAAAAAAATAGAATTTTATTTTATATATTAAAATACTTTTATTAAATTAATTTTTAAATTAATTATTTATATTATTAATAAATTAATTTATAAAAATATTAAAAAATTAATATAATTTTATTAATTCTTTTTAAATATAAAGTTAAAAACTTATAATTATAAAATTTTAATTAATTTAATTAATTATTTTATTATATTATAATTTAATTTAATTTTTAATTTAATTTAAATTCTTTTAAGTTTTTAACTTTATTATTTTTAAAAAAGTTAAAACTTTATATTTTTAATTTTAAATTTAAAGTTTTATAAATTTTAATATATTTTAAATTAAATTTATATTTTTAATTTTTTAAAAATATATTAATTATTTTAAATATTAATAACTTTTTTAAAAATAAAGGTTTATTTTAATATAATTATAAATTTAATTATTAATAATTATTTTTTATTTATAATAAAACTATTAAAATTATAAATTTAAAATAATAATAAAATATAATTATTTTATTTAAAAGTTATATTTTAATTTAATAAAATATAATAAATTAAATAATTATTTTTAAGTAATTTTATTTATAAAATTAATAAATAAATATTTATTTAAATAAAATTAAGATTTTAATTAAAAAATAATAGCTTTATTTTTATTTATTTTAATTAACTTATATTTATTTAAGTTATATAATAAATTTAATATTTATATATAATATTTATTAATATTAAATTAATTTATAATTTATAATAATTTTAATTTAATAAATTAATTTATATTAAAGTTAATATTAATAACTTAAATTAATATAACTTAATATATTAATATAAAAATATTTCTTAATAATAAATAATATTATAAATATATATTATAAAGTTATTATAAAAAGTTTTATATAATAAATTTAATTAAATTAATTTTTAAAAATATATTATATTTTATTTTTAAAATTATAATTATTTACTTTTAATTTAATAATAAAATTAAAAAATATAAATAATTTATAATTTTATTAATAAAATATTTATTTTTAAAACTTTTTTATTTAATTATTTAAATTTTAAAAATAAATAAAGTTAATATTCTTTATTTTTTTATTTATTTTAAATTTTTAATAATTAATTAAAGGAAATATTTAAAATAAATAGTTTTTTATATTTTAATTAATAAATAAAAATTATTTTTATTTAAAAATATTTAAAATTATATTATTAATTAACTATAAAGTTTTAATAATAATTTATTATATAAAAATAAAAAATATTTATTTAACTTTATTAAAAATAATTTAAAAGTATTTACTATTTTTTATTAAAAATAATTTAAAATTATTTACTATTTTTTATTATATTAAATTTAAATTTAAAGTTTAATTAATATTTTATTTTATATATAATAAGTTTATAAAATAAATTAAAAGGTTTAAAATTAAATTTTTAATATAAAATAAATATTTATAAAAAAGTTAATATATAAACTTATATTTTAACTTAATAATTAATTTAATTAAAAGTATAAATTTAAACTTTTATATTTAAAAGTTTTATTTAATTTTAATTAAACTTTTATTTTAATTATATTATTAAAAAATATTTATAAAGTAATTTAATTAAATTATTAAAAATTATTATTTATAAATTATTATTTATATTATATTATTTAAGATTTTAAGTTTTTATAAATATATAAATTAATTTAAAAGGTATAATTTTATTTTTAAATATTTAAAGTTTTATAAAAGTTTTTAAAAATAATTATAATATAATATTTATATATTATTAAAAATAATTAATAAATAAATTAATTATTATAATCTTTTAATTAAATAATATAAATATATAATTAATAATTATATTTTTATTATAAATAATATATATAAATATAAATATTTTAAAAAATTATTATTTATTATTATTAAATTAATATTATATATTAAAAATAAAGTTATTAAAATTTATTATTATATTTTAAAGTTTATTTTAATAAAATAATATTTATATTTTTAATATATTATAAAATATTTTTATTAATTAAAATTATTAAAAGTTTTAAATACTTATTATTATATAAAGGTATTATATATATCCTAAATATATATAAAATAAAAGTAAAATTATACAATTATTAAAACTATAAGCTAAATACTTATAGAACTAACTAATAGGTTTATATACTCTACTTATCTTATTAACCTAAGTGGCCTCTATATCTTTTATAATATAGGATTATAGCTTTACTACTTCCCTATACTATTCCTTAAGTAACTTAAATTAATAATTCTTTAAATAATTTAAGCCTTCTTTTATTATAGGTTACGAGGACTATTATAAGAATTAAATCTCTTTTAAAGTTATAATATAAAGTTTTATTTTTATAAAAAAGTTACCCTATACTAGCTGAATTTAGCCCTGAACTATCCGTTTTTTACCCTATAAATATCCGTTCTCGTCTTTAATGTAGACTAAAAGCAGTAGCTACGATTATATGCCTAAATTAGAGGTTAACACATGCATCAAACAAGTAATTAACAAAATATAAGCGACTTGGTGTACGAGATGTTGTCAGGGCCATGGGCTGAACGCCCGCAGGACCAACTAGTGGGTCCGTGCACTCTGCTTATCTTATTAGCCCAGGTGGCCTCCATACCTCTCGCAACGCAGGATTACAGCTTCGCTACCTCCCCCATACTATTCCTTAGGCAACTCTAGTTTTGAATCAACAATTCTTCGCAGACAATTTGAGCCTTCTTTTGCCATAGGTCGCGAGGACCGTCTCAGATGTCATCAATTTAATCCACCACTGGAGACAAATGGTCCAATTAAGATAGATAGTGTTTCGATTCGGTCTTGTACACCCAATCAGTCCGCCTCCTCCAGAGCATATATTCATACATACATACATCTCTTTCTTCCTTCCTTCCTTTCTTCCTCCCTCACAACTAAAAAATTATACTACTATAAAGACACAGAATCGAAGATGTAGCAGTGTGGTTGTATGGGTATGCGACGTAAACTCGGGGTAAAGAAAATAAGCCAAGCCAACCAGGTTAAGTGCTAGCTGGTGGGTGAAAGAAGAAGATTGAAACGTGTTTAGAAGAAAAAGCGGCTGCCCTGAGGTAGGACAAGAATATTAGAGTGCCCTTTCCCGAGAAAAGAAGTGAGAATCCATCGAGCAAATCCGACCCAAACGCCGATTCATGATAGCCGTAAAGGACGCCCATCCCAGCAGTGATAGCTGAGGTGCAACTAGGGTATGGCGATGAGGAACTGGGTGCGATTGAGCCGTTCCCACCCGCCTACGAATCCAGCCTCTTCCTCCAGTCAGCCAGGCTCTGATTCATGCCCAGACCATTACCAACTTCGGGCGCTTCCTTCTCTTTGTCGCCAGCCACCGCACTTGGCCCTGTCGAAGAGACGGTAGGCCCAGACGTGGGCATCTCAAAGTCGAACGTGTTGCTCAGGCGATAATTCTTGTTCGTCGCCTCCCAGTGACTTCGCAATGTCTCCAGCTCGTTGGCTAGGTTGTCCAGCGCGGCACTGTTGCGGGCGTCGCCCATGGTCTCGCCCATGGTCTCGTATACCGACGTTGAGTCGGAACTCCCTGCTCGGGTGTGCCCTGCCCCGTTTGTGGTCGAGCTGGTGGCAGAAGGGGCCTTTTGTAGGGCTGGCGCGATCTGTTCAGCAGAAGCGATGCTGGGTACTTGGCGGCTCTGCCGGCGGTAGTTGCCCACAGAGGTCTCGACTTGATCCAACAGCATAGAGACCTTGGTCTCTGCGTCGTGAGCTCGTTGCTCGAGTAGTGCGTTCTCCTGTTGCAACTGCTCCAGATCCTTGCGGTTGGCCATTAGGCGGGCGTTGGCCTCCTCACTGTTCTTGGACGCCTCTTCTTGCGCCTGCCGGGTCTCGGCCAACTGCTGCTGCACGTGTTGCAGCTGCTCTTCGAGCTGCTCCTGTGAGGTTCGTATCTCTTCCTGAAGCGCTTCGACCTGCCTCTGCAATTGCCTACGCTCCGACTCCCAGTCTGCTGGCGCATCGCCTGAAGGAGTGCCCTTCTCTTCCAAATCGGCCAATTCTTCCTTTAGCCGAGAGTTCTCCGTCTTGTATCTCGCCAGCTGCTCCTTGAGCTGTTTGAGCATCTTTTCGGTTCCCTTCACATAGTGCACGGCAGATTGGTAGTCGTTCTCAAGCTGCGTCAGTTTCTCTCGATAAGCGACCTCTGACCCTTGGGCCTGCGACGACATCGTCTGCTTCGTCTCCTCGTGGGCTGCCATAGATGCAGCCAGTTGCTTTTCCAGCTCGCGCAGCCGGGAGAGTTCCGGGGAGCCCTCGCGGGGGCTCGCCATCGATCGCGTGCGGCCAGCGCTCGTCGGGCTGATTCCCCTCTCCACAAGTATGTCCTTGAGCGTGTTGTGCTGAACAGTGATGGCATTAGCCTCGAGCTGTTGGCCAGCAAGCTGGTGCTTAAGGTCTGAGTTTGCAGCCTGCAGAGACTGTGTCTCACGAAGGGCAGCTTGCAGCTGTCTCCGGATAGTCACACCTTCCCTGCTGGCCTGCTCTTGGTATGCTTCCAGCCCAGCAATCCGCTCTTCTGCAGCTCGCAATCTATCCGACGCAGTGTCTGCCTCCTGCTGGTACCTCTTGACCAGGGCATTAGCGGCGTCCAGCTGGCCCTGCAGCGCCGCCGAGCGGTCCTGCTCTGATTTGTTTGAAGCCGAGACGTCCCTCGCAGAGATCTTGTCGAGGCCAGACAGGAGGGCCTGGCGATGTGTTCGTGCCTCATTCGCATGCCGCTCGGCAATCTCCTCCGCGTCCCTCAGGCGCTGCGTGGCCGCAACGAGCTCACCAGTCCGGGCCTCATGCTCAGCCTTTAATTTTGTCAGCTTGTTCTCGACCTTTTCCCGCAGCGCCCTCTCTTCGTCGAGTTTCGCTTCCAGTACGGCCTTGGTCTCCGCCGAGGCAGCGATAGCATCCCGCAGAGATTCCATTGTCTCGCTGTGGTCCCTGGAGCTTCCAACTGCTTCCTGATATTGGCTCTCAAACTTCGCCTTTTCGGCTTGCAGAAGTTGTAGGGCTGCTTGTGACTCGTGCGCGAGGACAGATTGCTCCCGTGCCTCTCGCTGCACTAGGTGCAGTTCGGCCTTGAGTTGCTCAAGCTCGGATGAGCTTTGCTGTTTGTAAGCTTCGAGAGCGGCCATGCGCTTTTCTGCGGCAGTGACGGTATCGTCGGCGATCTTGCGCGCACGCCTCTCTGACTCGACCTCTGAAGACATTCGATCCAGCGCGTTTTGCAACTCCCTTTGCGCGTTGAGCGCAGTGGCAAGCTTCCGGCCCAGTTCGTTGGAGCGTTCGTCTTCGTCACGATCGTTGTCGAGGTGTGGGGAGTTGGCTGCACTGCCCAGATGTCCTGCTAGCTTGGCTTTGGCATGAACTGCCTCCTGAATGGCTGCGTCTCTTTGCTTCTCTGCTTCTGCGATGTGCTTGGCGGCGAGCACAGCTTGTTTGTCCAAGGACGCTTGGACATTGGCCACCTCCGTTCGCATAGTCAAGAGCGCCTCGATAAGGGGTCTGTCATCCTCGTCAAACGTCTCGGGCGCTCGGCTATCCAATGTTGGGCTCAGGGAAGCGTTCGGGGTGTATCCAGCCTTCCGTGCGAGCTCGAGCTCCGATGCGTACCACGCATTCCGGTTGCGTGCTGCATCAAGCTCTTTCAGGATAGCCACGGTTTGGGAGTTCCGCATGGACGACCTCCGTGACATAGGGTTGCTGGCCTGCCGCGTCGGCGGCGGGGGTGACGCTGGCCGCATAGGAGTGGGTCCCGCTTCAGGCTTTGCGGCGGAGGCTGTAGCAGGTGCAGTAGGCCTTGAGGCGGGCGAAGCCACCATGTTTTTCAGGCTGGGCTCCGTTGTGCTATCGACAGAGCCTTGGCCGCGCTGGCGTGCACCACGCGTAGCCTTCGGTGTTTCTGCAGGCGCAGTGTCACTTCCCGAACCCGCTTTGGTCGTCTGAGCCGTCGGCGTCCGGCGTCCATTGACGATTGGACTCTCCAAGTCCTTCTGTTGCGAGACCGGGGACTGATTCTGCCCGTTCGAGCCTGGTGCGGCTCCTGTCAGCTCGTTCCTCTCCAAAGATGCATTCCTGCCCTGTCTCGGACCCGCCCCAGTGTTGACGGTTGGCCTTGGTGGCTGGCCCTGCGGCGGGGGTCCGCTCGGTGGTAAGGTGACCGGCGGTGGCCCCCTTGGGCCTCGGGAGCCCTGCCCCGCCTGGCCGTTGATGGGGACCCCCTCCGGAGTGCCCATGCCCCTGGGACTGCTGAGACCGGCGTTTTCCTTGGATGCGCCCATCAGTCTGCCCTGCCCTGGTGGCCCTTGGGACCCGTCACGAGAGGGCAAGCGGCCGTAAGACGAAGGAGACTCGGCCATGCTTGGCCGTCGTTGCCCGGGGGCCCTCTGTGACTGCGACTGGATTTGTGAGTCGCTAGGGTAGCGAATCTTGGTCGTATCCAGCAAGTAAATGAGAGAAAGGTCATTAACTGGAGGTGCGGCTTGGCTCGGCTCGCCACCAACAACAGCCACGGTCTTCCCAACAGTAGTCATGGAATGGCCAGATCGGGGCGACGGGGACGGACCCATGTTCTGGAAGGTGTACCACCGGCGAGAGCTGATTCGGAAGGCGGCCAAGTCACCCAGGTCAGCTCCCTCTTCAGTCCGACCGCCGAAGATGTACATCACGTCGTCGACCAAGGCAGCCGCGTGTCCCTCCCGGGGTACAGGGATGTACCCTATGCAGTCCAATTGTGACCACGAGTTGGGCGCGGGGTCGTAGACCCAGACATCATTAAACCATTGGAAGCCATTCGTACCACCGAAGCTGCTCAGGGTCAGAGAAGGCGCCGTGAGTGTGGAGGCGCGATGACTTACAGGTACATCTTATCGTTGAATGTCACCATGGTGTGATTCGTCCTCGCAGGCGGAATCTTGCCGGGGGGAGGACCGCCGCTGTCGCTGTTCAAAATAAGCAGTTCCCATCGGTTGTTAGCCATTTGCAGCTGATTCAAGTCAAAAGCCGCCAGGTCATTCATGAAAATGCCCTCGACTTGACCTCCGAATATGTATATCTTTGAGCCTAGTATATTTAGGGTATGGCCGTAACGGCCAGACGGCCGCGGACCGGCGGGTAAAGATCGCGACCACTGTCGTGTGGCTGGGTTGTTTTGTCAGTATTCAGAACCTTCCGCCCGCAAAACCAGGGGGTGGGACAAGATGTGCAACATACAAGTGTTCAAGAGATACAATGTCTCGTCCAGAGAGTCATTCTCCTCGATCTTAGTATCGCCTCCGTAGACAATGAAGGCGTTGCCAACAAGCAGACTGGCATGTCCAACCCTTGGCCCGGGGCCTTCGGCCGTCGTGGCGAGCGGGTAGCACGACAGACTGCCGCCGGCCTCGATCATCCACAAATCGCCTTTGACGGTGGAACTGTTGATCAAGCCCCCCATCACATACATGTCGCCCTCTTTTGACGACATAGCGTTGGCAGCTGCGCCATAGCGGGGAAAGGGTCCGGGGTGAGACGAGGTGAAGTTGAGCTTCCGCTGCGACCATGGGTATAACGAGGAATTCGGGTTTGGTGGGGAGGGGCCGTTGCGAAACTGTTGCACCTGAGTTAGCCCCTGGGAACAAATTTGGGAAACGCTGCGGCGGGGGGCTCGCGACCAGGCGGGAGGGTGTCGCTGCCGCTTACCTGTTGCTGGGTGTCAGGCGGCGCCTGGGCAGGCGGATCACCAGTTTGTGCCCTGCGTGGCGGGCCAGGGTTGAAGCCCTGGTCCGGGCTCGCATTGCTGGCATCGTTGTCGATCGAATTCAGGCTGCCGGTGGGTGTCGACCTGTGGGTTGGGCCCTTGTCCTCCCTGACAACGCGGGACCGAGCATCGGGGCTCTGCACCGACCCTTGGGAACTGTTTGGGCCATCGCGACCTCCTGCCAGTGCCCTCTCCTGGTGTTTCTTTGATTTGAAGAGGAAAGCCATGGCTGGTGTCTACAGCGCGGGCGCAGAATGGACGATGCGACTTGAGCCGGAATGGCCAGGGCCGGGTCGATGGCAGGGTGCAGCCCGTAGGCTCGTCGTGGTGATCGCTGAGGCGGCCGAGGGCAAAGGTGGGAGGCTCAGCGCGACTGGATGCAGGGCAGTGTTGGGCGTAGGAGCAGGGGCAGAGCAGGAGCGGGAGCGGCGGCGGGAGCGAGTGCGATGGCGGGAGCAGTCAGTGCGGCGGCGAGAAGGTGACGGCGGAATGCAGGTTGTGTTCGAGGCTGGCGGAGGCTGGGCCTGGGGGAACATTGGTGTGCACAGAAGGAGCCGTTGAAAGTTGGCGGTTGGCGGTTGGCGGTTGGCGGCTGGCGGCTGGCGGCTGGCGTGTGTGTCTCTGATTATTCGGGCTCAACCACCCACTTTAAATTTTGGGGGGAGGCTCCCAGAGGTTTTGGGGACGCCGCCTCGGACTAGACAAGGCGAGGCGGGCAGGAAGACGCAAACGCAAGGGCGCAGGGCCGGCGAGGACCTGTTGCGAGCCCGATCCCAACGGAGCCGAGCTGGGACAACAAGAAGGACAGCAAGGGAAGGAAGGCCAAGAGGAAGGGTGGGATGACTGGAGCAACTAAATCATTAGGATAACGTTCATCATGCTGCGTGCGTGGATGTCGGGTCGAGGGACGATGGGGCACGTTGTCGGTCGGCCGGCCGTGGTGGTTGTGGCAAGGTCAACCGGTGTGAAAGGGGAGCAGCAAGCACAAGTGACAAGCAGCAAGAAGAATAATAATAAGGATCTAATGCGTGCAGCGGAGGCGACGCGGGTTTGGGGCAGACCAGAATGGGGGGAGCAGGGCTAGGGGCGGGCACGGCGGCGGGCCAAAAGAGAAAAGGGTGCCGACCTGGGAAGCCGTGCTTGGGCAGAGCAACCAGCCAGCCCGCCAGCCCGCCAGCCCAGCAGCCCAGCAGCCCAGCTAGGGTACACGGCAGGTACTTGGGTACCCCGTACGGCATGGCAGGCGCATAACAGTGATGCAGGGCTGGCTCGCCCCGTGATGCCTGCAGTATCTGCACGTCCGCCCAAGCTCCCCCAGTGTGCACAACAAGCTGGCCAGATGCTACTCAACCACAGTAGCCGGCCGCACTGAGCAAGATGACAGTACCAGAGTACCAGAGTACCAGAGCAGGCCTCGCCATATCCCCATCTGCCTGGACTGCTGGGCCGGTGGTGGTCGAAAAAACGGGGGTGAGGCGGCCATGCCTTGGCCAATGAGGACGAGGTGTGTCCTCCTCCTGTTCCCTGCTCCTTGTTCCTGGCTCCTTGTGCCCACTGCCCGGTGCGGTGGTGGCAGGGTGGGTCGTGCACCAACCTGAGAAGGGAGGGTCTCTTATGTGGGGAAACGCCAGACCCGGTAGCGAGTGTGTACCTCGAGGAGAGGCAGGCGGTTTTACAGTAGCAGTACTACATACTTGCCGGGAGGGGCAGAGGGGGCACATCGCCTCGCCTCCTTTGACACTTGATGACTTGACACCGTCCTCAGCAGCACTGGCACCACACACCACCCGCACCCGGTGCTAGCGGCTCATCGCTGTCGGCTCTTGTTTCTATAATAAGCCCAACCTGTCAGACAAGGCTGCTTTGATGAGGAAGGAGGGTCGGGCTCTGGGGGCCTCCACGCCCGGCGCGCACAGGACTCAGGACTCGGGTGCGCTGCCACTCCTGCCACTCCTGCCACCCGATCCTTTGCGTGCTCGGGTGGGGTTTGGACCCCAAAAGGCGGTGCGATGCGGTGTAATGAAAACAAGTGGTGGTGATCTTGTTTCACGCCGGCGCACACAGCCTGCTCCTGGTGCGCTCCAGGGACATGTGTGCCCAGGCTGTCTGTCACTGACAGACAGACAGACAGCCTGCCAGCCTTCTGTCTCCAGCTTTCTCTCCAGCTCTCCTTCCAGCCTTCTGGCCGCCCGTGACCACCTCGCCGCGCTGCCCGCTCCGAGACACGCATGCCGATGACGCTATTGGGGACAGGCAAAAGGGGCTCAAGCGTCTACGGAGAGCGAGCGGCGAGCGCAACGTTCAGCCTTGGGAGCCCCTCGGAAATTTTGCTGGTCGGGTATCCGTCAGGGGTGCGCTGCACCGGCGGCCCAACAGACTCCTCCCCGTACCCACTCGCGTCTGTCGTGCCGAAATTCGCTACTCCATCACATCCCATGCTGCCATGGACCTGATAAAAGATCTGGCGCCGCCATAGTGCCCCCGACAACCTGGCCGGCCTGTCTCTGGGCCACCAGTTCGCCTCTGGGCCGGGGGGCGCCGTGCAGATGCTAGCATGCCGACCCCTCAGATGGTGATCTCGGGTTCCGCAATCAGCACACCTGGCCTATAAGTCTGTGCCACAGTCTTGTGTGCAAGATGTATCGTGGTGCCGCCCTCGGAGTCAGGCACCCGCATGATCCCTTGTCAACCACACGGTACGGTCTCCAGCGGGCGATTTGCACTGCTGCTGCTGCTGCTGCTGGCCATCCCACTGCCATCGCCGGTGTTTCGTCCCTGCGCCCTCACGCCGGCATTCCTAGACTGGGACCTGTGTGTTGGAGGGTCTAGCACACCCGCCGCGCGTTTCAGATGTGCCGGGCCGTCGCTGGGTATAACAGGACTAGCATCCGCAAACCCTTTACAGATCGCTTGACAGAACGAAACAGCGGCGATCTGGTTTGCCGACCTCTGTCTACGTGGACAGTGGACCGTCTTCTGCCCCTTCGATGTGTTAGCACGCTGCTGTCTTGTGCAGCGAAGAGAAAACCATCTCTTGGGAAATTCGGGTACACTGGCTGTGGTTCGTCTGGCCTCTGGCCTCAACCGCACGCTACATGAGCGCGACGGATGCCGGCTGACCCTGATGTTGGCCATCGCCATCACTACTATTGTAAAAGCTCCGAGTCTGGTCTATGGTGGGAGTGAGCGTTCGCATGAGCTGTCAATACAAGTCTCATCCCGAGTTTATCGAAAACGACCCATGAGCATGTCAGTAGAAGAAACCCGTGGCCTCTCGGCAGAGACGGGCGCCCAGGAATGAGCCCGATCTATCACGAGGGTGGGGATATCTTGGACTACAATCTCTCTTGCACAGCATATCAATGAAGGTGGTGGCCAAGGTAGGTTTGGGCCGCCTGGTGAAAGAGCACAAGGATACCATGGTGGGACAGGCCGGATTCTCGATCACCCAGATAAGCTTGGCGGAATGCTTCTCGAAGGGCTGCACTGGCAGACTACATAGCACGCCCACGACCTGGGCCCAGATGGCAGCGGCAGCTCCTCTCGTTATCGATACGGCTGGCAGGTCGGCGGTCGGGTCCAACGGTCCAATTTGGGAAACAAGATCTTGGGGACAAGATTTGGGAGCCGACTCATCGTGGCTCTGACTCAGCACTACGATTTCAAGGTTTGAACTTTTGCGCATGGCTGCCGTGGTGCCGAGAAACGGGGCCAGCAGCTGCTTGCCCTTCTCATCATTGGAGATGCAGCTGCTTGTTGCGCCAATGCCGGTTTGCGCAAGGCCGAGTCTGCTCGCCCATTGACTTTGGGGCACTTCGCACTGCCGCCGCGGCCCCCTTGGCGTTTGTGATGGCGTTTATGATGGCGTTGGGATTACCGGGTTCCATCGTCGGCCAGATCTTCCGGGATCTGGCATTCAGAGCACTCGACTGTTTCTCGGTGAAGGTGCAAAGTCCACACGGCATTGGGCTTGGGCTTGAGCAGACCAGGTACCCAGGTACCTGCGTGGTCTGTCGCTAACGGCCGTGGGCCCGCCTGCGGTTAGCTCTACCGTGCCGTGCCTCGCAGCCTCGCAGAAGCACTATCGGGGTCGGGTGCGGCGCGGGGCCCACACTCTCTAGCTGTCTGGGCAAAACTTCCCGTGTGATTCCCAGCCCAAGGTCGACACCTCAGCCAGCCTGCTGCAACCCGTCGTCGTCGTCGCGTGCGGTCATTCAAAAGACCCAGCCGCGCTGCACCCCATCGTCACGGGCCTCGACTGTCTGTCCGATAATTACTTGATAATCCACCGCACCCCACCACCGCACCGCGCCTTGCCGCTCGCTGCCGCTGTGGGCGACACGAGAGGTCTTTGGTACCCCTCCCGAGGATGGTCGACTTGCACCACAGCACGCCTCTCTCATGACCGCGGTCACGACTCAATTCGGCCGACGACACCACACCGCCCACAGGCCTGCTCCCTCCCCGCGCACACAACCCCGATAGCGCCCGAGCTGTGTCTCTCTTGTTTTACACCAGTCCTCACCGTCAACCATCCTGGTTCGTCCTTGCAGAGATTCCGTCATCGACCACCCAAGCCCGGGCAACATGCCTACCGCCGTGCGGACCTCTTCGGGCGCGGGCGTCATCAACCTGGCCGCCGCCCGCCCCGACCCCCAGCCAAAGACCACCACATCGCGCCCGCAGACAGAAAACGGCCACCCCCGCCGCAACTCGACCAGCGATCACAAGCGACCCTCGAGCGCCCCGGGCGACGACAACAACAAGCCCAATGGCGCCCACGTCGCCGACCCCCCGCAGGCCCGAGACAGGCCGAAGAAGCCGCCGCTGATGAGATCCAAGAGCGACCACCCTTCTCGGGGCCTGCACGTAGACACCAGCACCGACTCTTCCAACGATGAGCAGACGGTGGCGGCCGCTGAAGACTTTGGAACCCGCCACGGCTTCGACGGACACTACCAGAGCGAGGACATAATATCCCAGCTTGCTAATGTGGGTGACTTCTCCTACCTCCCCGTGCGGAGCGGTCTCTATGCACGCCCTCCCGTACCTTCCTCCGCCCCAGTGTCCGCCCAGGCGGCAGGCACACGGCCCCAGGCTTGCAGGCTGGCAGAGATGCTGCATCAAAGTCGTGGGGGTCCTCCTTGCTCCATGCGGCTGGAAGACGCCCGGCGTCGCCTCCGAGATGGAGGCTACGGTCAATATGCTTCTTTGTTCCTTGCAAGCTCATGCTAACGCGCCCAAACATTCTCAGGGCTGGTACATGTATTTCACAGACAAGAGGCACGAGACAACCGGGAAACCCAAGGCAGAGCCGTTCCATATCCAGGATTGGCGGATGAGGGATCGCTTGAAGACAGTCTCTGCAGCCCTTGCCGTTTGCCTCAACATCGGTGTTGAGCCACCAGATCAGCTCAAGACGAACCCAGGCGCCAAGTTGGAGGCGTGGCAGGACCCGACAGTTCCGCCAGTCCAGAAGGCCTTGGAAAACATCGGCAAGACACTGCAGGGGCAGTACGAGACGCTCGCCATCAGGACAAGGTACAAGCAATACTTGGATCCATCGGTCGAGGAGACCAAGAAGTTCTGTATCTCCCTCCGTCGAAATGCGAAGGACGAGCGAGTCTTGCTCCACTACAATGGTCACGGTGTGCCCAAGCCCACGGCATCGGGAGAGATATGGGTCTTCAACAAGAATTACACGCAGTACATCCCAGTGTCATTATACGACCTACAGCAGTGGTTATCTGCGCCTACGATATTCGTCTGGGACTGCTCCGAGGCTGGGAACATCCTGAGCAACTATCACAGATTCGTCGAGAAACATGAGCAGGAGCAGGAGGAACTGGCCGCCCGCGACTCAAATTACGAAAAGGCCAATTTCAGGCCTTACATCCACCTGGCCGCCTGCGCGGTCAAGGAGAATCTGCCGACAAACCCACAGCTTCCCGCGGACCTGTTCACTTCGTGCTTGACTACGCCAATAGAAATGGCCCTTTGGTTCTTTGCCCTCCAAAACCCGCTCAACAAGGAGCTGACACCTGAACGAGCCAAGAAGCTCCCGGGCCGCCTTCAGGAGAGGCGCACCCCGCTGGGCGAGCTAAATTGGATCTTCACGGCCATCACGGACACGATCGCCTGGACGGTGCTCCCTCGGCATCTCTTCAGGAAATTCTTCAGGCAGGACCTTATGGTCGCCGCCCTGTTCCGCAACTTCCTGCTGGCTCAGAGGATCATGTCCGTATATGGCTGCCACCCTGAATCATATCCAAAGCTGCCGGATACCCACAACCACCCCTTGTGGGATAGCTGGGACTTGGCAGTGGACATGGCACTCTCCCAACTACCGGCTTTGGAGAGGAAGGAGACGGAGGGCATCGAATATGAGTACCAGAGCTCGACATTCTTTACCGACCAGTTGTCAGCCTTCGACGTCTACCTCACGAGAGGAGATGCCATGTCACAGAAGCCCCCGGAGCAGCTGCCTGTGGTGCTTCAGGTACTGCTGAGCCAGCAACACAGGGTCAGGGCGCTGATTCTGCTCGGCAGATTCCTGGACCTCGGTCCATGGGCAGTTCAGCTTTCACTCAGCATCGGCATTTTCCCCTACGTGCTCAAGTTGCTCCAGTCGACCCACGCGGAGCTGAAGCCGGTCATGGTTTACATCTGGACTCGCGTGCTCGCCGTTGACATCACATGCCAACAAGACTTGATCAAGGACAGTGGCTACAACTACTTCGCACAGATACTCAAGCCTTCAGAGGTTCTCGTGGTAGCCAACAGCGATGAGCACAAGGCCATGTGCGCATTCATTTTGGCAATGCTATGCAAGGACTACAAGCCTGGGCAAGTCGTCTGCAACCAAACCGACATCATGACATACTGTCTACACTATCTACAGAACGAGGACAACCCTCTGTTGCGACAATGGTCATGTTTATGTCTGAGCCAGCTTTGGCTGAAGATGCCGGAGGCGAAGTGGCGGGGAATCCGGGAGGGCGCACCCACGAAGCTCTCTGCTCTGACCAAAGACCAGTGCTGCGAAGTTCGGGCGGCCATGCTCGTCGCGATGACCACCTTCATCGGTATCCCAGACTTGACTGCCGAAGTGCAAAGGATAGAGGAAGCGATAACATGGACGCTGCTAGACATGACCAACGACGGGAGCCCGATGGTCCGGCGGGAGCTGCTGGTATTTCTGTCCCATTTTGTCCTCCGTTACGAGAGCAAATTCGTAGTCACTGCCTACGAACACCTGCTGGAAGAGAGGGAATACCTGCTCTACCCGCCGAGAGATGATGTTTTCGATCGGCAGAACATGCTACTACATTACGCACGGCCCGCCAACCGTGACAAAGATGGCTCCATCAAACCTCAGGCAGAGGGGTTTTCGAATAATACCGTCATCGCTGCCGCCTGGAAACACATCATGATCATGAGCGTGGACCCTCATCCGGAAGTTCAAAAGGATGCGACCATCGTCACGGACTATGTGCACAACACACTTCTTCACTCTGCTGTTGGTGCGCAAGCGCAGAATCTTATGGAGGAGATACAACGGCGGACGAAGCGTACCTTCATGAAGAACCAGCCTTCTCACCAGCGGACCAATACGAACATGTCAGTTGCTTCCGATACGTCAGTGCCCGCTTCTCCGGGTCTTCTGAAGAGGACCTTCAGCACGATCTTCGGGCTAGGCTCTGTTGCGGACAACCTCAACGCGTTGGCCATGCCGGCACCCTCACAGTCCGCCTCCAGGACTGGCTCGCTGAGGAACAGGACAGGCCTGCCCGATGCTCCTCCGGAACAAAATGAGCAATCCCAGGCGCCTGCCAACTATCATGTTGCAGAAGAACCCGTCTCCGCAGGGTTTGAGGAACGCGACATGAAGGAAGTCCCGGTGCTCCCGCTGCCGAGTGGTTTCCTGGACTGGTCGATCGAATATTTCAGGGAGCCGCAAATGAAGCCCAATGAAGCCGAGGAACCTGGCAGCGTGGAGTACAATGCGCGGCTGTGGAGACGGTCCAGAAACGAGAGCATCCTGCGGGAGACACAACCTCAGAAGTCTCACGCCGGGTCGCACAAATGGAACCAACAATTGGCACTCATTAACAACGGCGCTCAGCCCTCAAAGATGACGTTCCATCAGTTTGAGGATCATCTGGCCGTCGCAGACGATGCCAACACTGTCTACGTCTGGGATTGGAAGCTGCAAAAGCGAAAGAGTAGGTTCTCAAATGGCAACCCAGAGGGCTCCAAGATCAGCGACATCAAGTTCATCAACGAGGACGACCAGGCGTTCCTCATGACCGGCTCTTCGGATGGTGTCATCCGCATGTACCGAAACTACGCCCCATCGGACGACGAAGCCCACCTAAAGAACAAGAAGCCGGAGCTCGCCTCCTCGTGGCGAGCATTGACACACATGGTTGCGAGCAACGTCAACTCGGGCATGGTTTTTGACTGGCTGCAGGTCAACGGTACGGTCCTGGTTGCGGGCGACGTGCGGGTGATACGCGTGTGGAACGCCAGCTCGGAGACATGCATCATGGATATACCCGCGCGGTCAGGAAGCTGCGTCACATCGCTGACCTCGGACCAGATGACAGGCAACATATTTGTTGCCGGTTTTGGGGACGGGGCCGTACGTGTATTCGACCCGAGGCTGAAGCCGCAAGACGCAATGGTTCGAAAGTGGAAGGACGAGCCTGACAGGCAGTGGATACGCAGCGTGCACATGCAGCGAGGCGGACAGAGAGAGCTCGTCTCCGCCTCGAGGAATGGAAAGGTCCGGCTGTGGGACATTCGAAAGGACCAGCCGCTCAAGGTGTTCCAAACGACAAAGGATGTTCTGAGGACGGCAAGTGTTCATGAGCACCTGCCGGTATTCTGCGTGTAAGTTGCTAGGCAGACCTCGGGTGCACCCCCACCCCTCTCCCTCTTAAAAGCCCAGTCTCTTTCAAAGGCCAAACGAGAAGATTGCGTGTGTTCGAGTCTTGATACAATTGCTAATGATGTTTTGACTTCTAGCGGCACCTCAGCCCACATCGTCAAGGTCTTCAACTTCCACGGAAAAGAGCTCTCACGCTCAGAACCTTATTCGAGCTTCCTGGGACAGAACCGTGGCTCACCCATCTCGGCAACTGCTTTTCACCCACATCGCATGGTCATGGGCGCCGCAGCAAGGGGTGACCACCACATTAACGTTTTCAGCTGTACGAACGAGCCGGCATTCGGCACGAATATGTAATTCCAAAAGGAGTCCAGCAGCGCCACAAGGGTTCACGGATTGGCTGTTGGTATTGCGCTATGAATTTGCAGAGCGGGAGGGAGGGGCGGCTGTGGCTGGTGATTTGCTAGTCACTGTGCTGCCTGTACTGTTGTGCTGCATGCGCAGGGCTCGGATCTTTTGAGGGGCGGATTTCTCTCTGGCATAGCGAAGGAAGGGTTCATCATGAGCATCATGGATGCAAAGAGCTGGGTTGGGCTCTGGCCTGTTGGAGACACTGGAGATGCTCGCAGCCACTGGCCTTTCGTACTGCTTTCATTTAGGTGTTGGTTGGTCAAACACTATTTTCCAAAGGCATTGAGATGAAAGCGACGGCATCATTGATTGGCATGGGTTAATGAATTTGTGTTGCCTCTTGTGTCTCTTGAATATTTCACCATGTTCAAGTCAGCACCAGCATGTTTTGCATTGGCTGGCTGGCCACATGGGCAGTCATAGTAAGCCAGAGGGAAAATGGATGCACCCACGTCCCAAAGGCGTACCTAGGTAGGTTGGATGCTTATATTGACCGCAGAAGACCTTAGCTAGGGTTTCTAACTATCATCCAGGCCGACGAGTCTGTCCCGACAAGGAGTTGTATTCCAGGGCTGTTCCAGCCTAGGCTCTCTTGCCATTCTTTGGGTCCAACCAAGGCTGGGAATGAGAGCAGACGGTGAATCACTCCACGAGGCGTCCAATATCTGGCGACATGAGAAATCATGCCGGATGACTCTATGTTTTTTGTACCTAGGTAGGTACTAAGCTACTTTGGTATGTATGGGTCTCCTGACAGCGCGGTTGGAGCCAGGTCACAATTGGCTGACACAGCAGAAGGCCGTCATGATATCCTCTAGACATTGATTCTTCTGATGGCTTGCCCACAAGTCCCTGGCATTGGTGAAACTTTGCAGGCTCTAGAAAGCCCATCTCTTATTCAAAGTGCGAGTTCACTTGTGGGAAACCCAGGTGCCTAGGTAGTTTCCGGGTCTTCGAGAAGACTTCCAAGAGAGGTGTTTCCCAGTCCGTGAACAGGTGACGTATTACAGTTGGTCCTCAAAATTTACCCCTCCGAAAAAGGCACGCGGTTTCTGTCACCACCGCAACACCACGGACGGGCGCTTGGAAGAGGATCCTACCTGGCTGATTGAGTCAGACCACCACCACTGGGCTCGGAGACATTGTCCAAGGTTTTGAAAGGTATTATATGCTCTGGGTACCAGCGGTCTCGAGGCAGAGAGAGAGCTATCAGACCAACCCGGATCATTGTTGACCTGTCACGATTACTGACCCTCTGTCTGCAACGTAGTCGGCGAGTCTCATCCAACTCCCCACCCTGAGTCACACGATTCCCAGCAAGACAAGACACCCTCTCAACCTCATACCACCACCCATCATGGCCGACAACCCAGAGCAGAAGCCCGCTCCCGCTGCTGAGGGCGGTGCTGAGGGCGAGGCTGGCCCCTCCAAAAAGGCACTCAAGAAGGCAGAGGCAAAGGCCAAGAAGGAGGCAGAGAAGGCGAAGCGCGCTGCTGAGCTCGAGGCCCAGCGTGCTGCTGCCGCTTCCAAGGAGGCTGCCGATGACAAGGCCAAGGACAACTACGGCGACCGCGACGTGGTGAAGCTTGGCGGCGACAAGGTGCCCCTAAAGGACTACGCTGACGAGCACCTCGGCAAGACGGTCAAGCTGCGCGCCTGGATCCAGCAGAGCCGCATGCAAGGCGCCAAGATGTGCTTTGTCGAGCTGCGCGAGGCTGAGGACTGGAGTATCCAGGGCATCGTCACCGCCTCGGCCGAGGGCACACCCGTGTCCAAGCAGATGGCAAAGTGGGTCGGCTCTGTGAGCCTGGAGAGCTACGTCGCCGTCGAGGCCACCGTCGCGAAGCCTCTGGAGCCCGTCAAGAGCTGCAAGGTCTCCAACTACGAGCTCCACATCACCAAGATCTACTGCATTGCCCGCGGCCCCGAGGTTCTGGGCCTGACGCTCGCCGCCTCCAACGCCGCCATCAGCAGCTTCGACGTCGACGGCAAGATGCAGGAGCTGAGCATCGGCGATTCTGCGCCCGGCCTGTCCGCCACCCTCGAGACACACTTGGACAACATTGTCATGCACAAGAGATCCCCGCTGCAGCAGGCCATCCAGACTGTCCGCGAGAACGTGCGCGACCTCTTTGTCGAGTATCTCAAGAAGAACGGTTTCCACTCATTCGAGCCGCCATGCCTGATCGGCGCAGCCTCCGAGGGTGGTGCCAACGTCTTCGGCCTGCCGTACTTTGGCAAGAGCGCCTTCCTGGCCCAGTCCCCACAGTTCTACAAGCAGTTGGAGATTGCTGGCGGAAGGAAGAGGGTGTACTGCGTTGGGCCTGTCTTCCGAGCCGAGAACTCAAACACCCCAAGGCACATGACCGAGGTATGATGACCACGCCGCCCATCTTCCCAGTGTTGTCCTTTTCCTTTCTCTTCCTTCTCTTCCCCCCGAGGTGCTGACTCGTTCATAAGTTTACCGGTCTCGATATGGAAATGGAGATCGAGGAAGACTACCGTGAGGTCATCTTTATGCTCGAGGGTCTCTTCCTCTACATCTTCCGCAACCTTGAGGAGCGCTGCAAGGATCAAATCGCAGTCGTACGCTCTATCTATCCTTCAGAGCCCTTCGCTCTGCCTGCAGACGGCAAGGAAGTCCGCCTCACCTTCGCCGAGGGCCAGCAACTCCTGCGGGAAGAGGGCCCCGAGATCTACCGCAACGTCACCGACGATGAGGACATGTCTACAGCACAGGAGAAGGCACTCGGAGCCATCATCCGCAAAAAGTACGGCACCGACTTCTACGTTCTGGACAAGTTCCCCGAATCGGCCCGCCCGTTCTACGCCAAGGAGGACCCTGAGAACAACAAGGTTACGAACGCGTACGATTTTTTCGCGCGCGGCCAGGAGATCATGTCAGGTGGCCAGCGTATCAACACTCCAGCCGAGCTAGAGAAGCGGATGCGCACCAAGGGCGTCGACCCGAACAGCCCTGGCTTGAAGGAGTATGTCGACTTTTTCAGGCAAGCCGGGTGCCCGCCCCACGGTGGTGGCGGCATCGGGCTGGACCGTGTTGTGGCCTTCTTCCTGAACCTGCCCAACGTGCAGCTGGCCGCATACTACCCGCGTACGCCTAGCCGGTTGACCCCGTAAGGCGTGGTGAAAGGGATGGTGTGGAGGAGTTAGAGCTAGTGGGCATAGATCGAATTAGAACAGGACTGGGACAGTTCAGTCGTTCTGACAACACGTTCCGCTCAAAACATTGGCTGGCTCTTATCTTGCAATCACGCACGTTGACTTTGTATTTGGCCATGTTGCGGCGGAGATCTGGATCATTCCATGTGCCAATGGCTTGGTGCTTTGCCAAGGCAGTCAACTCATGCTCAATCCTTGACAGGGTGGGCTACCAATCACTAAGAAGCCTGATGTCCGTGAGTGAAAATGTCTTGGCCCACTCGAGGCATGCGTCAGATTACGATACAATCACCGTCTTTCTGTTTTCTCTTATATGGTTCCTCCCGCAGCGCTTGCGAATCTGATTGCTCCTCGAGAGTCTGATTGCTTGTTGATGCCAGCGGTACTACCACACGTACGACCGCCTGGACTATGGTCGAGTCACTGAGCTCAAGGGTTATCCAAGCCACTATTCCTGGAAGATTACCACACAACATCAGTGACATTGATCTGGCCATCGACAGTTGTCAGCATTTGCGCCCGGGTCCCGCCAAGGCCGCTGCTGCGAACTGTGGAAGGACTTGCCCTGGAGCTTTCCAGAAATTGGTGTGAAGACCATCACGATATAGATAAATGCTGTTTCCCCCTTGAGTGCTTCGGTGTCAGCTTGGGTGATACCGGAGGGGACCTGGAGATTGATCAAGGAACCTGGGGCTCAGAGCAGTATTTACGGGACGAGTCTGGTAGAGTGTCGAAATCGCATTTTTTGCCATTGCTTGAGATGCTTTCTACGTCTATTTCCAAATCAGCCGATGAGATGAGTTGGCGTGAGTGCCATGCTGTGCAAGTTCCTGACGCATTTGAACAGGTATTTATTTAATGGACCGTGACTGTTTTACTCCCGAGTGTGACGGCACGACTATATAGACTACACTCTGAATTGCAGAAGACGTTCTGCAATTCTGTACCTTTTGGTAGGAACACAGGTGTGGCTATAGTGTAGCGGTTACGTCCCGTGATATAATTGCAGAACAAAAGGGCTTGTAATTGTATGGTTACAGGTTCGAACCTAGGTGAAGCTGAGTTCAGGTATATTATATAGTGCGTGTCGATTGGCTGAACGAATCGTACCTCTAGAAGGTATATTACTTCCCCAACCAGAAACCTATAGGTCACCATATCTACATATGAAGTAGTTCATGCTATGGGATACGTTCTGGTAGACGAAGTAGCGGGGGGTAATGTGACGGCACGTCTATATAGACTATACTCTGAATTGCAGAAGACGTTCTGCAATTCTGTACCTTTTGGTAGGAATACAGGTGTGGCTATAGTGTAGCGGTTACGTCCCGTGACACCGAGGTCATTCTTGAGAGAGACCCATTACCAGTCGAAGATCGCCTGTGGCTACCGTGGGTATAGAAAGGTTAGTTGCTTAAGCGTGGCCCATTATTCACACGTTGACCGTCGACGCCGCCAAAAGTCTATAGCGAGCGCTGTGGCATCTAAAGAAGATAGTAAATCCTATACTATCTTTAATAACTTATTAAAAATATTAACTCTAATCTTTTATAATTAATAAATATTTATTTTTATTATAACTTTATTATATTTAAAATAAGTTTAATATATATTTTAATTTAAACTTTAATAAATTAAATAAAACTTAAAAATATAAATACTACACACACATATATATATACTTATTATAGTATATAATAGTGTCCTAGTTACCTATCAAGAAGTTGGTGACAGTTCTGAGCACCCTGGTTGTCCCCAGTTGTGTAACAAATAATTGATAGAGGTCTACAGGGCCTGAAGTCTGCAATATACCAGGGGCGAAGGATCAGTCCAACTACTTAAGTACCTAGATAGGCTTTTGATAAGCTACATTGAACCAAGGCTACAAGGCAGGCAGCCTGGTTGATACACAAGGCGGTCCTAGGTTACACCGTGGGTTTTCATAAATCCAAAGAAACAGTGTGTCCCGAATCCATCTGACATTAAATTCCAGATCATGTACGATAAACTATGTATCTACCCAGATGGAAACCAAGGCAGAAAATTGTTGGTCCGATCCAGGACCAGTATTATCCCCGAATCCTACCCTATCTGACTAGATGTGCTTTTCATTGTGGCTCTAGGGGCCACCGATTCATTCTAATACATCCTTCGTAAACCATCATTACCTCATGACCAGTCTGGAGCCGGAAGCCAGTGGACAAGAGACCAGACACCAATGCTCAAGAATCACCTTTGGGAAAATGAATCGAGCTCTGGTGGATCACCAAGCCTTAGCGGGCACCTCATGACTTGATCTGCCCTTACAGAGAGGAGCCGTGCAGTGTCTTGGTGTCGACAACCATCTCACGGCCACCGTCGTTGACCACCAGCACACGGACAGATCCCCGGCCGGAATCGAAGGCCTGCTGGAGGCGGTCCCAGAGGTTGGACTGGTCAAGCACCGGCAGGGACTGCTTCACATCACCGGTCTCGGTCATGGCCACGACTTCAAGTACACGGTTAGTCTTCGATCCGGCTGCTTGCGGGTGGGTGGGTGGATGGATGTTGGAGACTCACCACTTCCGTCCTGGAGGTCAAGGACACGGTATTGCTTCAGGATGGGCCCCCGCATGGTCTGGACAACAACGCTGGGAGCGGGGTTGTGAATGGACGAGGACTCCTCGTGGAGCTGCTTGGTGAAGAGGTCGACTCCGAGGTAGCGGTGCTGGCCGGTGGCGGAGGAGGTGGAGATGCGGATGACCTGGGAGATGCGTCCCTGAAGAATCAGGATGTCGCCGATCCGGATGTGGTGGCATGGGATGGTAACTGAATTTGGGGCTTCATCTCCGTAAGCGGCCTGGCTGACACGGCGAGACGGACGGCTTTCCCGGATCTCAGTCACCTCAATGGTCTCGCGACCTTGAGGGTGAATGATACGATCAGCCACCTTGTGGAGGCCGGCACGGAAAGAGTGATAGTGGCCTGCATGGGCGGCATTCTCAGAATACGACAAAGGAAAAGATGTTGACAAGAAAAAGGCCGAACTCACCATCCTCGTCGAAGTAACCCATCTTGGCTTTGTGGTGATGCTTGTGGCGGGGTGGGAGGCTGATCTCGACTGTCTCGTCTACGCGGACAGTCTGGTTGACAGCAGGGCGGATCTTGGGAGCCTCGATGATGTGCTCGTCGTGGCGGACAGTCTCCTTGGTGACGGGACGGTGGCGAGGGGTCTCGACGGTGGTCTCGGTTACACGAACGTCCTCGCGGTAACCAGGCTGGGAGCGAGCACGGTACCCACGCTCGATGTTGTCGATGGGGGAGTAAGGGATGGCCGGGCGAGACTCGGGCCGGTGGTGATGGTGGTGGTGCCGGTGAGTATCGATCTCAATGCGGGTGTCTGAGTAGGAGGAACGCGAGGGTCTCTCAGAGTAGGCAGAACGGGGAGGCCTGTGGCAGCGCAAAGATTCTTGGGTCAGCGTTCAAGTTCGAAACATCTTGGTCACTGGGAATGATATAGGTGTTGCCCTCCGAGACGGGATGGATGTGAAGAGGCCCCACACCAATGCCCATGCGGTTCCGCTGCCTTATGAAGCTCGAGGCAGCTGGTGCCCAAGCGGCCCTGGGCGTGTGGGTCCAGATCTCATGTCCATGCTGCCGTGGATCCACAGGGTTCACGTGTGACAACAACGGGCCACGCTCGGCCGAGTGCATCGGCCAATGGACCAGGGCGTGCGCGCGAGGAGGGAGGGCGAGGGCGAGTGCGGCAAAACGCAGGAGGGGGACGGCGGGGGTTGTGACAGGGCAGAAGAAACAGATGGGTATCGGGAATACCTGGGCTGCTGCTCCTTGAGCTCTTCGCGGTAGTACTCTTCACGGTGGACACCGGGACGGCGGTAACGGTCCTCTTCACGGGTGACGAAGACCTCTTCCTCGCTGTAGCGGGTGTGCTCCCTGCGGGGAGGAAGGTCGGCCGCGGCGGCGGAGTAAGAAGAAGAGACCTGACTACCTTCCCGCCCGGGCTTGTGGTGGGGGAGGTGGAGGCTGAGCTCCTCGTGGGTAGTGGTGCTGGTGCTGGTCTTGCCCGACTCCTTCTTGTCGTCGTCGCGGTACGACGAGGGGAAGATGCTGAAGGGGACGGGGACTCTCGCTTCAAAATCCAGGTTGACTGCCTTGGGTGGGCGCTCAGAGTCGTCCTCCTCTCAACCTCTTGACAAGGAAGAAAAGAAGAGTCCTCTGGCTTCTTCCTGGGAAAGAAGTCGAAAGAAAGGAGAATAAGAGAAGGACCCTACCAATTGATACGGACTCCTTCTGTACTCTGGGGATTCGATCGAGCTCCTTTTCTCAAATGCAAGTAGGTGGTTGGCTGTTGGGGGCTGCACGGGATCGACGACGAGGCCGTTGATTGCTGTGTCTTGAGTGGGTGGAGGAGAGCAGTGAGGAAAAGAGGAGGAGAGAAGACGTGGGTGGGAGAGAGGCAGAGAAGCAAGAGGCGGCGGGCATTGAAATAGTCTAGTGCTGGGGGGGGGGAGGTTGCGGAGGGGAGATGGCCCGTATCCTGGCCCGTCAACCCGTTGCTACTGGCTGCAGGATAGGCCAGCAGCAAAAGAGGCGATTTGATTGACCGACTGGCTGTCCGATTGATTGATTGATCACTGCCTGCTGTGCCTCTGTTTACTCGTGGTGGAGCCGGCTGCAAGCTCTTGTTTACCACCCCCTTCCCCCTTCCCCCTTCCCCGATGTCTCTCAGCTGCTGGAGGGCCGAGCTTTGCGAGCAGGGATCATAGCTCCGGATAGCCTCTGGACCCCTGTCCATTGGGGCCAGTCCCCAGTTTTCTCCCAGCCCGGCTCGGCGCGTGTGTCCTCAGAGCCAGCGGTGGGTGGATGCTGTCGACATTCGCTGCCATCGCTTCCCATTGCCCCCAGGCCCAGGCCATGATGCAAGCACATGTGTGAAGCACCGTATCAGCGCCGCAAGCAGATCTTGGTCAGGCAAGGAGGACATTTGCACAGAAGTAGCAGGCGAGGGTCCCTAGAAGCTGTCAGGCACCTGGGAAGGACCGGGCCTTGACGCCATGGGGCGCCATGACATGTAGACTACGCCTCGTGTCAGGTCGACCAAGCCCAACCACCACCTTTCTTTAAACTTGCACCCAATGCCTAGCTGGGCTCCCTGGCAGCCTGCAACCGCAAGCCTCGATCTGTGTGTGATCTCTGGCCCGACCTTCTGGGCTCCGCCATTGGGGGAGGAGGCAGGTACGGAGCAGGCAAAATGTTGATGGCTGGGGGAAGCTCAGGTGGGCTGGGACTGGGACGTGAAGCATGCATGTGCGAGAGACCAGGGCAAGCGTGCATCGAAGCCATTGGGCCTCCACAGGCAACGGGCGAGCTGAATGTGCCCGCGCGCCCAACCCGCCGGGCCGTAGGCGCAAGGAAATGGAGTACGGAGTACCGCATGTGATGGCGATGGCTCTTTCCGCTGCCACGAGCTTGTGTTGGAACCACCAAAGCCCACACAACATCCAGAGTCGCGAGCTCCCAGGCTGGCTGCCTCTCTTCAGCGGCTGTGACAGCTCCCGATCATGCAGGGGGCCATCCGTTGCCATGGAAACGTACAGCGCCAACGGAAGCTCAATGCAACCCCACCGTCCAAGACGGGAAGGACAGCACTGTGTGCGTGGCAACTGTGTAGCTCTCAGCGGCTGGCAGGTTCCAACCGGTCTTTCACGTGCCGCCAACATCATCGTATCTCGGGGAGACGAAGGAGACGCTCACAGTGTGGTACTGTACATGGCTGCGCTTGTCTTGATACTGTCTTGGATGGCATATATACAATGACTTGCTGTGACTGGCATCTTCTATTAGCACGGCGCCACGGCCATGTAGATAACCCATTCACTTCTCACAATATACCTAGGTACCTTTTTTAAGAATAAATTTATAAAACTTTAAAGTAGGTTGCCTAGCACCTATGAACTTTGGATATATTAAAAAGGTTAAGCTCCACTTTGGTATAACACTTTATGGTTGTTTTTTTTTAGGTATAGTGGTCTCGCAGCAACAATGTGCATGAAATTTGGCCTTTCAGTCCAGCGAGTTTGGTGTTTGGGGCCTGTTGGTGACGTACTCCGTACCCCGTCCGTACTGAGTTGTGTGATGTAAGACAGCGCCCCACCATCCCGCCAGTACACTGCCCGCATCCAGCTCACCGGGCGGAAATTTCGAGCCTCGGGATGCCGACGGTTACCAAACCTCTTGCGCTGCCGTCACTCGCGGAACCCCCAGAGGCACTCTGCCTGATCTCCCAAAATGAAGCAACGTTTCTCATCCTTGGATGTCAAGGTAGGTTTCAGGTCCCGTCGCGCAGCCTTGTTGCCGGCAAGAGGTTGGCCACTGACGCACGACTGCATTGTTCCAGGCCATCACCAATGAGCTCTCCAAGTCCCTTGTTGGCCTTCGACTCGCCAACATATACGACATCTCCTCCAAGAAATTCCTCCTCAAGTTCGCCATATCCGGCAAGAAGGAACAGCTGATCGTCGATTCTGGTTTCCGCCTCCACACCTCCGAGTTCACCCGCCCAACCGCTGCCGCGCCCTCGGCCTTCACCTCCCGCCTCAGGAAATTCCTCAGGACTAGACGATGCACTGCCCTGTCACAGATAGGAACAGACAGGATCATAGAGCTGCAGTTCAGCGATGGCAGCTATCGGCTGTTTCTCGAGTTCTTTGCATCTGGCAACGTCATCCTTACTGATGCCGACCTGAAGATCTTGGCCATATTACGGACCGTCCACGAGGGAGAGGGGCAAGAGCCCCAGAGAGTGGGTCTGACATACAGCCTCGAGAATCGCCAGAACTACCGCGGTGTCCCGCCTCTGACCAAGGAGCGAGTGCGCGAGGCGCTGCTCAAATCAGTGGTCAAGGCGGAGGCCGTGGATGCTTCTAGGAAGAAGCCCAAGAGGAAGGCCGGGGATGAGCTGCGGAGGGGCCTAGCCACGACAATAGAGGAACTTCCGCCCATAGTCGTCGATCACGCCTTCGAAGTCACCGGGTTCGAGCCGGCCACCAAGCCAGCCGATGTCCTTGAGAGCGAACCCCTGTTCGATGCACTCTTCACGTCGCTGGAAGCCGCCCGCAGGATAGTAGACGGCATCACAGGCTCGGAAAACTGCAACGGATACATTATTGCAAAGAGGCGTGAACCGCAGCCGGATATCGACTCCGCCCAACCGCAGGGAGACAACCAGCCTGCCCTCCTCTACGAGGATTTTCAGCCTTTCGTGCCCCGCAAGTTCGAAAAGGATGACGCGTACACGATTTTGACCTTCCACAATTACAACAAAACAGTAGACGAGTTTTTCTCGTCCATTGAGGGACAGAAGCTTGTGTCGAGACTCAATGACAAGGAAGCCGCAGCCAAACGCAAGTTGGACGCCGTCCGAGAAATACAAGAGCAAAAGGTGGAGAGCCTCAAACAAGTGCAGATAATGAATATGCGAAAGGCGGGCGCTCTCGAGGCCAACGTCGACCGGGTACAAGAGGCCATGGACGCTGTCAATGGTCTCATAGCGCAGGGCATGGATTGGGTCACCGTTGGCAAGTTGATCGAGAGAGAGCAGAAGCGGCGGAATCCTGTGGCACAGATCATCAAGCTGCCCTTGAACCTGGAGCAAAACGCCATGATGCTGCTTCTCGCCGAAGAAGACGAAGCAGAAGAAGTCGCCGAAGATTCCGATCACACTTCGGAAGACCAAAGCGATGATGATGGAGACCCGCGCAAGAAAGTCGACACCAAGCTTTCCATTGAAATCAACCTCGCCCTATCGCCCTATGCCAACGCCCGCGAATACTACGACCAGAAGAGGACGGCCGCGGAAAAGGAACAGAAGACTGTTGGCCATTCGGTAATGGCTCTGAAAAGCGCCGAGAAGAAGATTGCTGAAGACCTCAAAAAAGGACTCAAGCAGGAGAAGCCAATTCTGCACCAAATGCGCCGCCAGAGCTGGTTTGAAAAATTCATCTGGTTCATTTCCTCGGATGGCTACCTTGTTCTGGGTGGCAGAGATGCCATGCAAAATGAGATGCTGTACAAGAAGCACCTTCGCAAGGGAGATGTGTATATCAACGCAGAAACTCATGCTGCGGCCTCTGTCATTGTCAAAAATAACCCCAAGACACCAGATGCCCCCATCCCGCCTTCGACATTATCACAAGCTGGCAGCCTGTCGGTGTGCTTATCAAGTGCTTGGGACTCGAAGGCTGGCATGGGAGCTTGGTGGGTCAATGCCGAGCAGGTATCCAAGTCCGCTCCCACAGGTGAATACCTGCCCCCTGGGAGCTTTATGGTGCGAGGTGCCAAGAACTATCTGCATCCACAACCACTGATACTAGGATTCGGCTTCCTGTTCAAGATCAGCGAGGAGAGCAAGGGGAACCACAGCAAGCATAGGCTGGTGGATGCGGAGACTTCGCGGAGACCAACAGAGCAAACCCAGGAGGTCACAGATCGTGAGGCCGAGATCGATGAAGAAGTAGCTGATCTTGAACTTGAGGCAGCACGTCATGAACAAGATGAGATAAACGCCTCAGACGACGACGAACCCTTCCAGAGAAACAATCCGCTGCAGGTGGATGGCGATGATGCATCGGACAGTGGCAGCGATCCCGACGGACGCACCGATGATGGCGATCATATCGACCATGAGATAGACCATGTGAAGGATCATGTGAACGAACTCAGCCTCGAAGAACCCGCCGAGTTGATGATGTCGGGGGCTTTGGCTGCTGACGGCGGCGAAAAAGAAGACCCATTTTCAGATGGTGCGACTGGCGTCAAAACTGCAGAGACAGAAGCTGGCTCAGAGGCTGAAGACACGGAATCGGAGGCGGCCACCAAGGACCCTACTGAGGTATCGAAGGCTTCCGTGGCCACCACCTCACAGCAGGCGAAAGACCTCAAGCAAAAGATTGCTCCGGCGAAGCGGGGAAAGAAGAACAAGCAGAAGAAGATCGCTGCCAAGTACAAGGACCAGGATGAGGAGGACCGTGCCATGCACGAGGAGCTCATAGGCGCTACCAAGGGCCGCGAAAAGGCCGAGGCAGAAGCCAGGGCCAGGGCGGAGCGCCTGGCAGAGGAGGAAGCCCGGCGTGAGCGCCGCAAGCTAGCCCAGCAGAGACAGCAGAAGAAGGTCGCCGAGCACGAGGAGGTGCGCAGGCTTATGCTCGAGGAAGGTATCGAGGTGCTGGATGACGACGAAGAGCAGGCTTCCACACCCCTCGACTCCCTGGTCGGCACGCCACTCCCTGGGGACGAGATCATCGAGGTTGTGCCGACTTGCGCCCCTTGGGCGGCTATGGCGAAGTGCAAGTACAAGGTGAAAATCCAGCCTGGCGCGACGAAGAAGGGCAAAGCACTGAAGGACATACTTGAGCGGTGGAAGCTCGAGGCGGGGAAGAGAGGCAACGTCGACGAGCACTCTCGTGACTCGGAAAGGATGTGGCCGCGAGAGGTGGAGCTGATTAAGACGGTCAAGCCGGAAGATGTGAACAATGTGGTGCCAGTGGGCAAGCTGACGGTGATGATGAGTGGTGGCAAAGCCGGCGGTGGGGGAGGCGGGAAGGGATCGAAGGGAGGTGGGAACCAGAGTAAGGGAAGCAAAGGTGGTAAGGGTGGCAAGAAGAAGTAAATACTGCATTCGCCAGTATATATCACTGCATTTAGAGGGCGCTGAAATTGCCAAAGCTACTTAGGTAGTATTTGACATGGGCTTAACTCCTTGGGTATCTCTCCCTCCCGGTTCCTGAGCCAAGTGAAAGAATATCTGCCAAACATTGACCCAGTTGCCTCAGTATGCCTAGATCAGCCCAGACGGATAGAGTGTGAGCAAAAGTGAGTGCACGTGTGTTTCAAATCGAAAATCCATCAATCTTGGCATTTTATGTAGCCACACAGAGATTCGGACATAATGCTTCGGAGAAAACAGAATGGGATATTAAACTCTGCACCAACGGCTGACGAGCATAGATGGGCGTGCCTGCATCTAGACGAAGCTAAAATGCCTGTTCTCATCTCAATCCCGCAGCTAGAGTCAACCGGTATTCTATGCAAGTGCGCCCATGCGAACCTGGACGAGTACGGACCTTCAGGGAAGGCCATGCTGTCTATTTTCAAGTGGCTCCTCCATCGAGATGACCTCATCATCTAAGCGGTACACACGTAGGCATAATTAGCTACGTGAAATTCCCAGTTGGGAAGAAGCGGAGGCTTGAGTCTTCTGGACAGACGGGGAAGTCGTTGCTGGAAGAAGACGTGACAGATCGATTATTCTGAAACCCAGGCCGGCCTGATTGATATCTCGGCATAGCAGGTGCAAGACGCTGCTTAAACCAGAACAGGTGGCATCTGAGGTCATATTCTAGGTCATTTCCTAATAGGTGGAGGGTAACGAATGGAAGATTGCTATTAAAGGTTATTTTGTTGGGGTGATTCCAGAGAATCATCCTATATGGAGAATTCTCCGGTAAATCATCACATGGGACTTTAGGAGGCGTCCTGTAGAAGAATAGAATGCTGGTGGATAGGAGGTTAAGGGATAGATACCGTGGATGCGTAGCGGACACCCGGGCAGGGCTCATCAGTATGAACGGGCGCGCTGAAAAGAAGGTGATGTATACTGTTTCGTGCATTGATGACATGGCTTGAGGGTTGGAGTTTGTCGGCAGTACTAAAGTGCCTAGGCACCTACATATGTAGGTAGGTTCGCCAGAACCGACACATTCCCATGTCGAGTTACAGTCGAGGTGGTCATGTCACGTGCAGCAGACGAGCGGTCCTTGGCGACATTATACTCTCCAGCCCTCGGCAATTTACTTGGTTGGTGCTCTGTCGCCACACAGTCACCCTGATCACTCAACACGAGGTGTATTCTGGGGGCTCGAAGCAATTCGAAACTCATGCTGGACATATCGATAATGGGCGGGGTGCTAGTCTCACCGCTCGTTGAGTTGGGGGTGCTCGCACTTCACCTCATCCTGCCAGCCCGTGAGATCGACGGATATGTCCGCGACAACAAGGGGAAGCCCCTCCGATACCGTCTGTGAGTGGACCCAAAAAGGTTACCGGTAGCGATTAGGAGACTGACCACATGCATGTCACCTCAGGAATGGTATACCGGTCATGATTATATCGGTTCTAGCCTGGGCTGGCCTTTGCTGGACTGGCGTCCTGCCATGGGGGTACTTCTATGAGCACAGCGGAACCACCTGCGCGTGTGCCCTCATCATCGGCCTGGCATTCAGCGCCTGGATCGTCGCCAAGGGCCCCAGACAATCTCCCAGCCTTCTCAGCGACTTTTTCCTGGGCACGATCGACAATCCACGCACTGTCGTTGCCGGTCGCATCCTTGATGCAAAAATGTACCTCTACCTCGTCGGCGCGGTGCATCTGGAGCTCAACCTGCTCAGTTGCGCCGTCGCCCACTTGCAGTCGTTGCGGGACCCCAACCCAGGTATCGCCCTGTCGGCAGCGCTGCTGACCTGGTTCGCTGCAGAGTACCTGTGGTGGGAGAACGTCCACCTCTACACGTACGACTTCTTCGCCGAAAGGTTGGGCGTCAAACTCGGCTTTGGATGTCTTTGTTTCTATCCATTCTTCTACCCAATCCCGGTTCTGGCCGCGGCTCGCCTGCCCAACCCACACCGGAGCACCGCCTATCACCTCCTCGCCGCCGCTGTCTATTTCTCCGGCTGGGCTCTCAGCCGAGGACCAAACTTGCAAAAGTTCTGGTTCAAGCGCCATGTTCCTCCCCCAGCTGCCCTGGCTCGGCTCGGCCTGTCCCCCGTCAAGACGATCCGGTCTGCTGACGGGAAACACGAGCTGCTCTGTGGGGGTTTCTGGGGCGTTTCACGCCATATTAACTACCTGGGCGAGACGCTCGAGGCAGTCGGAATCGTTCTTGCCCTTGGTCATCCCAGGGTTGCTCTGCTTCCGTGGGTCTATCCTCTTTATTATGTGCTACTGTTCATCACTCGCGAGCGGGATGACGATAAACGCTGTCGGGAGAAGTATGGCGCTTTGTGGGACGAATATTGTCGACAAGTGCCATATAGGATCATCCCCTACGTTTACTAAACACGTCAAAAGCTTGCAGGTGGAGCATAGACACCTTGAGTGAACGTTTGGCTAAGGTGCCTAGGACCGATTACTCTATAAAAGCCTGGGATTTCGAGGAGGCCATTGATAGACAGCGTTGAGCAACATTCAATACAAGTTATATAACTGGTTTCCACCTATCCCATGATACCTATTGTTATCAACACTATGTCCTTTTTAAGCGCTAGGTTTTGAGTGCCTACCACCGTATGAAGGTGCCATCTATGTCCTCAGACATATATAAATAGAAGTAAAACCACATAAGAAGTTTAAAATCTTCTAATAATATATTCATTATATTAGTAACTATGTTCTCTTATATAATACTTAAGGTTTATTTATTCCTTATAGTGTTATAAGATACTTGATTTTATATATTGTGATTAGTAGTTCACCTTAGATATTATCCTACAGTAGGTACCTACATATATAGGCACTAAAGATCATGCAAGGTTGTACAAGATAGTGTATATGCGGCTGGTTGTATAGACTAAGCGCTTCTGTGCTAATCTGAAGCATCAATGATATATCATTCTAGGGTATCAAAAAGATGTGCCCAATGCAGACTGGTTAATGAAATCATCGCTTACGCGTCAACCAGCGCTCTCAACGCTACCGTCAACCTCCTTAGCTTCGGTACCGTCGCACGCGTGGGCCGGCCTTTCACGACCCCGAATGTTTCCGGGCCGACCTTTTCAAGCAGGACCCTCCCAATCTCCATGTAACTCTCGACTGCGACCATCATTGGCCTTCTCGACTCATCGGGCAACCACTCCATCGCCGGCTTTGACTCGGCATATATCGCGAAGGCCCTCCCCAGCAACCTTCTCCGCATATTATCTAGACTCTGGAATCTTCTGCTCCTTTCTTTGCCCCTTGGGTCGCCTTCCGCCGTGGTACATGTCGTGATGGTCTCGATGACTATTGCCGGTGTCAAATCTTCTTCCGCCAGCCAGACCGTTGGCAGATAAACCCTTCCTAACGCAGCGTCAACCGCAATGTCTCTAGCGATGTTAACGAACTGGAGAGCGACGCCCATCCGTCGGGCGGCGGTGGCAACGGCCTCGAGGCGCACTGGGTCGATCGGTTCACGGCTGTGGTGCGAGATGAGGGCGAGACAAAGTTCTCCTACTGTCCCGGCTACCTGGCGCCCATACTCGTGAATGTCATTCTCAGTCACTATTGGGAAGCGATTGCGGCTCTTCGTGAGTTGAAAGTTCGAATCGGTCCTGAAGCCCTCGAGCAGTAGATAAAAAGGCTCAGAGGGCATCAGCGATGCCGGCAGTAGCGTGAGTGCGGACCGTGCTGAGGGTGGGAACTCGTCGGCAATGTATGCTGGTACCATATCTGCCTGTTTTGATCGAGTTGTGCCCTCTTTTGGTTTATATACCAGGTCCAAGTGTTCGCTGAGCTTATTGATCCAGGCTGAGGTTTCCAGACCCTCGGGCGGCTCATCAACCAGATCATCCGCCATGCGACAGTATGAGTATCTACGACAGAATGTCAGTGACTTCTATGCTTTATAACCACTTCCGGGGATGACTTACAATAATATCAAGTCGATCCTCAGGCGGCCAGAAAAGGTTGAGCTCGCCAGGTAGAAGCTCCTACTCTTCCGACACAGCCTCTCCACCGCCTCCTGGATCCCAGCTATGCGTTCTTTCCGTTCCGGAGTCCAAGAAACAAACAGTGCACTAATGAGCATGGTAGGGGTGGGGCAGGCCGGTGCATATTCGTACACATTGGGCAAGGCGTCGATGACCGCCAGGGCGTTGTCAAATGCACCCAACCCAAAGACGATGAGGACGTTAGTCGCGGCAAAGAAGATCGCCTCCTCCACCTCCAGGCTACCCCAGACTGTCATGCCAAGCTTCGTCCCAGACTCAATAGCCCATGTCCCTCTGCGGAGGGCGAGCTCGTCCACGACCCAGAGGTATAGGGTTGGCAGGGCAATCGGTAGTGCTATACTGGTCCAGGGGAGAGATGCCATGAACAGTCCGCCCAGCGTCCATGTCAAGAAGGCGAAGGGACAAGCCCATATCAAAATCAGGCCCAGATACGTGCCTATCCCACCCTTAGATAGCAGCCAAATTCCCAGCAGCGTGAGACTTGACATTGCTACCTGGACCGCCCTATGCATGACACTCGGAATTGGCGACTTGGAAACGAGGTACTCGGCGTGAAGCAAAGGCTTGTTCAGCATATGGTACAGTAGAGACGTCATGTACGTCTGAACGACGAAGAAGAACAGTTCCTCGGCCGGAATGGACAGTAACGTCGGCCCGATGACAGCATCCGGCGGGTATGTCCAGACATTGTGCCGGATTAGATAGCTATCCCAGGGGATGGTAGCCGTGACGGCGATGAGGACAAGGATAAAAGTCTGGTACCATTGCCGCTGGGTGAGAAAAGGGTGGGATATAATAGTGAGCGCCGTGGCCAAGGGGATGGTGAATTTGAGGTGGCTACTTGTGGTCAGCACACTGGAGTATCATATGGACGAGAAAGTTTCCTTGATACATACACCAGGGCATAATCGTAGGCCATCGTGAGCGGTGGGTGATCTACCGTCAGGCACTCAAGGTAACATGTTTATCCGGCTCTGGCGCGTATTATACACAGCGGGTCGGACCTCGGCCAGATGTTCGTTGCGGCGGGGCGACAGACAAGGACCCAACACAAGGATGCGACCTCGTCCACGCAGCGTATGAGCTGAGCAAGGCGAGTCGTCCCTGGCGGAGGCGAGAGGAATTGTCGAGAACGAGCGGTTGTTGCAGTCCCGAGGTTGAGCCAGGGCTAAGGCAAGGACACACCTAAAAGGTGACGAATGATCAAGAGAGAAAGCGAATCCAAACAAAACAGAGGAGGCCCAGGAGGGTTTAGGGAGGCTGGGTGGTACCACCCTTGGTGAATGGCGGCTTAAGAGGCCGGGACGGGGGGTTTCCTCTCACGTTTCCCCTTTGGGACAGCTCCTGAGCTTCAAGGTTTCAGTCGGTCACCAAGGTCCCAACGTCCGTGACTGAAGCTCGATCGCAGCCAAGGACCTCAGATTTGACGGCGGTATAGAGCTGATGATCTGGGAATTGGGACCGAATCTACTCTATATAAATTGCACGCTGTAACACTCGCTGGACAAACGGGCTTCCGTGAATTCCGTCTCCATTCTCATGTGTTCTCGTTCCCCGTAGTGGTGATGTCATGACTGTTAGTACTTTTGTTGTACATTCCGCTGCCGAGACAACAAAAGTAATCACACCACGTCGGTCTGTCCAGCATATCTCGACAAACAAAACAGCTGAGATGGTTCTTGTTAGCCAGGTCCAGCCCGAAGCCACCCAAGCCACCACCAGTGAGCCTCGAGATACCCCAGCCGGAACCCGGGATTAGCACACCAGGCCCATACATATGTAGCGTACGTACCCTGCAGGTGTAATTGTCGTTGATATAGTACTGTGCAGTCTTATCAGACCGTTCTGAAGTCCCAAGCTTGTGGAAAAGCAAAAGAAGCCTGCCCCTGGGCTAAACACAATCTCGTTATCCACGGCACACAGTCCGCGGCGCGCGGAGGACCGCTTGTGATTTCTTATCACACCTCCAACACGTCGCCTCTGAGTCCGTTTGGGTTTCCTGCGGTATCACCAGAGGCACACCACCAGGCTCAGGGACGCCAGTTCGCCATGTCAACCAAGCAGGGGGCTCCCAGGACTGCCGTCGTAGTCGGCGCCGGCGCAGGAGGCATCGCCACAGCTGCCCGCCTCGCCAAAGCCGGCTACAGTGTGACGGTCGTGGAAAAGAATGACTTCACCGGCGGCCGTTGCAGTTTTCTCTATTCCTCACCCTCTCAACCTGAAGAGTCTGGCTCGGGAGGGACGTCAGGTCGATACCGCTTCGACCAGGGCCCGTCGTTGCTCCTCCTCCCAAACCTCTTCCGTGAGACCTTTCACGACCTGGACACCAGCCTGGAGGACGAGGGTGTCGAGCTGCTGCGGTGCCCGGAAAACTACCAGATCTTCTTCCACGATGGCCAAGTTTTCAGGCCGACCACAGACCTTGCCCAGATGAAGCGCCAGATCGAGCACTATGAGGGCAAAGACGGCTTCGAGCGGTACCTGGGCTGGATGGCCGAGTCGCACCAGCATTATGAGCTGAGCGTGGAACACGTCCTGCACAAGAACTACGACAGCATCACGACGGTGCTGACACCCTTCTTCGCCAGGATGGCACTCAAGCTACACCCCTTCGAGAGCATCTACAGCCGGGCAAGCAGGTACTTCCGCTCCGACAGGCTCAGGAGGGTCTTTACCTTTGCGACCATGTATATGGGAATGAGCCCGTTCGACGCGCCCAGCACCTACTCCCTATTGCAGTACACCGAGGCCGCGGAGGGGATCTGGTATCCCCGCGGGGGTTTCCAGTCCGTCCTGGCCAGGCTCGTCGACGTGGGCGTGCGGCTGGGGGTGACATACCGGCTGTTTACACCGGTGACCAAGATCCTGACGACGCCTGACGGGACTGCCGCGGCAGGTGTGGTGCTCGAGAGTGGCGAGACCTTGCGGGCCGACACGGTGGTCGTCAACGCGGATCTTGTATATGCTTACAGCAACCTGTTCCCGTCCCCTAGGGACAGGGAGAACGGCCTGCTCAAGAGTGCCACCAGCAAGATCATCGACAACTACGCCAGGTCCCTTCGGAGGCGAGACGCGTCCTGCTCTTCAATCTCCTTTTACTGGAGCCTCTCGCGCAGGATCCCGGAGCTGGGGGTGCACAACATCTTCCTCGCGGACGAGTACAAGGACTCTTTCGACGCAATCTTCAAGCGGCAGACCCTCCCGGACGACCCGAGCTTCTACGTCAACGTGCCCTCCCGCATCGACCCGAGCGCGGCGCCCGAGGGTTGCGACGCAGTGATCGTGCTTGTGCCAGTGGGCCACCTGCTGCGCTCGCAGGGCAACGAGGGCGAGACGGCGGCCGAGGAGCACGACTGGCCGGCGGTGGTCGCCCGGGCGCGTGAGGCCGTGTTGCGCACCATATCAGAGCGCGCGGGGTGCGAGTCGCTCCAGAAGTACATTGTCGACGAGATGTTTAACACTCCCTACACCTGGGAGGAAAAGTTCAACCTGGACAAGGGCGCAATCCTTGGCCTGAGCCACAACTTCTTCAACGTGCTTTGCTTCCGGCCCACCATCAGGGCCAAGGGGCTCAAGAAGGCCTACTTTGTGGGTGCGAGCACGTACCCCGGAACGGGGGTGCCCATCGTGCTGGCAGGTGCCAAGATCACGACGGAGGAGATACTGAAGGATGCTGGGATCGTACCGCCATGGGCACGTAAGCCGCCAGCAGTCCAGGATCAAGGTGTATCGCAGAATGGCGAGACCGCTGTGTTGGACAGGGTGAGGTGGAGAGGACTTATGGAAGAGAAGTACTGGGAGGTGGTGGTCTCTGCAGGACTGATAATTTTCAGTGTTCTGTTGTGGCTGTTTAGGAAAACTCTTCAAACCAAGCCGTATGAGATTTTGTAGTTCATAGGTCAGCTGTTAAGCACGTTTGAAAAGAAAAAAAAAATCCGAGTCTATTCTTACAGTATACAAAGAACGCTGCCTATTTCCAGAGCGTTTAGTGACAAGATCCCATGCGACCATGTCACTCTATATCTACTGCACAAAAACACTTGGAATCGCGATGCAGTCATGGTATCATCCCTCGCGGCCCCCAAAAAACGCGCTGCCGACGTCACCTCACAGCTTTGGCTTAGCGGGTCCTCTGGCTGTCGAAGCCTCTGGCTCTTTGAGCCTGACAACGCCCTGTGGTCGAATGTCAGCACCAGCTTAGCGGCGAGGAAGCAAGCCGGGTGAAGGCAAGCTCATGCTTGGGGACTCACCTCCTGGAAACAAGTCGCAAGGAGCGTACCGTCCGCAGCGAATATCCTCTGGGTCACGACGCCCCTGCCGTCGCCTGACCAGGGGCTCTCCATCTCACTCATCATCCACTCGTCGGCCTTGACCCTCCTGGGCTCGTGGAAGTAGATGGAGTGGTCCAGGGACACCATCATACCGATCTCGGGCCTGTCCTTCCAGAAGTCGGCAAACTCCTCGAGGGTGCTCTGGCCGCCGTAGCCTTCAAAGTCGTTGAGCTTGCGGATGTGGTCCTTGAGGTCGGGCGGGAGGTCGCTAAAGTCCCTGGCGGCGAAGGGGAAGCGCCACAGCTTGTGGATGCGCGACACGGTGCCGATGAAGTACGAGTCGGACACGTAGGCCAGGGCGTTGATGTGGGCCTGGTGGCCGCCAGCCTCGGAGATCTTGCCGCGTGCGCGGTACCACTGGCGCATCCTCTTGGTGTGGGGCGGGGCGGGGTGGTCGGCGCCGGGGCTGACGACCTCGGCGCGGTAGCTCTGGAAGGGCCCGCCGCCGGAGCGGGTCAGCTCGGGCTCGTCGTCGAAGTCCTGGGGCGGGGGCTGGACGGGGCTGCCGGTGGCGGGGTCCGTGGGCATGGGGGCGGCATGGCGCACGACGTTGTCCTTGAACTCGTGGTTGGGCGGGGCGGCCGGGCTGGGCCGGAGCTCCTTTGTGAAGGACATGGTTGTGGTGAAGATGCACTTGCCCTTCTGCCTGGCCTGGACGGTGCGGGTGGCGAAGCTGCGGCCGTCGCGGACGCGCTCGACGTGGAAGAGGACGGGGATCTCGGATGACCCGGCCAGGATGAAGTAGCAATGGCACGAGTGGACGGTGAAGTCATCCGGGACGGTCTTCTGGCCGGCAGCGAGACACATGGCTATCATGGCACCCCCAAAGACGCCCCTGGCACCTGGCGGGTGCCACAACGGCCGCTTGTTGGTGAAGATGTCCTGGAGGCGGGGGTCAGTTTATCAGTTTCTACAGGTCTAGATCTGGTGGGTGGTGGGTGGTGGGACAAGGGGCGGACGGTGCTGGCGAGGACAGACCGGGCCAAAGACGCCGAGCTCCAGCACGTCGAGGACATTCTCGATTGGGGCCTTGTCCGGGTCCTCGGGTGCTGGGCGGACCAGTGTCGGACGGTTTGTGCCTCCTTCCTGCGACATGTTGGCCTGGAGACGTCGACACTGTGGGTGCGACGTGCCTGGTGTAGATATGGCGAAGGGGCTGCTGGTGTCCCGGATCACATACACTTGCGATATGGCCGCAGGTGTGACGGGCCGAGCCCTTTTGGCGAGGCTTTGCCGAGGCTCGGCTGTCCGGGGTGGGTTGTTGCTTCTGAATCAGGTGGCAGCGCCCCACCGGCACGACCGGTGCCCGATCAGAGGCTGACTGCAGTCGGTCGCCCTGTTGGTGATGCTATACACAGTACAGTGGCGGGTCCTGTGCATCCTCTTGACACTTACAGTCGACAACTGGTTGAAAATTGGGTGAAAACCAGATCACACAATGTTGGCTGCTCACCTTTATCTGCGCCCGGGGTTGATCATGTCCAGGGTTGAACCCTCACACCAGACTGGTCGGTCGGCTGTACTCCGTAGTGTGTACAGCATCAACCCCATTTCTATATAAAATAACAGTGAAACTAAAAACAAAATAAAAAAGAAGACCCACCTGGACAATCCCAAGCTTGCTTAATACCCACAGTCTCACACACACTCACACACACACACACAAGGCTACCAGCCAGGAACCAGGGGTGGATTGGGAACGCCCCCGCTGTGATTCGGTACCGCCCCGTCGGGACGCCCCGGCTCAAAAGCGGGTACCGGCGGAGCTGACGTGACTGCCGGCCGGCTCTCTGATGCATCCCATTTACAATTTCGCAGGCCGATCCGGAGGTGAGCCTCGGAGCCCCCAACATCCTCTCCTCGTCCACCTGCCAGCCTGCCATTATGGCGTCCGCACTCCGACGCTCCCTCGCCAGAGCAGTCGCTCCTGGCAGCCGCGCATTCGCCACCCAGTCCGACCACCCCACAGCAGCAGCACAGCAGCCCGCCCGCGCCCGCCCGACATACTTCAAGAACACAACCCTCTCCTCCCTCGACTCCTTCATCGCCGACCGGTCCCCCGACCCGCCGCTCGCCCAGGCCGACGCCTACGAGCTCCGCACCGTCGAGGTCGGCCCCGCCGGCCGCAAGAAGACCATCACGCGCCTGCCCGAGTGGCTCAAGACCCCGATCCCCTCGCCCGGCGCAAACAAGAACTTTGGCAAGATCAAGGCCGACCTGCGCGGCCTGGGGCTGCACACCGTCTGCGAGGAGGCCCGCTGCCCCAACATCGGCGAGTGCTGGGGCGGCGACAACAAGAACGCCGCCACCGCCACCATCATGCTCATGGGCGACACCTGCACCCGCGGCTGCCGCTTCTGCAGCGTCAAGACCAACCGCCGCCCCGCGCCCCTCGACCCCCACGAGCCCGAGAACACCGCAGAGGCCCTGGCCCGCTGGGGGCTGGGCTACGTCGTCCTCACCAGCGTCGACCGCGACGACCTCGCCGACGGCGGCGCCCACCACTTCGCCGAGACCATCCGCCGCATCAAGTCCAAGAAGCCCACCCTGCTGGTCGAGGCCCTCACCGGCGACTTCCGCGGCGACCTCGACATGGTCAAGGTCGTCGCGGAGAGCGGCCTGGACGTCTACGCCCACAACGTCGAGACCGTCGAGGGCCTGACGCCCTACGTCCGCGACAGGAGGGCCACCTTCCGCCAGAGCCTCGACGTGCTGTCCGAGGTCAAGACGCTCAAGGGCGACGGCATCATCACCAAGACGAGCATCATGCTCGGCCTGGGAGAGACCGAGCCCGAGCTCTGGGACACCCTCAGAGGTAAGTCGTGTCGCCCGGGACACTCTCAATCAATCCTGCCCTGCCTATCCCTGCCGCCGCATTCATGCTGACACATCTGGTGCCCGAAGAACTGAGAAAGGCCAACGTCGACGTTGTCACCTTTGGCCAATACATGAGGCCCACCAAACGCCACCTCAAGGTTGAGAAATACGTCACGCCAGAGGAGTTCGACATGTGGCGCAAGCGTGCCCTAGACATGGGTTTCCTCTACTGTGCGAGCGGGCCCCTCGTGCGGTCGTCGTACAAGGCAGGCGAGGCATTTATTGAGAACGTCATCCGAAAGAGGGCTGGCGAGAAGGCTGCCGCCACAGCCTCCAGTGGTGTCGACGCTGCTGTTGCGCTCGGGCAGGACAAGAACAACTCGCTGTAGACCATGTACCTGAGCCTCCTTCAGTTGCGTGGTAATCCGTCTATTGGTTTTTATTGTATTTTTGGTGTTTGGCATAGAACCCCGGATTGGAAAGAATTGCATTGGACTGGCGCTGGATAGATATATGGCAGTCCTCAACACACGGCCGCGCTGGGCCACGGTAGTGGCAGTTGCTTTGCTGTGGCACGCTCCGCCAAGGCTATACAGGTGACGTTGTCCGGAGGCAGCATCTCAACAAGCTGCTTATTGCCAAAAACAAAAAATGGATGCTCGTTATGCAGAGGGAACAGCCATTGATTTGTTTGGCCACTTCTCACTCTCACTCCTTGATGACCACCGCGCTGCTAGGTACCTAGGTAGTCTTGTAGTCTTTTGTTTATGGGCGGCATCCCACACTTTAATCAAGCAAATTTCACCTTCAGATGAGCCTCCGTGGCCCATTGATCCACAACATCAATGCACAGTTACCGGTCAGACTGAACCTCATGGAATACCAGTCAGTATAGTCGCCTCCGGCGTTAACGTGAATGGCCTAGATTACGTTCGCCTTCTTCACATGATCCCCACTTCTCAAACCATTCTATTAAATGCAAATAGATGTAAATAACTATAGGCATGGACTTTATTAATCATTCAATGATTTAGTCATGAAAACAATATGAATGAACCCTTTTACGGCTAAGGACAAAAGACTTTGTGTTCTTAAAAAATAAGCTCATCAGCTGGAACCATCTGAACCCATGTCTGAAATGGGTGAGCCTTGACGAAAGTCAATTTCTCTACGAGTCCGCTGATGCCTTGGTATCTGGGACACCAGTAGCAACAACCTGAGCCTCATTGCCCCTTGCCTTTTCCGCATCAAGTTGCATCTGATTGTAAGGGCTTTCCAGCCGACCAGCGGTCCAAGCACGGATTCTCTTCCCGTAAATGTACATGACCGGCCCTCCCAGAGCAAACGCAGCCATAATACCGCCATATATGGCAAAGTTCGTCATGAAACCGAGTTGTTCAACCCATGTTGTCATGTCAAAGGATAGGGCGAACCCTACCACAAGACGGAGGGAGGACACATTCACAAGAACAGGCCTAATAGTTAGTGAGAAGAGGTCAGAACAAGTGCAGCTGCTAGGCTCTGTAGACTTACCCTGCAAACCGCGGATAGCTCTCCACCAGATAGACCGAGACGACCGTGCTTGTCGTCAGATACCCAAACAAAATAAGAAAGACCCCGACCAGTATCACAATAGTCGGCACCTTGCCAATGTTCTCACCGGCATAGCCCACAACGATGGGCCCCACAATGCCGGCTGACAATGGTATGATCAGACTTAGCAGGTGCGCCTCAGGCTCTCTTTGCCCGCCGTTCCGCCTGGCATGCCAGTTTGATATCTTGTCGGCCAGGAATCCTCCAAACAACCACACAAAAGGGCTGGCAACGACAAAGGGTAGGAAGATAAGGCCAGTTGTCTCGAATGACCACCCGGAGGCGATCTGGACAGATGCGAGCACCTGGGACATGGCGTTCTGGATGGCGGAGAACAAGGAGTTGATCAGAATCACCCATACTACATTTGGGAAGAAGGTTGTCTTCACGGTTTCCCAGATCGAACGAGCTGCCAAACCCCACTCGGAACGGACATTAAACACCCCAAAATTGCTGATCATGTCGCGCCGTCCGTAGTGAAGTTCATCAAGCCTGGGACGGGCCTCGCCCGGCCCGAGGGCATATACCTGTTTGCCGGCTGGCAATGAAGCTTTCAGTAATAGGCTCAAGCATGATGCGGCATGTATCGGTCTGTCGGATTGGGAAAAGAGTGAAAATGCATACCGAGCTCATCATCAGATCGGATCCAGCGCGTCTCAGGGACGAACGCGATTAGAAGGAGCCACAGTAGAATACCAGCCCCGGCAGTGATATAGTATAGATACCTCCAGTCAATACGGAGAACTATATAAGGGCTGAAAGTAAACTTTGTTAGTTCTCAATTCAGAGTCACTGGATGCAAGTTGTCCCACGGGGTCTTACGCAGAGACACCAAAGCATAGTACAAACAGTCCTTGTATCGTGCCAACGAGCGAGATCGCCCGGTTCCTCTGGTGGATGAACATGAAATCCTGGATTATAAGCGGTACCTGTGACCAATGTCAGAAATATCTCGCCACTCCGAATCGCCCATGAGAAAAGATGTATGAGGGATATGCACATGTACCCAGGCTGTCTGTCACCTGGAGCTCTTGACCGAGCAGTTCATATTCGAATACTTACCAGAGCTTCAACCGCACCGGCGCCGAGGCCCTGGAAGGCCCTCGCTGCGAGATGGCTGTTCAGAGAAGTCGAGTAACCCGCCCATAACCCTCCGATCCAAGCAATGGCGCCAGTGGCCAGTAGCACAGGACGTCTCCCAACGGCGATGGTGAGCGGAACCAGGAAGTACCTGTAACGGCATAATGTCAGCTTTGCAAGTCCACAAAGCAAGGCATTAGTCTCAGACCCTGAACGGGTTGTTGAGCCTTTCGTTCCGCATGTATACATTCACTCTGTCTTCATCATGAAAGCATATTCGAGTTTTACAGTTACCACAACAGGGCACGCTTTGGCTCTGAAGACATCACTTACGACGCAATACCGTTAACCAGCAGCGGTAATGATGCCAGCAGCGACACCTTCCATAGGGGCGGCCCATCCATACCCGACATCAGCGGGCCCTCGCCTGACCCGCCGCCCCCGTGCTGTGGCTGGCCGAGGACCTTGGGGTCGATACCCGCATACTCGAGGACGAACACGGGGATCATGGCTCCGATCACGTTCTCCGCGGCCAGCGCCAGCGCCCCGAAGAGCGACAGCGCAGCGACGGCTGCCCACTTGCGCCAGGGGGGCAGGTTCAGAGGATCCTTGGGGCTCGGGGTCGGCATGGGCACGAAGCGGATGCGATCATTCTCGAACAGCTGGGTCGTCCCGACCACGAGGGACTCGGGGGAGATGTCCTTCGGCAGGGGCGACATCGGGGCGTCATAGAATTCGTCCGTCGACGCCGGCGAGACCACCCGCGGCGGCTCTTCTTCCACTGTGTCAGGGACCATTATGAGTCCTGTTCTTTTCGCCAGTGTAGTCTAGGTACCGTAGCTCGAATGGTATGCTTTGGCTCCAAGTCACCTCGAGAGTTCCATCCCAACTCTGGACTCGTGGAGAGAGCAGTCCGTCCGTAATATAGGAAAGTATATGATCCCATGACAGGAGGACCTACGCCACAGTATTCTGACAAGTCTATCCCAACATTTCAAATGCTAGGGGAATCGGGCACGGAGTAATGGGACGGCGGGATAGTCACAAGTCCGGAGGATGCCTTTGGCTGCATACATGTGTACTCAGGGAGATCACACCATGCAAAGTACTACCTCTTGATGTGAAGCCTCTGAGACATTTGAAACGCTAACCAGGGTCAGATCAAAGAGGCTAAGGGATCGCAAGTGGCGTAATAAATATATATGGTATGGTGCAACGATACTAGTAGACGGTCTACAGGTCCATAAGGTGTGGTGTTAAGGACGAGCAAAAGTACCTACTTACTTTCTCAACCCTTCCCCCCCCCAAACTGTGCACAAGCTTTGTGCAAGTCACATGCAACAAGGATGCTTAACACAACATCCCAAGGAGGCAAATCGACAAGACATTTCGGAGTATGTGTCTGGGGGATAAGTCATAACATTCGAATTGTAACCCTGCGCGAACCAGGATCGGAACAAAAAGGTTCAGCAGGCATCGCCACGTAACGTACTGAATTGGATAACCTCATTTTAGGATCGTGTGGCTTCTTGTCCTTCGACCAGGGCCAGCTACTATGTCTCACGCAGGGTTAAAAGAGCGTTACTAATATCTAATCACAGCGACGGCCGGTAGTGCCTCTGCCTTTAGCACGACGAGGAAAAACTCTAATTCCGGGCTCAACTAGCACTGAGCAAGGCCTGGCCCGGGGACTCAGTTCACTTCTCAAGAAGACTGTTGAGGAGCATCTGCAGGGCGAAGAGGAGGCTGGAAAAGCCAGACTGGAAAGTCTAAGCACCAAACTCTGATCATATGCAGAGGAAATGAAGGAGTGCAAGTGAGCCAGCTTTTACGCGCACGAGTGCCCGTTCACGACTTCGGACGATCTGGCCAGAAGTCGTGCTCGAGTGACTCTAGACGACCTGGTCATTCAAGGATCTCAAGAACGCTTTTAAAGGAAGAGAGAATGAGGAGAAGTCCAACAGGTCCGCCTTGGCTGCATGGATGAGATATGCCAAGGCTGGGGTGCGTGCTTGAGGCTTCCAGGAAACGCGGAGGAAGACTGCATGGGAAATTGAAACTGTCTACCCGTTGTCCGTCTATCCTTTCATTGCCTCTGCACTCAGATCTGTTTTCTCTTTGTGACTGAGCTTGAGCAATCTGTACATGGCTACTGGAATGGACTAGTCGGGGATGACTGAAAGAGAGGAGAGACGTCCTGGCATTCGCCGCCAACTTATCCCACCTCCAGAAACCCACGTTATGTATGGTAATCGATGTCTGGCGCTGGACCCGAGCAGTATTACCCTAGGGTATGGACCGCTTGAGTGTGACTCGTCCAGATGGATGGTTTATTGTAACATCTGCACAATCGGTACCGCCACTTACGCCTCCTGAAGATCAGGCACCGTGATGGAACGCATCAGCCAGGTACCACTCGGGATCGGGAAAAGGTGATACAGGCATCGACCCTCGGACCCTTTAACTAACTCGGCGGCACGGACGAAATCAAGCCTGATTCACCAGTGCTGTATCTCAGTCTCCTAAATATGACTTCGCTTATCGAACGTCCTCGGACATTGGGGAGGATCTGAGATCTCGGCTGCACTTGTTATACACGGTGATGCTGATGACTTCAATAGCCAGCCCCCCCTGCGAACAGACACGCCTTGACGATTCCAACCTCATTTTATTAGACTGCTCTCGCCACTCTCTCGAAGCCCTGCCGGAAGATGACGCCGCGAAGAAAAAAAAATACCACCCAATTCCGATGCAATCAACCATACCGGCACCCCCCACCCCCGAAAAACCCTTCCTTCCTATTCAAGAAAACAAGCAGATGAAAGCGAGAAATGGTATATCGCAAATCGCTAAACAAAATGAAGATGAGACAAGCAAATGCTAGGGTGCCCCTTCCAATTGCCGCCACCAGACGACCGAGCAGATGAACAAGTAATTTGTGACATATCCATGAAAATAACAATCGACTCGATGCGCGCGAGACATCTCTCGACAGTCCGGTCAGCACTTGAACGCGGCCTGTGTCCTATTCTTTCTCTATCAGCTGAATCGACATTTGGTGGCAAAGGATATACCATGGTGAAATAAGCAGTGACCCGTCCTGCAAGTGGTTGTTCCCAGTCGAATTAGTGGCGCAAGCCGTAGATGTGATCGTAGGTGAAATCGATTCCGCTCGTCAGTGTGGCATTCCGTCATGCGCCGATTTCGTCGTGGGTTATGATTCGATGGCCGTTGCTTCAGTCTCCCCTCGGGCTTCCTCCTCCTCGTGAACCACAGCCAAGACATCATCCTCGGGGCCTGGGCCGTCCACGCAGGATGGTGCCTCAGTAGGCCAGGCCGGGACGGGTATCGGTGCAAATTTGGCACCTGTCTCTTTCTCTTTCGTGACCCGCAGTATCTCGATGGAGAGTTCCCACCGCCTGACCAGCCGTTCCCTGCGATCCTTGAACACCTTGGCCAGCGCGTCCTCCTCGTTGGCGAGCTCCGCGACGAGGTCCTCCATCTCCTGATCGCGTTTCTCCCGCTGCCTCTGCAGCTCGGATTCCTGACGCTCGAGCAGTTCCTCCATGCGCTTGGCCTGGCGATCCCGGAGCACATTAATCTTTGCCTGATGCAACCTAGCCATGCCCTCAAGCGCATTATGCTGTTGTCCCAGTTCACGAAGGTGCCGCTCGGTGATGACGCGAGGGGGCATGTCGCTCCCGGCCCCGCTCATCGACGACCTGCCCAGAGCCTTGCAATATGCCTCCATGTGTTTGACGCGGATGCGCACGCTCTTCTCTGCCTGTTCCAGCGACGCCCGCAGTTCGATCTCGGCAGCGATTTGGCGCTCCTCGAGATGTTGCTCGGTCTTGGCGTGGCGCTCCTTCATCTTGTCGATCTGGTCCGAGTACTTCTCATTGAGCTTGTGTTTTCGCTCCTCATGCCGTGTCCACATGACCCACTTGGTCTTCCTTTCAAATGTTCGAAACCGCCACTTCTCCTCGTCCTGCTCCTCCTTCAGCTTTTTGAACTCCTCGCAGGCCTGTGTTCTCTTCTCTGCCAGCTGAAGCTCTCGCTCTGCCGCGGCGGCTGCAGCCTCCTGGGCAGCCTTTTCGGCCTCGAGCTCGGCTTCTCGCGCGGCCTCTTCCATCCTCCGCCGCTCAAGCTCCTCCTCCCCGTTACAAAAGTTTGGGCAACCCACGGCCGGGTCCCACACAGCACCGCAAATGTAGCAGAACTGAGCCTTGCACCGGCACGTCATGTGAGTGCAACCCTGTGTCAGTTCCACCAGGGTGCGGCATTTGTAACACCTCCTCCAGCCCGACTTCTCCCCCATCCGGAGCACCTGGTCTAGCTCATGATCGTTGGGGCAATCCTGACCCACCGGGTGCGCATCCCTCTTGCACCAGATACACACCCTGGTCCTGCATTCCCGGCAGACCACGTCAAAAGGGTGTTTGGGGTCGATGCGGCTCCGAGGTGGAATGAATTCATTGCAGCAGGGGTTGGGACAGAAGATACGGGCCTCCCAGGGCGTGCTGTACTGCTGAACAGCCTTGAGGAACAGCTGCTGTTCGTCGCGGGTGAGGAGATTCCGGATCGTCGTGGACGGGATGGGTTGTGTGCAGCACCGCGGTGGCATCTTTGACTCGTCGGTCGTGGACTGCTCTATCATGATCCGCAGGCAGTTCCCGCAGTAGGTGTGACCACAAGGCAGTGTCTGGAGATCATTTTGCTTGTTGAAGTCGTCGCGACAGCATATGCAGGACCTGGGCGGCAGATGTCAGTATGTTCCCGTTCCCAGATGGACCCCGGGATCGCCGCTCGGGGCGATGGGTGCACCTACAAAGTGGTACTCGATGTATGAGACTGTCGTTTCCAGCGCACCTTGGCCTTGAGGCCGTTTTTTATGCTGATGTAGCTCTTCCTCGTGCTGACACTGAATATGCTCGGAGCGTTGTCGGTGGGCGTAGGCGGTCGCTTGAGGATCTTGGGCTGGCATAGGTTCGGTTCCAAGTGGGCCAGGTACTTATCGTAGGTGGAAAAGTTGAGGCTCCGCGCCCTTGCCCTCGAGCTTGGGAGGGGAGGGGGGTTCTCGCGTTGGCCTGCACCGGTATCCGGTCGCGAGGGGGGATTCGAAGTCATGGCTGTGTCTGCGGTGTTGTCTGAGGCGGAGGAGGTATTACGAGCATGGGTGGAGGAGAGGGCGTCGCCGGAGTCGGGGTCGGGGCAGTTGAGGTGGTCTTGGGACGGCGAGGGCGGCGGGGGGATGCCCAATTCAGCAGCCCTGCTGATCAAGTCTTGCTCGATGTGCTGCTCGGTCTCGACGGAGCGCAGGACCTCGACGAGGTAGGATAGATCGTCGAGCTCGTCCGGGGCGTGGGTTATGACGGGGTCGGGGGGGCTTGCATTCTGGGCAGTTGGCAGCAGCGTTGCAAGCGAACCCATTGTTGTGAGGTGGTTGTGCCGGGTCCGCCTGCGGGTGTCTCTGCAGGGCGAGACGACCGAGTTGCAGCAGGGCAGGGACAAGAGTATGGGCAGGGAAGCTCCGTCGGGCGGCGGGCGGCGGGCAGCAGTCAAGCCGCTAGTACAGGGTGCCGAGATGGTCAGGACGGGCAGACGGGATGAAGGAAAGCGTGGCGGTCAGACGCGCCCCCTTCATCGACGGTCCATGATCCAGTGACAGTTCAGGATGGCGTCGGCCGTTGCCCCTTTGCGGTAGGAGGAGGCGCGGCCAGTGCAAGTGCAAGTGCGAGTACAAGTGCAAGTACAAGTGCAAGTAGTGCGGGTGCGGGTGCGGGTGCGGTTCGGAGGGGGGATGGGTGGTGGTGGGGGGGGAGGAAGGAAGGGGGTCGGTGCGGTTGAAGATCGGGCAACGGGCGGGACTATGAGGAGTTAGGAAACCAGCCGGGTTCCAAGTGGGATGACGCGACTCTGGTCACAAATAGCAAGAGCGGACAGATAGATAGACAGTAGGTAAGTAGATAGATAGGCAGGGTGGGCGCAAGCACACGCACGTACTGACACACGCGCGCACATGCACACACACACACACTAATAGACAAGATGAGTGGTCGGCGGGGTCGGAGCTGGCCCTTGTGTGAGTGCGTGTTCCTGTCTCTGTGCTTGTGCCCGTGCTCGTGCTCGTGCTCGTGATCCTGCTGCTGCTGCTGCTGCTGCTGGCACCTTTACCGCCGTCGCTGTGTCTGTCTGTGTCTCCCGAACTCGTGCCAGGCACGCATATGATGGCATAAAGGGAGTCGGTAGGCGAGCTGGTGATGTTGATGTTGGTGGTGGTGGTGGTGGTGAGGGAGTGTATGTGGTGTGGGAAGAACAATTCTAAAGAGGAGAAGGCAAAAAGAAAGACAAGAGGAAAAAAAAACCCCAAGATCGAAAAGACAAGGCCACTGAGGAGAACACAGGTGGAGTGTACCAGAGACAGCAGAGGCAGAGTCGGATACGGCCCCGTATTTTGATAGATAGATAGCAAGCAGTCTGCCAAGTGGGAAACAAGAATCATGCACACCACTGGCTGACTGGCCAGGCACAAGCACGAAGGCGGGACTACAGCGCGGGAGGCGGAGACGAGAAAGACTGGAGCGGGCGGCAGTGGAGACGGGGAAATCGTCAGGCAGGCAGTCAGGCCAGTCCATCAATCAATCAATCAATCATTCAAGCAAGCAAGCTTGACGGGCGAGGTGGGCCTGTCTGTGCCAACGGATGGTTGACGAGTGATCGATCGGCTGGGGGAGGAGCAGGAGCGAAGTGGTGGCAGACTAGCTACCAGGACTACCTAGGCACCTTACCCAGGCATGGGGTAAATAAAATGTGGTGTCCCTCCACACAGTCAGTCGCAGTTTTGCAGGAGTGGGAGTGGGTTTGGACCGCGACCGCGACTGCCACTGCGACTGCCACTGCAAGCGCCTGACGACGGGCTGCAACTTCAGCCTGCACTTGAGCGGAACCGGCCACCCAGCCAGTGTGAGCCGGCGAGAGCTTGAGCTTGAGCGGTGCGGGATGCGGGTAGCGGGTGGTGCAGGGCTAGCAGGCGGGTGTGCATGGCAGGTGGTGGGTGCTGCCCTTTGCCAACCCTGCAGGTTCTGCTCCGTCCTGTGGTACGCACCACCTACGCTGGGTACCCAGGTAGGTAGGTACTTGGGTACCCAGCATCGACCGTTCGACCCTTCGACCGTTGACCCTCGACCCTCCATCATGGATGGCCACGTTCCAAAGCTGAGGCTTGTGGCACGTCGTCCGATGGATGCGATGAACACAGCAGCAGCGCCGCCCCGTGCCCGGCATTTCTACATTTCCATGGCAGGCGAGCCTCTGGTCTGGGGCTGCTGGGCCTTCGGAAACGACGGCCTGCAGAAGGCCCTCTGGCCCTCTGGCCCTCTGGCCTCCGTGGCCGCGGCAGTCGGCAAGCCTGCATTAGCACCGCCAAGGGCCCGCCTTGTTGGTCTGCCTGTCTGCCCATGCATGCCGGTCCATCGCACCTCATCCTCATCATCTCCTTCTGGACAAGGACATCCCGTCTCGCAGCACTCACCCGCTCGCTGACTGACTGTGCGGTCGTACCGAGCACTCCGTGGAGTGGGCTGTTTGTCGTTTCACCTGCTCACACCGCCGTGCCAGCCTGTCCTGATGCCCTGGTGACTGGCGACTGGCGACTGGCGACTGGTGACCGATGACTGATGGTCTTGCTTGTTATTACTGTGTGCTGTGTGCCGTGTCCACCGTCGCCCGCCGGCCTGTCGGATGCCCAGCAACACATTTCTTTCTTCCCACATCACGTCCCATCCCATCTTTCTGTCTGTCAAAGGCATGAAATAAGTCCCGCCGTCCATCAGAAAATGGGAAAACCCCCGAGGCTAGACCCCGTCTATCCAGCCCTATTTACCTCCCTGGGGCCGGCATGGGCAGGCAGACCCCTCCTGGCTGGTGGGGACGAAAGCTGCGGTGAATTGAGCCCGCCGGGATGCCGTTAATGCGTCTCGTCTCGCTGCCAAAAAGGCCCCAGCCGCCCCAGCCGAAGACGGTATCTGGTCTGACCCAGGACCAGAGAGACTTTTACACAGTACCCCAGAGAGAGAGAGAGTCTCCACTACCGAGTGTACGCAGTAGGGGTGGTCTTTTTTGGTCCTGAGCTGGTAATTTCTTTCGCAGACACGTGAATGGATGGCTGGCAGTTGTCTTTCTCGCCTGCTCTTGACAGGCTACGAGGAATAATTCAAAACACCGATTTCATCCAAACACTTCTCGAGACGGTCTGCGGCCTCGCCGAAAACCTTTCTCTCCCAGGACCCGAGCCCATATCTTGGGTGTCATCGGGCCTGTCTCCGGGTGTGTCTCAAGAGACTGCTGCTACCCATGCCTGCCAGCCTGCCAGGTCACCTCCAGCAGTATGCGGTCTCAGCCTGCCCAGCCGTGCCCAGCACTTGATAGAGCTGTGCCCAGCCGTCCCAACTTTTGAGACAAGCGTGTTTATCCCAGCTCGATCTGTGTCTGCCCGTTCTAGAAAGGTTCCAGAAGGGAGGCAGTAGATACTATGTGGTAACTGCCAGCCTCCCGTTGCTTTAACACAATGTGCGTGGGTCGTGCCGCCTCCCTGCCGCTCACCAAAAAGCTTCCAGTTGGACGGACCCTTACTTGTCCTACCCAATGACCAACTTGACCATTAGTTCCATTGTGGGTGGGAAAGCCCGCGCATCGCGCAAAGTACCTAGGGGGCCCCTCCCCAAGTGCTAGCCACTCATCCTTGAAGAAGAACATGACGGCGTGTTGAGGGACCAACTCTGTCGACCACTCAAATGTTGAGCCTGCATTAATAACACCACTGATTCCTTTACCCCTAACTATGCCGCTAGACTGTATACCCCCATGGCTGTGTTGTTAAAACAAGAAACACCCTCTTACATGTATCTATTCTGCAGTAGCAGATGCCATGTCCACATCTTTGGGGGTATCGATTGATTTGTTGAAATATTCAGACCGTGACACGACCCTCGAGTTGAAGTCGAATGGAACGCCGAGTCCAATGCTCATGCCCTTGCCTCTGTCTTTCGCCCATTTGCGCCCTCTGTCCCTGACAATGTCTTCTCCATGGCGTTGAAGCAATCTATTGCACATCCCCACCTACTTCTACTATCACTCCTGCTCTACTGCACAGATCCACCAGTAGTGTCCTCGACCGGGGGACACGTGCAGAACAAGTTCAGGTCTCCATAGGCTGTATTTGAAGTCATGTCAGCAAAAGTGCGATACCCATAATACGATGCTAATGGTCTGGTCAAGGCGAGGAAACGGGGGGGGGCGCTCACTATCGTCAACCCTTCCGACGCTGGGCCAGAACTTCTTCTCCCGAAGCCAAGGCAATGGGTACACGGCCTGCTCCCGAGAATATGGCCTGTCCCACTCGCCACCGACAATGTCCTGGACCGGGTGGGGCGCCATCTTGAGTACATTACCCTCACGCGGCATCCGGCCCTCCTCCACGGCGCGGATCTCGCCCCTGATGCTGATGAGGGCGTCCACGAAGCGGTCGAGCTCCTCCTTGCTCTCGCTCTCGGTCGGCTCGATCATCAGCGTGTTGGCAACGGGCCAGCTCATGGTCGGCGCGTGGAAGCCGTAGTCCTGCAGCCGCTTGGCGATGTCGATGGCCTCGACGCCAGACGTCGCCGCAAAGGGCCGCGTATCCAGGATGAACTCGTGCGCGCACCGCCCGTGCTCATTTGTGTACAGGATGTCGTAGTGCGGCCGCAGCCGGCTGAGCAGGTAGTTGGCGTTGAGGAGCGTTACCTGCGTCGCCTTTTTGAGGCCTTCAGATCCCATCAGCATGTTGTATGCCCAGCTGATGGGCAGGATCGAGGCGCTGCCGTAGGGCGCACTGCTGATCAACCCCTTGGACTGCGTCGTGATCACGCCCGTCGGCGCCAGATGCGGGATCAAGTGCTTCTTGACGCAGATGGGGCCCACACCGGGCCCGCCGCCGCCGTGCGGGATGCAGAACGTCTTGTGCAGGTTGAGATGGCACACATCGGCGCCGATCTCGCCCGGCGAGCACAGTCCAATCTGTGCGTTCATGTTCGCGCCGTCCATGTACACCTGCCCGCCGTACGCGTGCACCGTTTCGCACACCTTGCGGATCGCCGGCTCGAACACGCCGAACGTCGACGGGTACGTGACCATGATGGCGCCCAACTGGTCCTTGTGCTGCTCGCACTTGGCCTGCAGATCGGCCACGTCCAGGTTGCCCGTCTTGGTGTCGCACTTGATCGGCACCACACGCATGCCCGCCATCGCCGCCGACGCCGGGTTTGTTCCGTGCGCCGACACAGGAATCAGGCAGATGTCGCGCTTCTTGTCGCCGTTGGACTCGTGGAACTTGCGGATGGCGCGAAGCCCCGCGAACTCTCCCTGCGCACCCGAATTGGGCTGCAGCGAGACGCCGTCCATGGCGGTGATACTGGTGAGCTGGTCTTCGAGAGACGAGATCATCTTCAAGTAGCCCTTGACCGTGTCTCTGGGCGCATAGGGGTGCACGTTGGCAAACCCGGGCTTCGTGATGAGGGCCATCTCCGTGGACCCATTCAGCTTCATGGTGCATGACCCGAGGGGGATCATGGAGTGAACAAGAGAAAGGTCCTTGGACTGCAATTGGTATATGTACCGCAGAATCTCGGTCTCTGAGTGATGCGTATTGAAGATTGGGTGAGTCAGGTACTCTGACTGGCGCTTGAAAGGCCCAGGTAGCTCGGCTGTGTCGTAGTCCTGCTGGCCAAGTGATGATACGTCCTTTGTGCCGTTGAAAAGGGAGAGCAGGGTGGCAAGCTCATCGTACGTGGTGGACTCATCAATGCTGATGCCGACCTTGGTAGAGTCAAGACGGCGAAGATGGAGTCCGCGCTCCTCGGCCTCGCGCAGCAGGTCCGCGGCGGCGGACTCAGCACTCTGGCCCGGCTTGTGCACCACAAAGGTGTCGAAGATGGGGCCCTCGGTGAGCACCTCCCAGCCGGAGGCGGAGGCAACTTTCTTGGCCAGCTGAGCGTCCCTCGTGATCTTCTTGGCGATAGCCCTCAGGCCTTCTGGCCCATGATAGATTGCGTACAGCGCACTCATGTTGGCAAGCAACGCCTGAGCAGTGCAGACGTTGCTGGTCGCCTTGTCCCTTCGGATGTGCTGTTCGCGGGTCTGCAGAGCCAGCCTGAGTGCCTTGCCGCCGAGCCGGTCCTTGGAAACTCCAATCAGTCGGCCTGGCATCTTTCTCTTGTGCTTCTCGGTCACGGCAAAGAATGCCGCATGTGGGCCGCCGAAGCCCATGGGAACACCCAGCCTCTGCGCGCTGCCAAATGCGATATCAGCGCCCCACTCGCCCGGGGGCGTGAGCAAGGTCAGCGCGAGGAGGTCAGTGGCTGCAGCGAGGAGACCTCCCTTCTTGTGGACAGAATCGGCCAGTTGTCGGAAGTCCCTGACCTGGCCCAGTGTGTCAGGGTACTGGACCATGACGCCCACGAGGTCATCACCAAGCTCCTCCAGGCGCGCGGCAAACCCCTCTGACAGGACATCGGCCTGTTCAATCTTGACCCCGAAGCCACCAGCGCGCCCCTCCATGACGGCCAACGTCTGGGGGTGCAGCTGGTCCGAGACAATGTACGTCTTGCCTGGGCGCCTCGCCCGTGAGGATGGCAGGCTGTTGATGGACAGAGTCAAGGCCTCGGCAGCGGCAGTTCCCTCGTCCAACAGACTCGCATTTGAGATTGGCAGAGCCGTGAGGTCGGAGACCAGGGTTTGATAGTTCAGCAGGGACTCGAGCCGGCCCTGGCTGATCTCGGGCTGGTAAGGCGTGTAGCTCGTGTACCAGGCCGGGTTCTCCAGGACGTTGCGCTTGATGACCTCGGGAACAAGAGTGCCGTAGTAGCCGGCGCCGATAAAGCTCTTTCCGACCTTGATCTCATCCCGTTGGAGTGCGTCGACCATGCTCATGACCTCTGATTCGGAGAGCGCCTCCGTCACAGCTGCTTCGGTTGGCTCCACACCCTGCTCATGCCTCGACTTGGGGAACAGTTTCCGAGTTGACAGGATGTCAGGCGGGATGACCTGGGCGACGAAGTCATCCAGAGACTTGACAGGAGGGTCCAAGACCTTGAGCATCTCGTCGGCCGAGGCTTCATCGGGGCCGATGTGCCGGCGGGGAAAGGTGTCAAGCATAGCATATTCGGATCTACTGAAAGTTGACTTGTTCCTGGCGAAGAGCTTGCTCCCAGCCGGGCCACCAACCGAGCAGGGCCGGCAAAGCCATGGTCGTTGAGCATTGGCAGCGGTACGGAGGCTGAGATGAGATGTGGTTGCCTTTGGCCCGGTGGCCCGACTCAAACGACCGAGCTGCCGGGAGACGGCGAAGCCATTGGCGGCCATGGTTCCTGGAAGAAGTGAAACCAACCGCGGGGGGAACACCACGAGAAAGAGGGGAGGGCACGATGTGGAACACAGGGTTTTCCTCAGTTTGACTCTGTTTGAGCGTGAGGAACGAGATCAGAAATTGTCGGCACCTGAGAACCGGATGCCACAGATTGCTTCGGCGGCCGACGGCGGTGCCTGGTTAGCGAGATAGAGATAATACTACCAGCAGATAGATGCAGGTGTGGTGACCCTAGCATGCCATAGATTCGCCACTAAGTAGGACCCGACCAGCAGCTAGAGAGAGATATCCGGGTGAGAGAGACTAGGAAGCCGTGTCTAAGCGTCAGGAAACGTAATAAGTAAGGCGAGGGCGGGAGGTGAGCAGGACGGGACTGGCTGGGGGTGACACATGGGGGCTTGGACATACGGGAGTCGTGTGTTTGTATATTGTGCTTGTTGTGCTTGTTGTGCTCGCCGTGCCCGTCGTGCACAGTACTACCACGTAGCCAGCACAGGAGACGTGCGACGGCGAGGACGGAGGGCAAGGGAGGAGTGGGAGAATTTATCTACAGTAGCCCGGGCGTGCATCCTCCCTTGTCATCGTCCCATCGTTCTGTCATGATCCAACATCCATGGCCGTGCCAGGGGTCCTCTGCGAAAATGGCTGCGCCTGTGCCTTGTGCCTGTGCCGTGGCCCCGGGATCAGTGCTTTCTGCCCTGATAACGGCCCTCGAGCGCGCTTGCTCCTGGGCAGCCTGGGTAATAGGAATAATAAGCCGGTGCTGATTGTCAGTCGGGACGGGCAGGGCATGAGTCGCCCGTCCGTTCTCGCAGCACCGCGATCGGCTGCTGCCCCGTTGCCCTTGCCCCGGCTACGGTCGGGAGCCATGCCCGAGCGTGGAGCACCTGGGCAACACGCCTGTGTTGTGCTGTCACTGGTACCTGGGTGCCGTACTGTACCTAGGCGTGTGCCTGTGTACCTGCCCCAGCGAGCCCCAGTCCGCCCAGGTCCGTCGACCCCGGCCTTATCGACCCTTCTTCCGCCTTATCAAAGCTCTTTCCTAAAACTTTGTTGTCGCATCCAACAGAAACCCTTCATCACATGCGTCATTGCTCCTGCATCCACTCCAGCAGCAACTTCTGCACGATCCAGACAGCCCGCGCCAACCCTCCCCACCGTCACCGGCAGTAGAAGCAACACGCATTCAAAATGTTTGGAGGAAGTATGTGGCATCTGCACCTGTCCTCTGATCGAATGGCGCAGCATACTAACAAACGCCCGTCGCAGTGGGAATGCCGCAGTTGTCGGCCGAGGAGCTCAGGGCTGCCGAGGCTGAGGCTTCTTACACCGTCCAGCAGGTTGTTGTAACGGCTGTTGCGCTGTATCTCTGTATGTTTCAGCCCGGCAACAGTGACGCTGCGAAGCACCTGGTTCTGCTGTCTTCAAACAGTCGCTGACCTCTCGTCGCCTAGCCCCCTTCGCCGTCGACGCCGTTTGGAAGTTCTTTTAAGTGAGGCGGCCGGGACCACTTTTCGAAATATTCTCTACTGCACCGCATTGGGCGTAATGTGTACAATATTGGACGCGCGATATCATGGAACCCTCGGCGACACTGGCGGCGCACTCTCCTCATAGCATGCATTTCGTCATTGGCACTGGCGGCCGAGGCACACTCGGTTTTGGCAACGCGTGGATTCAGTTGTATGATACGGACATGGTCCTCGCAAAATGGAAGAACTAGATCACGACAATTGCCGTCCACGGCCTGTCACTCGAGAATGACTGTCCTGCTGCCTTGAGTTTCGTTGGACATCGGACTTGTCGGCCACTCGGTCGCTTGCATTGCTGACGACGATAGTGTCTGGGGCTGAACTGAAAAGCCTCCCGAGTATGTACCCAGTCCACGGCCAGGGACTGTTGAGAATGTGGCGCAGAGGGCCCAGATACGAGAAACAGTTCCGCACGGCCGTGTCTCATCGGATCCGATCGGACCGCGATACAACAGCTGTCCGGGTGCGACGAGATACATGCTCGGCCGATCAGCAACTGTTAAGCTGTGCTTTGTATCTCAGGGCTATCGTCAGTACCAGGCATTCATTCAATCGGCCCACGTTTGGCTTCGTCAGTCGGGCCGCGCTCATGGGATCCATCCAGCCCGCAAAGTAGACGGGAACGTGGGTCGATGCTTCTTCAGCTGCACCCTGCCCAAAAAAGACCTGTGAAAACCGTCAACCATGTGCTTGTGTGTGGACAGGCAGACAGGGCAGCTGGCCGTCGCAATGAAATGGCAGATCATTACCTAGGTAAATGCCACGCAGTCGGGACCTTGGCGTGGTTCGGACTTTGGGCAGCGGCCCGTATTAATGCAAATGAATCGGGGTTGCTGGGTTGTAAAAACCCGCCTCTCTAACTGGGTTGTTTCAAAAGCACCTGGCACTCTAGCGACCGAGACCCCGTGCAAGCAGCCTGCTGCGCCACCAAAACAGCCAAGCTAGACGACATCCCATCTACCCAATACCTCTTCCTATCCTGGCCTGAACACTGTCCTCCGCTCCCACTTCCTCCTCGACCATCATCACCCAACGACACCATCCTCCCAACCACAAACCTACTATCTGAGTACGAGTCCATCCTAATTCTACCTCAACAACCCCGCCACCATGGCTGCACGCCAAAAGATCATCGAGACCAACAGGTCGCTTCGCACCATCAAGAATGTAAGCAAGTCGTCGCCTGATTCCCACCCCTGTGTGCAGCACATGCTGTCGACCGGTGCTAATGTCCCATCGCAGGAACTAGAGGCCCTCCTCGAGAAGGGTGCCATCAGCGATGAAGCCTACGAGTCTATCCACGCCGCCCTCCCATCCGAGTCGCCGCTTTCCAGCGCACCCGCCTCAGCCGCACCCGCGCCCGTGCCTCGTGTCGCCTCACCACCGACCAACGGCATGGCCGCCATGAACATCCACCACCAGCAGCCCCCGTCCTACAACCAGACCACAGCAGCCGCGCCCCCGGCCCTGCCCACCCGCAACCAGCCGGCCCCGGCCCCGCCCTCCAAGCCCGTGATCGCGCACGCCCGGGCCCTGTATAGGTACCAGGCCTCCGACGCCCGCGACTGCTCTTTCGAGAAGGACGACCGGGTCGCCGTGTACGAGTACATGAACGCCGACTGGTGGATGGGCCGCAACGAGCGCACCGGCCAGGAGGGCATCTTCCCCAAGACCTACGTCGAGCCCACCGGCCCGGCCGGCCCGCCCCCTTCGCACTCGCCCTACCCCAATGAGAAGGCCGGTTTCAACGGCTACGCCGCGCCTGCCCAGCCCACATACGGCGGGTATCCACCCCCAGCACCTGCGCAGCAGAACCCTTACAACAACAACGTGCCACCCATGGCCGTGGCCGAGGGCAGCGGCCAGCCCGCCCAGGAGGGCGACGGCAAGGGCAAGGAGATGGGAAAGAAGTTCGGCAAGAAGCTGGGTAACGCGGCTATCTTTGGTGCGGGTGCTACCATCGGTAGCAACCTTGTCAACTCGATTTTCTAAGGGTGAGTGGGAGCTCGGCGAGAGAGACAATCGCTGTTGCAGGAGTACTGTTTTTGATTTTGCAACGAGTCAGATATACATCAGGCTCAAGTCGGCGCTATGGAGTTGGTCAATGGACGGGTGCCGCAGATGACGGCTCACATTCTTGCCTAGTGTCAAGGGAATTACGCACCCGTGGCACTGACGACAGCCTAGAAATCATAATGGCAGATTTTTTTATTTGGTCCTACGAACGGTCTACATCCGCCCTACTGCCACGGAGTGGACGGAGTGGGCGCGCCTTACAAGTTTTTCGTAACAAGTAGGAGGCTCTGCCTCATCTAGGACACAACGAACTTGCTCTTGTCGACAACGTACAGGTCAACGTACTCGTCAACAGGCGTGCTCTCCAACTTCTTGCCGTCCAGGCCGAGATCGAGCAGCTGCTTGACCCTGTCGGCGCCGTAGTGCGGCTCGAGGTGGCGCTTGTACTTGGCCAGAATCTCGGGCTTGGCCTCGTCGCGGCGCAGGCGGTGGCCCAGGGGCGCCTCGACGGCGACCTCCTCGAGGACGGTGCCGTCATTGAGCTCGACGGTCAGCGCGTTGGAGATGGTGCGCAGGTCCGGGTTGTGGTAGTCGCGCGTGTACTGTGGGTCCTCGACGCACTTGATCTTCTGGCGCAGCGACTCGACCAGCGGGGAAGTGGCCGCCTCGGACCCGTCTGTGTAGTCGGTCGCCTCGAGCCGCCCGAAGGTCAGCATGACGGCGCACATGTACTGCACGCAGTGGTCACGGTCCGCGAAATTGTCCATCGGCTTGAACTGCTTGTCGATGATACGCACGCATGCCTCGTGCGTGCGGTTCGTCACCGCCTTGATGTCCGCCGCCGACTTGCCCATCGCCTTGAGTTGGTTGTGGATCTTTTGAGAGGCCTCGATGGCGGTCTGGGAGTGGAATTCGGCTAATGAGGCGGAGGACGTTAGCGTTGGGATCTGCGTGGCTGGTTTACGGTCGGGGGCTGCGGTGGAGCTTACCCGGGTATGACACCTTGAACAGGACGTTCTCCATGACATAGCTGCCATAGGGGCGCTGGAACTCGAACTTTTTGCCCTTGAACAGCACGTCGTAGAAGCCCCAGACCGGGGCGGACAGCACGGTGGGGACGCCAGCCTCGCCCTTCTGAACCCTGAGCACAAGATTGACGGCCCTCTGGCAGGCATCACCGGCGGCCCACGACTTGCGGGACATGGTGTTTGGGGTGTGGCGGTAGGTGCGTAAGCTCTGGCCATCGACCCATGCCTGGGTGATGGCGTCGGCGGTCTGCTTCTCGCTGAGGCCCAGCATGCCGGACACGACGGCGGTGCTGGCGACCTTGACGAGCACGACGTGGTCCAGACCTACCTTGTTGAAGGAGTTCTCCAGGGCCAGGCAGCCCTGGATCTCGTGGGCCTTGATCATGCCCTCGAGCACATCCTTGACGGTGAAGATCTTGCCGCCGGCGAGGTTGCCGCCAGCCTTGTTGGTGCGGTTGACCCAGTCGGCGACGGCGAGGATGGCGCCCAGGTTGTCGGAGGGATGGCCCCACTCGGCGGCGAGCCAGCAGTCATTGTAGTCGAGCCACCGGATCATGGCGCCGATGTTGAAGGCGCCATTGACGGGGTCGAGCTGGAAGGGGGTGCCGAACACCTTGGTGCCGTTGGGCACGACGGTGCCGGGCACGATTGGGCCGAGGAGCTTGTTGCACTCCTTGAAGCGCAGGCCCTCGAGACCACAGCCGATGGTGTCGAGGAAGACATATCTGGCCGTGTCGAACTGTTGGTGGCCGCGGGAGAAGAGGGCGGGCGGTTAGTCTCGGGTTGCGGGGTAAGCGACGGGGGCACGAGGGTTGGGGACCAATTTACAGCAAGCTCCGAGTCGACCTTGTAGGTGTGGATGTAGTCGGCAATGTCCTTGATCTCAGGATCGTAGCCCACGCCCTCGGAGGGCTTGGGTGGCGCGGCGGCGGCTGACTTGAGGGAGGCCATTGTGTGGAAGGTTGAGGCTGTAGATGCTCTGGAGAGAAATCGAGGAGCGGCGCTCAGGACCGAGGTTCGTGATGCTCCACCGCTGAGGGGGAGGACCGACTTGGCCGACGCTGACCGCGCCGCCTGCGACGATGCAAAGGTCTTTTGGAGCCGCAACGACTTGGAAAGAGCACGATTGGCGGCAGACATGGTGTTTTTGCCTGTCAGAAAAAGATCCAAGGCCTTGCTACAGACCAATTGGGGCAGAGGCAGCAGTCAGGATCGTGAGGAAAGTTGGAGAGATGAACAGTTGGGGTCGGGGGGAGAAAACAACCCAGAGCTCCGTCGGCTTAACGCACCTGCCAGGCGGTCGACCCCTGCCGCATTCTTGCCTGTCCCGAGGTCTACGGAGTACTGTCGGCCACCAGCTACCCGTGCCTAGGCACAGGACACAACACGGAGCAGCAAGCAGATGTCATTGTGGTGATCCAGCTTGGCGGGGCATGGGGCACCCAAGTCAACAAGTGTTTCCCCCACCCGCCCCTCTTCTACAGTGCCGCCTCTCCGGACCCTGCCTGGGCCATGTTTCGATCCCGCTCATCCCCCCAAAAGTTGCAGCGCCCACGGCACTGCGTCTGCCACAATGCTCTGAGCCGGGCCGCGGTCGGTCGGAACCTGGGGGTGGGCCTCCCGAGGTACGGGGCCCCGGGCTCCACAGCTGGGGTATCGTATCGTCTTGTGCTTGTGCTCGTCCCAGCTGGCGCTTCACAGGAGCCAGTGACACGATACCGTCCACAACCTTTATGGGATATCCGATTGGTAATAGCTACTGTGACATGCGAAACTTGGGTGGATAGTAATAAGGCAGCTTTCAGGATATACTTATCATGCTACCTGAATAGAACAGTATATTCTAGCTTACAAAGCATCTACCATTGCAATCATGTGAGGCAAAGTATAAAGCATACTAGTAGTCTCTTAAATAACACACAATTCTAGTTAACACCGTTATTAATACGGTACCCCTTAGCCTTATCTGTATGTCATAATATTAAGGCTACAAGCACTAATTATTTTATAACTATAGTTATTAATACTATATTCTTTATAAGCACTAGGTCTTGAGCGCTTACCACTGTATGAAGGCGCCATGTATGTCCTCGGATGTATACGGAATAGAAGCGAAACTATATACCTCCCAGTAGGAAGACCAACGCAGATATTGATCTTCGTTCTTGTAGGATTCATGTCACCCTTTCATACCCAGATATCTTCAGGACCAGGTAGCAGGTCCATTGCAGCATGGTGGAACTCAAAGTTTTCCTGCCCTCGAGCAGGCGATGCCGCGTGCAAAAATAGCTGTCGCCAGTCAGCAGTAACAAAGACCGGGAAGCCTCTAGTTCCTAGCTACACCGGCTAAACATCCTAATTGGAATGGAAAGAAGTTTTCGCTGTCCCAAATCATGTATCAATGTCGTGTCATCGCAGTAACGGCCCTGCTCGGGCATGCCGCAGGCTTGGGCATTCGGAGGATGGATGCTGATTCTTCAGGGCTGAACACCCAGCCTTCCTTCTCTCTATTTCAGCCCCAGCCAAGGGACCTAATAAGTAGGGGTGGCGACTGCAAAGGTGGATCGTTGTCCTATACTAGACTTGGCTTAGGTCTCGAGAGAGTTTGCCTCCAATCGCCAGAACATGAGCCTAAAAGTTTCCAAGAGCACCTTTGTAAGAGACTCACGACTGGATAACCAGGCTGAGTCGCAACTTCTCTCGGTGACCTCGAGAGCTTGCCTCTAAATACCGGATCCAAGCCGACATCTCGAGTTCGCGTGCCCACTGCCCAGGTGCTCGAATTATCGTAGGAAAGTCGATGTTGCTCAGTCCCAACGACTCGCTAGCTGTGCTTTACTTTTCAAATCACCATGCAGCTCAGCTGGAGGACTAGGGATCACGAGCACTTCTATCTTGGCCCTCTACATCATTACACTCGGTGGTAGATACTCGGATTGGCCTCAACTCCAGTTCAATATCAGATCAAATATCTGGCAAGGACTCAGAACCATGCACGAGACGCATTCGATCCTGTGCATTGATGTGCGGTGTCACCTGCAAGTGACTGCCGTGCATGTTTGGTTACCTAGGTAAGTACCTAGGTACCAAAAGTTTTCGGTCCAGTATGTCCTCGAATACTCATCGTCTCCAAGGCGTTGCGGCTTTTTACTACCCTAGGGTATATGGTGGAAATGGGACAAGTCGAATAGGCGGATCTTATCGTTTTTTTCTATTTGCTGTCTTTGCTCATCTTTGAATTAGTAGTAGTCTTCTATATGTTTCAAAGCATTTCAAGGGAGAAAAGAATGATAAAATAAGCTGTGAAAGTTTTCAGATGTGGGTAGATCGCAGTGGTTGTATTATATCTCTTCTCTATATTCCTTGTTGATGCTGAATTGCCAAATGACTCACTCCAACTCCCTCCTTTACCAGCGTCCACCTACTTCAAAAATCTTGTGTCACATCTCACATCCGAACCCCTTTTACAGGCTTCTGCATGTGTTTGGATCTGAAGCGCCCGGTGAACCGGGCCGACCCGGGTTCTTGTCGCTCTGGTCAGCCGATTGTTCTTATCGTGTATCCCGATTTGGAATACAACGTACCTAGAGGTTACTGTCTGACCGTCTTTCTCTCCGCTCTACGAGGTAGTCTATCACAACGGCCACAGCCGCGACTATGCCCAAGTACCTGGGTAGGCTTGCGGTAGTAAAAATGGACACCGCTTGTACTAACTAATGCCGAGTCAGAGATCTGGCTAACCTGCCCAGGTGTTGACAGTACAGGGTGAGTCCCCAGGTTTTATCTAGCATAGACTTCTCAAGGCCTGCTCATGGATCTCCAGCGTACTAGTACACTATAAAAAAGGACATGGAAATACCACGTCACATTCTGGGAAGCAATTACTACCTAGGTATAGAGCTAGACAACTAAAGTAGCCAGGTAGTAAGCAGTATTACGATACTAATAACAACAGCTCTAAAGTCACCTTTTATAAGCAGGGAGAGAAAAACCAATTTGTTCATGGTATACTTAAGTAGTACTTTTTCATGGGTAAAGTCCCCGAGTGATGAGGATTAGGGGTTCACCCTGTAGATTGGGATCAAGCTGTCGAGTCAAGTTCCGGCGGGATGTTTCTGGCTCAAAGAGGCAGGTGATAATACAGGGCCATTTTTTTATAATGGAGACAAAGTGCCGATCAACCCCAAACGGAACCGACGCGACGTTACTGCCCGTCACTATCGCAAGATGCCACCAAGGAAATTGGAGTCCCGTCGTGAATTGCCGCTCGGTGGAAATGATGCCGATCCCTTGGGCCTCACTTACCTGGCAGCCTGGGCACTTTCACCGTTTATATCAGCGTTGACGGCAGTGCTTGCCCAGGTGCGGCCCGATGGCCTTCACGAATTGCGGTCACGATCCTCACGGCCCTTTCTGGCACCCAACATCTGGAAGCACCACCATAATGGCGCGCTTGGGATGCTTATTTCTGGCGTCGCTGGCCTCTCTCGTGAGCCTCACCCCGTCTGTCCAAGCCCAGGGGGACAACCTGGGTCTTGGCAATGGCTACACAACCCTCAAGACCCAGAACTTCGACCTGCAGCTTGTTCGTGACGCACAAGTCCTGGCCTCTCTGAAGGCAGCCGGCGGGACCTTTGACTTCCTCCCTTTTGGCTATCTGCCCTTCCGCGCCGGAAACGGCCAGTACCACTGGGGGGACGTGACCTTTCGGTACAGGCCTGTCGGCAGCACGGCCTGGATCAACGGCGACTCTGCGGCCGCAAGACAGCCGGTGAAGGTTGTCTCGGGCGCTGGAAACGGCACAAACGGGAAGAGACTGGCTGCTTCAAACCTGGCACCAACGCTTCCAACCAACACCACGGCTCTCAACGTCACCCGGGAGTGGCTCGACGTCGACGGTGACCTCGGCCTGTCGTTCACCTTGACCAATACCGGGACCAGTTCCCTCGAGGTGGGGAGTCTTGGTTTCCCGGCCGAGTTCAACAGCATCTTCACCAACCGCTCTGCGTCAGAGACCCAGCAGCTCTGCTCGCTGTCTGACCCTTATATTGGCCTGCACGGAGGGTACATCCGCGTCGCGCCGATCAACGGTAACGGGGCTGCCTTGGTCGTCACGCCACTTGGAGACACACCACTAGAGGCGTACCGCAACCTGGCCGAGAGATCGTACGCGGCCACAGCATACGGCAGCCAAGTCTTTGAGGGCTTCTACGAGTGGCAGACGGTGAGCAAGGCGTACGCAGAGAACGAGTGGAAGGGCAGTGTCCCCTGGAACACGCCGACCTCGCGGACCATTGCGGCCGGCCAGTCCCTGACGTTTGGCCTGAGGTTCTCGCTCGCCAAGGGCGGTATCAGGGAGATCGACGATGCGGTCCAGGCCACCAAGACCCCGTACGTGCGCGGCGTCCCCGGCTTCATCGTGCCCCAGGACCTCGCGGCGCAGCTCCTTGTGAACCCGGGATCGGGCGGCAGCGTCTCAAAGGTGGCTGTTGAGCCGGCTGGGGCACTCACCCTGACCCAGACGTCGTCTGGTGTCTACAGCGTGGTGCCCTCGGCCAGCGCCTTCGGCCGCGTGAGGGTCACGATCACGTACGCGAGCGGGCAGCTCCAGACGGTGCACTACTTCGTCACCAGGTCCGGGCCGGCCACTCTTGCCAAGCTCGGCAATTTCCTGACGACGGAGCAGTACTATACCGACACGAGCGACCCATTTGGCCGGGCACCGTCCATCATCAGCTACGACTACAGCAAGAAGGCCAAGGTGCTCCAGGACTCGCGGGTGTGGATCGCGGGGCTCTCGGACGAGGCGGGCGCCGGCTCATTCCTGGCGGCGGCGATGAAGCAGGCGGCGCAGCCCAACGCGCAGGAGATGGCCAAGCTGGAGGCGTTTGTGGACGGGGTGCTGTTCAAGACGCTCCAGCCCGACGACGGCACGTTCAAGGTGCGCAAGAGTGTCTTCTACTACGGCCTTGCCGGCTACACATACTCGACAGACTTCAACTGGGGCAGCTGGACGTCGTGGAACAAGCAGAGCGCCTATGCCACCGACCGAGCATACGACTACGTGCACGTGGCGGCCACGTACTGGGCCATGTACCGCGCGGGAAGGGCGTACCCTGGCACCCTGACCAAGCACCCGTGGGACTGGTACCTCAACCAGAGCTACAGCACTGTCATGTCCGTCATGGCCCAGGACGCGGGCGGCAACTGGCTGGTGGGGTACTCCACGGTCGGGCTGATGGGGGAGACGGTGTTTGGCGAGCTCCTCCGGGACCTGAAGCGCGAGGGCTTCACCTCCAAGGCCAACGACATCGAGGCCAAGATGCGCCAGCGGGCCGTGCTGTGGAACTCGCAGGAGGACCCCTTCGGGTCTGAGATGGCCTGGGACAGCACCGGCCAGGAGGGGGTCTACTACTGGTCCAAGTATTTCGGCTACACGGCCACGGCACAAAAGACGCTGGGGACCGTGCTGGGCTTCCAACCGACAGTTGCCCACTGGGGCTGGAACGGAAACGCGAGGCGCTACTGGGACAACATGTAAGTTTGGGGGTTGGGCTCGAGGTTCCCGCCACATGTGCACTCGACACAGACTGACCTGGCACCAGCTACGGCGGCAAGCTCCAGCGCATCGAGCGACAGATCCACCACTACGGCTCGGGCCTGAACGCCCTCGTCGCGCTGTCGGCCTTCCGCAGCAACCCCAACGACACGTACCTCCTCCGCATCGGCTACGGCGGCATGAACGGCCCGCTGTCCAACATCAACAGCGACGGGTTCGCCGCCGCCTCCTTCCACTCCTTCCCAGACACGCTGGCCTGGGACGGGTACAGCGGCGACTACGGCCCCAACTTCGTGGGCCTGACCCTGGGCACCGGGTCGTACCTGGTCGAGGACGAGGACCTGGGCCTGACAGCCTACGGGGGCAGCGTCGGGGGCACGGCCGGCGCCGTCACGGTGACGCCCAAGGACGCGGCGCGGCGCAGGGCCTTTGTCGGTCCGCTCGGGATCCTGTTGGAGATCGACGCCGGCGTCATCAACGAGTTTACGTACACGGCCGCCGACAGGTCTGTTTCCGTGACTGTGGGCCAGCTGGACGGCACCCCGACGGCCAACGCCACCAACATATGGGTCAGCAAGGAGTCTGGGGAGGCGGGCTACAAGGTCACTGGCCCAGGTGTCACGGCTGCAAGGTTGGGCTGGATGGTTCCTCTGACTTCTGGCTCTGCCACGGTGAAGGTCGTACCCTCGTAATTGCCATGTACCCTACCTAGGGTAGCCGAGAACAAAGTGTAGACCCGATGAATCCACCAATGCCCAGTTGTTCTGTTCCACCATCTGGCCATGTCCGCTCACTGAGCCCTCCAAATCCTTGCCACCCTGTCCTTGAAATTGACCTTGACCTTGGCCTTGACCTTGGCCTTGACCTTGTGCAGTGCCGCAGCACCTCCTCTCCCGCAATGACCGCAGTTGAGGCTCTGGCACGGCTTGAGCGTGTGGATCTCCTCCATCTTCCTCGTGACCCTGTCCTTGTACTCCCGGGTGCTCTCCCTTGTCGAGTCCCGCGCCCCGACCATTTCTCCCAGCTCCCTGTACATCTTGGGGAGCAGCCTCTGGATCTTGATTTGCTCCTCGATCACGGCTTCCATCCTCTCCTCCACCCGGGCCGTAGCCCTGCTGTCCATCCTAGCCGATGCAGACCACAGGTCTGCTGTGCACTTCTCGAAGGTGTGAGCCAGCTGCATGTGTTTCTTGTTCATGTTGTTGAATTCTGCATGCATGTCACGGCATGCTTGGCTGAGATTGGCATCCGTGTTCTCGCTGGACGTGACCAGTCCCTGTAGGATAGCAGCCTGCGCCTCGAGGTCTTGGAGGTGGTTCCTGGGTGAAGGCATGTTGCATGTTACCAGGATGGCCGTAAGCTGAAAATCATTGGTTGTGACCAGCTTTGATGATAGAACCACGGCTGTGAGGGATGGACCAGGAGGAACTGGCACGAGTTTGAGAGTGAGGAAGTCTCGGTGTGGTACGAAGGTTACGGGGTTGGGTTGCTGGGCAGAGGTGGGTAGTAGCTCAAGCTTGAAGTTGAGTCGTTGGGGGTTCATAACAACAGGTCACCCCGACATGGAATTGCCACCTCAGGCTACAGCATTGCCATTTTCAAGTTGATATATGGAGGCTGTCAACTTCCTGAAACTGGTGGAATCAACGCGTGCATGCCCAATGCTCACTTTGGCTGATCACATTCCACGGTCGAGCACAATCAGTTCCAGGAACAGGACAATGGGCGACATCTTGTGGGAATGTGTAGGACATAGATCTTGGTCCCTGTCCTTGTTGAGGTCTTTGTAGGAACAGATGGCACAATTCAGCAAGTGACTGCCAATTTATTGATCTTCTTCTCTTGTATACCGAGCTCTGCCCGACACTGGATTTGACTTCGAGGTTGTCAATAATATGCCCGACCACTGAAGCACCTTTGAGTTGCTCTTGGTCCATCCTGACTCATTTCTCATGAATTCAGCTTCCCCAATCTGTTCTCTGAGCAGGGAGGCAAAGGCATCAAGATGATTTCTGCTGGACACTCTTTGGATTTCTCTGGCTAACTATCTCTCACACCCATTACAATGCCTTTGGGTGGGTCATTATCATCAAGGCCACTTTCCTGTCATCCACTCACTCGTTTTCCAGTCCCATCTTCCTCTCTGGACATCTCACAGTCAAGCATTCAGTGCGTCAGTGAGGTTGCTGGCTGGTAGCAGCCGTGCCTCGATCACATGAAGACGCTGCTTTGCACGAATGGTGTCCAACTCGATCTCGGACAACTTTTTGCGAGTTGCCTTCATTGCCTCGGCCAGCTCAGAGGCCTTCTGGCTCAGGCCCCGAAGACGAACTGCAAGGTTGACTCGCAGGTTCTTGTGGGCCTGCTCTAGACCCATTGCTGTGTTGAAGTCGCCTCGCTCGTAGGCCTCCTCCACAAGCTTGGCGTGCTGGATAAGGTCGCCTTGAAGCTCTTTCTTGTCGTTTCCAAGCTCCTCTTCCTCAGAGATGAAGTCCTGGAGGTCGAGTTTTGCAGCATCATGGCTGAGACGTAGCTGATTGAGCAGATGGTGTACCTGGTTGCGCTTGGCAGAAAGCTCCGCCGAAGGCTCTGCAGAGAGCGGGACTCTCCTGACAAGGCCCCCAAGGTTGACACCCACTGATTGAAGACTTGTTAGATTCAGAGATACTGGGGCCACTGAGGAGTACACAAGTTACTTACTATCAACCTGGTCGAGGAAGCGCTGTTGGCTTCCAGGTCGGTAACCCAGGTCAAACACGGTGATAGAGGAGCGAGGAACGTCACCCAAAGAACGTTGAGGGTCCATCTTTTTGTATGGGTTGTATTGGGGTCGAAAAGGCTGGAGCTCAAATGAAAGTTGAGGACAGGTGACTGGACAAGGTCCTGGAATCAACAATGGATCTTTGACGCGTTTGCTAGCATGGTGTTGAGGCATTGGGACACAAACTTACCAAGGGTGTAATTTTTTCATCGAATCAAGAATCCTTGACGAGTAGTTGCTTGAATAGAAAGTGAACTGATGGAGACGACTTGGTTTTGTGCCTTGTTGCTATCATTGGCAGTTGACAGTCTCTTGGAGATTCTCTAAGTCGTTGTCCAAAGGTCCAAGGCGTACCTGAGTGGTGATAGTGTCCAGGGCCAGTTGCTGCTAGCTACCTAGGTACTTATGGAGATTTCATGTCGGGCTCGACAAAGACAGGTGAGCCTAAGATCTTATGACCCAACTGCGGGGTCTGAATTGCCTTTGAAGACCTTGTTGGGGGGGGGGGGGGGTTAGACGAGCTTTGCCAATTCTCCAGGTGATGGCTCATTTGGCTGCTGTTCCAGATAGAACCAACCCAAACTAGCAAAGGCCAGGCCAGGATTCATGTGCTGTCAGTGCCGACAGCTCAACTGTCTGTATCTTCGCCGCAAGAGGAAGAACAGGTATAATGTTCTACCTCCCAACCTAAATGTTAGTTCTATAGATGCTCAAGCCCATAATTTGGCCCTGATGACGAGTTGTTGAATGAGACCCTGGTATAGCCTGTCAAATTGTGTGCCAGCCCATTATATGCCGAAGTCATCATATTCAGAAGATTGGAGCCGACTGAGAAGTAACTTTCTCTCCAATGCAACCAAGACGAAGGGTTTCCAGTGACCCTAGGTGGCCAGTACAGCGTCTTCCAATTTGTTGGCATTCTCATCATATCAAACCCAATTCATGAGATGACATGATGACAACAATCTGTGAAACCCTTGCAAATTTTGCACAGGCGACCTTGGAAATTGTGTCCCTTATCAAGTCTCATCTCAATGCTGTTAATGTGAAGGCTGGTCTCCATGAGCTGGGATGAGATTCCCATGTTATTGGGTATGTCTTTTGTAAAATTGTGTCCATCAGTGGTTTCTGCCACAAGATCCCATATGTCGGCCAGCTGGCTTTTGGCGCTTAGACTCAATATTGAGAGAAGGTCGTGCTTGCGGTGTGAATCGGCCAGATCTCTGTATATCGGTGAAAGCAGACATCTTCGGCCCAGCAGGAATAAGTTACCATGGACGGATATTATCATGAGGTAGTCCCAACTGGAAACTAATGATAATAAATAGCGGAGGCTTTAGTGGTGATGATGGTATACCCTTTCATGAGTCACTGAAAGTGTGCTATGAGTGTGACAGTGGCAACCAGCAGCCTGGAGATTGTCCACGAATCATGAGTTTCCAGGCAATTCAGGTCAAACTTTTGTTTTGCATCCGATTCATCCATGTGGTCTTGGAGACCACAGGGGATAAAATGATGAAAACTCGCTGCCTTCCAAACGTGGTAAAGCTAGGCTCTCATCTAGATCAGAGAGTATATGTGTTCAAGGGGCCTCTCTTCCTGAGGTGGCCAATTCACCACAGAAAACTCTCCGTCAGGGAGTTTCAAGACAGGGCACAGACCAATCTCTTTGAAGAAACTGGGCCAATGAGTGGGTTGAAGTGAAGAAAGGGCCCAGGGTGACTGAATAGCCCCAGGGTGACATAAACCCCAAGACATGGCCTGACAGCATCCAGGTAGAATTGTCTCAGCCAACCATGCTCTCTTGAGCTCATGGTCAAATGATACGGCTGAGGCCAAGAGTCCCCTCTCTCGAGGTCCTACCAGAAGTTGTCCCACAGGGACAGTTTTCCTCTAGGACAACTTATTGGATGACAGAGTGGAAGCCAGGCAGATGATAGAAGCCCTACCATAGGTATTTTGAACTCTTCATGATCTGGCTGTGTTGGAAGTACTTTCATAAGTTCGGATGGCATTGGCATTCCAAGATCCAGCGAGTGGTGGAACCTCCCAGGAAGAATGCCCAAGTTGTCGAACCAACCTGGCCCGTCTCCAGGGCGTGGTGAGTGGTACTGGTAAGAATCAGAGATATACCACTCCATTTATGTCCTCGGACGTATACGGAATAGAAGCGAAACCACGTACCACTGCATTCTTCCCACCATTTTTGAGTTTGGTGGCCGTCTGATTTCGAGATCTGGAAGAGACCAAAAAGACCGTCACCAGCTCCTCGGCCTTCCCTTCCAGTAGGCACCCCGATGACACTGCTCTGACCTATTACTCAATGGAAAGAACCAGGTTCTGGATGAGAGCAGAATGAGAACGCTGGTGGGGAAAGGTTGTGAGGCCATCTGATGGACGGATCAATTTGATGTTTGATTCTGCCTTTTTCTTCCAGTGGCTGGAGCTCTAGGCAGGGATTGTTGACAGAATTATTGATGATGTCGTAAAAGACTCCATGGATGACCAGTTATGAGTCCAATGTCCACAAACTTTAGTGGTGGTTCTATGCTCGTGAAAAATTGTGGCGCCTTTGTGCCCAATGCAACTTCGAAGATTGAAAGATGGTGCAAGGTGGAAGGTTGCCTGGTTCTCACCGGAGCCAAAGTGGTTATCTGAGCAGAACAAACGGAAGAATCGGCCATTTGACAGGTGAGTCACCCCTGACAAGACAGGAGCATGTGTTCTTATTGTAACATTTTCTAGGTTGGTTTTTGTGTGATGTTGGGTGGAGAACGACAGGTGATTCTCTGGAACTCCCAAAAACACCTGGGAAGTGCAAAGAAAGGTACACACTTGAGTAAAAAGGTTGGTTTCATGCAAAGAAGTGCCGTACATATGCCCAATCTATTACACTGGTTGGGTACCCACCTCGTCCAAGGTAATTGTAACGGTACGGTGCTTATGATTGCCGGGTTCCAAGTTAAGTTTGCTTGGAATTGTGGTCTTGTGGCTGGGGCGTCGCGCAGCATTCGACAGGTCCGTCTCAGTAATCTGCATTGGCACTGCCCGGCTCCACCCACTCAGTATTAGACTGGCCAAAGTCATGGACTCATACGAAAAGATCGAGCTCATTAAGCCAGCTCGTGAGCATGGATTATATCTACTGCTTATGCCTGGAATACCAGCACGATGCCATCATCACCAGCAGTGATGATCCTCTTCCCGTCAAGCCCCTGCACAAAACCCAGCACACCTCCACCCTCACCGTCTCCCCGATGGCCCTTCCACTCTTTCTCAAGGCCTGCAACCGTCGCATTGGGAACATGCTGTGTAGGGCTGGCACCCTGCAGGTTCCACCTTCTCACCACACCATCCATACCGCAGCTCGTCAACAACCACTGCTGCTGTGCTGCTGGTAGCCCTGCGGTCTGTGCCTGCCTCACCCACTCGACCTTAACGACACTAAAGTCTTCATGTGCGCCTTGGATGTGTCGCCGGACGGAAAATGTCCGGCTTGGGTCGTAGACCGTGATACTGCCGTCGACCGAGCCAGCAGCCAGGAGGGGTACTGATGCGGAGCTTGGGGCGAAAGCCAGCGTCTCGATACCGTCGGCCTGCACCTGCAATGCCGCCAGGATCTGGCCTGCCTGTGCCTCGGCCCCAGCCCCTCGCGTTGCGCCTGCCTTGGCGCCCTTGGCCTTTCCTGTCTTCGAGCCGGTTTGTGGTGTAGCTCCTGCCGCCTGTTCCGTGAGCCGTGGCAGGCCGACAACCCTGATAGCCCCTCCGGCGCCACCAACAGCCAGGTATCCTCCCCGAGGCTCAACGGCGACGGAGAAGAGACCGCCCTCTACAGCGAACCTCTGATCCGTCGGTGTGAGGGAGACGACGGTCTGACCATTGTCACTCACGTGGCCCTTGGCAGCCGCGAGTCCCCATACGTCCCATACGTATAGACTGCTCTCTTCATCCACGGTGGCGAGCAAGGATCCATCTGGCGTCCATGCGCCGGCCGTGCAGCTCGAGGTGTGCAGGAAGAAGGTCTGGACGATCTGGAGTGGATTTGTGGCGTCAGATGGATCGATCGTGTATACCCAGACGGACCCGTCGGATGCTCCCAGGGCAATGGAGTTGGGGTAGTCGTTGCTGGGGCATGGCGCCAGCCAGTTTATCTCGGGGACTTCCTGGCTCTCGCCGACGGGGGTGAAGCTCGGTTTTGACGCGTCGACCTTGTACGCTTTTAGGCGGCCATCAAGGCCGCCCGAAACGAGGAAGTCTCCGTTGGGAAGTGTGAAGGCCAACGAGTTGATCGAGTCTGTGTGTCCGTCGATGGCGAAGACGGGCTGAACTTGAACGTTCTCCTTCTGGCTGGCCATCTCTCTGGCCGCGGCCTGGGGGTCGGCGGCGAAGCTTGGTGGCAGCACGGGCCCCTCGTTGTGCGCTATCTCAGGGACCACAAACACATATCCCTTTCCTGGAGCATCGTCGGAGTCTCCCTCGCTGCCGCCGGTGGCTATGATGTTTGGGTTCGTGGGGTGCTGGGCGATGGCGAAGACGGAGTCTTTATGGGCGTCGAAATATGCGACCGAGTCGTTCACGAGTTGCAGCTCCTCCCCTTCGTCATCGTCGGGCTCGGACATGTCAATGTCCCCATCTGCGTTCTCTGCTGGGATCTCCTCGGCAACCTCGTCCATGTCGACGACATCCGGCTCCTCGTCGGAGGCGGGGTCGTGGTGGGGCTTCGAAGACATTGTGGCAGTGTATCGTGGTGAAGTCTCTGGGGAAGGGGGGAGTGTTTTCACTGTTCGGGGAAGCGAAACACTACAATCAAAGACCACCAGTTCGTAGGGATATCAGGCTCGAAATTTATGTCGGCTGGCGGGGATGACTGGCAAGATTGTTGCCCTGGATAATAGTTTGATTTCTAAATTTTTGCTTGATAAGCAGAGGAAAGGGCGGGGCAAAGATGGATGTTCTAGAAGATCAGGATCGACCCGCCCCCCCTGCCACCGGCTATCGATAAGCCCTGTAAGCTTAATGTGATGACAGCTGCAGGGGTCCGATGCAGGGGCCAGAGCTTACCTACTTAGTACTTAGGCAGTGGGCAGGTTGCCAGGCCTAGATAATCAAACCATTTGGACAAGATTCAACAGCCATAAGATACTATCTGATCTAGGTTCGGGCTTGCACAATAGCTGCACAGAATACCAGTCCACACCTAGGCACTGATATTCACGCAAACAAAAATTGGATTCTCGCCCACAAGCCGTTTCCAATGGCCCACCTGCTAAGATCATATAAATCAGCATCGCAGTATGAATAAACTCCTAGTAAATGCATGCAGTGGCAGACCAGTCGCCTTCCCATGTTTCCTCGACAGTGTTCACAACCTCGGAGACAATGGAGGTCTACAAATCCTTCATCGCGGACAAGATGGCCATCAAGGCCCAAACAATTCGGCTTCCGCCTCTTTGTAGAGCTTGTACTTCCCGTCAAACTGATACGACCCCTCCTCAAGGCCTGCCAGAGCCTGGTTTCTCTTGCCGAAGAGCCACGACTTCTCCTTCTCGCCGCCCTTCTTCAGGTAGACCCAGCTTCGCATGCCCGCCCTGGGGAGCTCATGGAACCTGCGCCTGCGCTCCTCCGTCTTAGAGCCGTCCCCGGAACCAGAGAGCCAGACGATGCCACCCAGCCTCGCAGTGACAACACCGCTGAGCAGGCCAATGAACAGCCACGGATACTGCAGGGCCTCTACTTCGAAGGCACTGATGGTCTCATGGGCGACCTTGACATAGTCCGAGTCCCCGAGAATGAATCCCAGCCGAAACAGGTTGGACGTGGATACTGCATTTGTGGACGGCTGTGCGGTGTCCATGCCGTCCTTGAGGCGGAGGATGACATGTTCTGCCTCATCTGCCGTGGAGTAGAACCCTCCACAGGCGGAGTGATGCGCCATGGGCGTGACTGGCCGTGAGGTGCTGGGCACTGTCGGGTCATAGAAGAGCTCGATCTGTCGTTCTGGACGGGCTTATGTTAGCTCCTGATTTGCGTTGCCGGAAAGGACAATCACTTACTCTGCAGGCTGTCGGCCCATTCAAGCCAGTTCTCCTCTCCTGTCGCCTCATATAGATCCAATAGGGCCTCGATCAGGAAGGCATAGTCCTCAGCGTATCCCTGTACAGAACTCCGCCTATCAAAATAAGACCTGTACAGCAGCTTCGCCTGCGCGTCCCATGACCGCGTCTCGATGAATCTTGCCGCCCCTGTGGCTGCATCCAAATATTTCTTGGCCTTCTCGGGGTCAATAGATTTGATGGCTGAGCTCGTCCTCGCCAGTGCGGAGATCACCATGGCATTTGTGCTGGTCACGGCTTTCGTGTCCGCCTCCGGCCTCACTCGATCTGCCTCGCGACGTGCCCTCAGCCGCGACCGCGCAGTCTCGATCCATTCCTTAGCCTCTGCTGACGACGTGCCGAACTGTTTCCAGAGCTCTTCTGCACCTTTGACGGTGTGCAAGACATTCTGGTTCAGGAACTCGTCGTTCGGGTCTTGCTCCCGCTCGACGTTGCCGTGGCCCAGCACATTCCAGTGTGCCGCGGCAAGGGCGCCCACGGTGGGCGAGTCCTTGAACACCTCGTCGAATTCCCTCCGGGTCCATAGGTAGTAAGCACCCTCGCGCATCTGGGTGTCGCCTTTCCTGTAGTACGAATCTGCTGACTCGCTACTGGCAAACCCACCGTCCGGCCGCAATATGGGCGGCGATGTCAGGTACTCTGCAAGTTCAAAGACCACGTTGGCAAACTCGTCGTCTCTCTTGAGCCCTCTCGCAGTTGACAACCAAGCATCGAGATACAAGCCTAGCAGCAGCGCATTATCCGAGACCATCTTCTCGAAATGCGGCATGGACCAGTTTGCTGTTACAGCGTAGCGATGGAACCCCCCACCGACGTGATCACGCAGACCACCGTCCCTGAGCCTCCGCAGGGTGTGCAGCGCGATGTGTCTCGCCTGGGCGACCTCCTTATCCCCCACGACATCGGCCACCACACTCGGGAAGTTTGCGAGTTTCAAGAGGAATGAAAGCTTGGCCGGGGTCGGAAACTTTGGCGCGATCCCAAAGCCGCCGTTGACCGGGTCGAAAGTGCCCGCAATCCGCATGTAGGCCTCCTCCAGCTGGTCCAAGTCCAAGTCTGAGTCCCCAGCCATGGGCGCACCGGACAGATCGGTCGGGACGGCGGCGCTCGAGGCACCCACTGCTCCGGGAGTGGCCGTGCCTCGCGTGCCGAGGGTGCCCTCGGCAGCGAACTCGCGCAGCTTGGACACGATCTCCTTGGCCTCCTGCCGGCACCTGGCCTCGTGCTGCGGCCAGACCTCCTTCATCTTCTGCAGGATCACCAAGAAGTCGATGCGCTCATCCTCGGCAACCTCCTCGCCGTCAGGGCCGATGAGCTCAGTACCGGGAGAGGGCCAATATGTGCCGCCAAAGACGGGTTCCAACTCGGGGGTCAGGAAGACGTTCAGGGGCCACCCGCCGGCGCCGTTGATGGCCTGGATATAGTTCATGTAGATGTTGTCTATGTCCGGGCGCTCCTCACGGTCGACAAGGATTGGCACGAAAGAGTTGTTGAGGAGCTTGGCGATCTCGGGATGAGAGAAGGACTCGCGGGTGGTCAGCCGGCAATCTGGGCGTCGGGCGGCCGAGATTAGCTGGGCTGTCCGGGCCCCCGCGGCGGTGGGTGTGGTTGTGCGGGACGAGGGAGGGACTCACAATGGCATGACTTGAAGCCGATGTTGATGAAAATCAGCTTGTTCTCCTTCTTGGCGCGCTGTATGGCCTCATGGTCCAACAGCTGCCAGGCGACGGGGGTGGAGGCATGTGATTGCACGTAGGGGCTGGTGCTGTCGCCGGCGCGGTTCTGGAGAGCAGGGAGGCCGGACACAGAAACCCTGGAGAACTGGGCGGACAGCTCAGCATCCCTCGCCGTGACCGAGTGCTGTTGTTTGAGCTGTGGCTTCTGTGGCTTCATGCTGCCGGCTTGTCGTGAGAGCGACCTCGAGGAGGAGGCAAGTTGATGATCGAGTGCGCCCTGTTCGCACTGTTCGCAGCAGGATAATGCGGAATGCGGAATGGCGTCGTCGTTTCTAGCCAGTGGGATACGGGGGACTAGCAGGTATCAAAAGAAGAGAAGATCACGGTGCCTGCGATACTTGTCATGCCTGCAAAATATTGTAGCCATGGTCGACGAGGACCAGTTCAGGCGCCCGCCCCGCCCCCACCACACGCCCTGACCCGCAGCACCCTCTCCAGGCTGCCAAGGCGCCATCTCAACGTCATATGGCTTACGCCTGCCGCTCGCCTGCCGGCTAAATGCCCATCCACTCGTTTGCATTAGTCCCAAGCTGGCACTTGGTCATGATTCTTCTGGCGGCATGCGTAAACTGTAGCAATGTAGCTGGTTGTCACGCCCGTTGAAGATGTACGTATAGATGCAGTGTCTTTTATCATTCATTGTTTTGATTTTCATCCCCCCCCCCAATTTCTTTGTCTTCCTTATCTCTAGGAGGAGTTCTTCCTTTGAAAAATAAATAATTAATTGTGTTGACCGAAACCAGAATTCTGAAAGGAGCAGCCTACAGCTGACAACCTGACCGCCGCTCCTTTGAATACTGCTACCTTCCGCAGGACCACCCGAGATTCCACATAGGTTCCAACCGACCCCTTGAGGGGGCTCTAGCTCTCCAAGCGAGAAGTGACCCAGCTCCATCCGACGCGCATGTCACCACCGGTGGTCAGGTCGTGGCCTGTGTGAGGCATTGGGGGCACAGTTTTGCCAGCAAACCAGAGCCACACAACTGGGTCGTGTACCAGTACCGCACGCTCAGACTCACGCCGAGGACGAGGATCAGGCGGTAGAAGGCCACCTGGCGGCACATGAAGAGCTGTACGACGAAGCTGGTGGCGACGACGAGGCAAAGCATCATGATCATGGCGATTCTGATCGAGCCGGGGCCCTGCATCACGGGGAGGGTAATGAACATGGGAAGCAGCAGCGAGTCGAAGAAGGCAAAGTTGACCATGGTGACCATGCCGCGGATGTAATCCGACGAGGGCTCTTTCGGGCCGCGGGTGATGACGGTGAGAGCCATCCCGGAGTCGCGTATCTCCATGAAACCCCCGGCCGAGGGGCCACCACGGCTGTACCCAAGCAGCTTTTCCAACATGTCTTTCTTGTGGTGACAGCGGGAGTCGGCGTGAATGCAGCCGAACACGCAGTCGCCGAGCGGCTGCCCGAGGGTCTTGGAGCTCTGGAAGGCGCCCCAGCTGGTCTCGAACGTGCCGAAGTCAACCTGGCGGGTTGTCTGTGGGGAGCAGAAAGCCCAGATGTAAAGCCTGGCGACGAGCCGGAAAGGGAACAGAAGGTACCATGCGACAGTCGACTAGACCTTGTGGGGCCCCTCCAAAATCGGTTCTGCCATTGTGTGATGTTGTCCTCGGGGCGGCTGGGGGTGGTGCGCTGTTTTCTAGGGAGTTCTGGGGGACCAGCTGTGGCAGTCGTAGCCGTGCTTGTGGGTATTGGTGGTCGACGAGCTGACCCAGGGTGTGGCACGGGGGTGGTAACGAGCGTACCCGGACGATATCGGATAGAAGCTGGTAAGAGTTGTGGAGGGCGCTCATGTAGGGAAAACAGGTACGTTGCTCGAGGTCTCGAGATGGGCCAAGTTCGTCAGGCAGGAAAACATCGAGTTGCTTGCTTTTGTCCCTGCCTTGATCCAGGCGTGCAAGTTGCCGCCATCGGAGGGAGGAGCGAACGACTCTGGGACCCGCACGCCGCACTGCAGCAAGTACCTAGGTACCTATGGACCGGACCTGTAGGTGGTCCAAATAGCAGACACGAGAACACAAAACCACCAGAATTGCTTGTGCAGGCAAAATGCAAATGTATTTGAAGAAACGACTGCCCGTGACGGCGACCCGGGCCTATCTATTACCAGCAACAAACTCTTGAAAAGCAGTGTGCACGGAAACTTTACCTACCTCCGTACGTACCCACCTGGGTAGACATGGACCGAGACTTACACAATGACACTCACCTTGAGCACCAGACCAGGAACCTGTGCTGGTTCAAACCCAGTCCCAGGTGCACCCCACGTGGCTTGCTGTCTCTGCCGAAATCTGAGCCCTCGCCTTGCAAGGCGAGCAGAATAGATTTCGAAGCGGTAAACACGAGCACTTGCCCTCTACTGCAGATGCATACAACGCCGCACAATAGGCTGGCACTGAGCGTCGCTTTGCCAGTTCAGACCTGGGCGGCACCGTGCTTTCCTCGAGGAAAATGCTGGCGCAGCGCTCGCAGCTCAACTCGACATCTCTCGTGCCCACCTTGCCATGGCGATCGCAGCTCGACAGGGGTGTCAGCGTGCGCGGAGGTGGGCTGACGGTCCTTCTTGTCGGGCTCCTGTGGGCTCCTGGAACCCACACGCTCAAGCCTCCGTCTTTGGTGACCTTGCGCAAACGACTCGGAAGGAAAGCCTGGCCCGGACTGAGGAAATGGGGGCGACTTGCCCTCGTCCCGAACCGAGATTCAGCGCACTCGGCACATGACACCGCCCTGCACTCGCCCTCCTCGCGCGAACCAGCCTGGTTCAAGCTCAGAGGGGCGGGTTGACGCACCTTTGCGCCTTGCCCATCCGCACGTTCGGCCCCGTCCTGCCAGCAGACACTCCGCATCACGGCCCGCTTGAGAGCAAAGCTACTCATTCCAATTTCTGTGAATACAAGGTACTACAGAGAGATCTGGGTGGGCAGCTGGGCGTGATGTACGTTGAAGTCTCCCGAGTGTCTGATGAACAAGACCCGAGGTGACGGGCATCAGATGGGCAACACCGGGTTTTTAATCGCAGATATGCAAAGTAAAGACATGGCCGACAAAGACCACACCGTCTTGGGAACAATGGCAAAACCCAGCCATGAACATAGGCTCTTGTTGTCCTATTGTTGAACAACAAAGCGGGTGGGTTGACTGGGAAAACATAGAAAGACAAGGCCGTTGACGACGGTCATAGTGCCAACGGGATTAATGCCTGGGTTGTTACTCAAGGACGGCAGGCCGAAGGAGGAAGAGCGAGAGGTGAAATGCAACAGTCAGGCGTCAAGCCAACAGGCCGGGTAAAATGGCCCAAATGTCGTCGAGCTGCTGACACACCACTGTAATGTGGATAGTGTGGATCCAGATGGTCAATACCCCTGACAGGATTCAGGAACCCGGGGAAGGATCAGCAGCTTGAACTCAATCTTGGGCTTGTTTGTGCCTGGTGCCTGGATCCGCGTCCAGGTGTCGAGGCCTGGACCGCCATCGATCAGGCTCTTCTCCTCAGGCTGGCTTACGTCCCCGCTGTTTGTCACCAAGTCCATCGATAACAATGTACTCCGTACCATCACACCACCCGTGGGAGTCACATCCCCAGCAATCAGCTGCATGGCCCGAGCACGCGCTGGCAGATGCAGATGCAGGACCTGCCAGCCTGCTCGTGCTGTTACACACTACAATGTGGTACAAGCCACGGCCGGGCTGCTGGATTCGGACAAGCGCTACGCACAATCGTGGCACGGAACCAAAGACAACCAGAGGCGGCAAACAGGAATCAACTAACGGCCTAATAACGGCACCGAAGGATTCCGCTGCTTCCCTCCCCCCCCCCCCAAAAAAAAAAAGACGGCACCCCTTTTCTGATTCCTTTCTGACTCCTGATAATATCTCGAGAATCTCGGTCTGAGTTGTCCTGAGTCTGTCGTAGAGGCTGCAGAAACTCACATGCCTTGCGCATCACACAAGTGCCAACCAGGTCAGCGACGATCACGGACGTTTCAAGATAGTTGACAGGGACCCGGCCGGCCTTATTTGAGCCTCTACGCCCATGTCTTGTCAAAAGTCCCCTGACCCCGAGCAATGCACTGGCAGCGCAGAACGGCTCCACGGCCGCTTGGCCCGGACGCCATATCACTGTCATGCAATTGCTGAATCCTTCGGTCCCAGATGATTGGCCTGCTAGCCACTGACTACTTGCCTAGGGTTCGGTGTGACCAATCGTCGAATATCAGTATGGGCACTATCTCGTTCTGAGCATGCCGCTATACCTGTTCCTGGCCTCATTGACAGGTTCGCTCCCCCTTTGGTGAGGTCTGCCAGGCTACCAAGCCGTGCTCATCTCCTGAGCCACTGATCCGGTCTACTGGTTGATGCTTACAGCCCTGGCCCATGCTGCCTCTACCCAATGGGTTCGAGGCACTGACGGGGGAAATTCGATGATGCTTGAGCTGCTGCAAGACGGCGGGGCTCATGTTGGTGACAGCCTAGAACTAGGCCCTGACGCTGCGCCGCAGTCACCATCGTGCGGTGCTCACACTCTAGGAGGATGTGCACCCCGTTCTGCTTTGGGCAAAATGAGTAAAGCCATATGTAGGTACGCACACCAACGCCTTGCGTTGCTGCGGCCTCTCTCCTTTGCTCTCTCTCTCTCGCCCTTCCGCCTCATCGTCTTGTCAAGATCCCCGACGACGGCGAGCTCTCTCAGCCAGCAAAGGTTTCTTTGCGTCCTTTCGTTGATCACAGCGGCCACACACTCTTTTCCGGCTTATGCCACTACACTCATTCCATATTTACCATAATAACAAACCCCTAATACAAATAATGTATCCCCGTGTGTCCCTTGTTGTGGCTGCCCTTGCGGCCCCCGTGCTGGCGACCTCCGGCAGCGTGAATGTCTACTGGGGTCAGCAGGGCAATGGAGAACTGGCCACAGCTTGTCAGGACCCGTCCATTGACTACATCACCTTGGGATTCGTCAACATCTCACCGGAGAATGGAGGTCCCACTGAGTATCCCGGTACAAACTTCGGGGCACACTGTTGGGCAGACAAGTACAGCACTGACGGACATACATCCCAGCTGCTCAGCACATGCCCGTCTCTTACCCCGGGCATCGCAGTCTGTCAAGGCCTTGGGAAGAAGGTTCTCCTCTCGATTGGCGGTGTCTACAGTGCCTACAGCAACTACACAGTGTCCACCCCCATCAATGGAGTTGAGTTTGCCGAGTTCGTCTGGGGCGCCTTTGGGCCTTGGACGGAGGCTTGGGCTGGGAAGCCTAGGCCTTTCGATGATGGCGACCAGCACAATGCCGTGGATGGTTTCGACTTTGACCTTGAGTCTTCGTCTGGTGAGTGATCGGATGGTGGGCAGCAAACATGTGTGAACCACGTACTGACCCGATTGCAGCCGGTGATGAAGGTTATGCAGCCATGATCAATGCCTTGAGGGGGCTGATCACTGTGTCTGGACGAGACGACATTATCACGGCCGCTCCGCAGTGCCCGCTCGACGAGTGGCAAACCATGACATACCTGCTTGAGAACGTCCAGTTTGATCGGCTGTGGATTCAGTTCTACAACAACCCCCAATGCAGTCTCCTACAGGCTGATGGCTCCCCGAACCCGGGTTTCAACTACGCTGCTTGGGAGGAATATCTCTCCAAGACCCCAAGCAAGGATGCCAAGCTTCACATTGGCCTCCCAGGCAGTGCAGATGCTGCAGGCAGTGGTTACGTGGACGCCTCTGTTGCCAGTACTTATCTCTGCAAATACGGGGGCTATCCAATGTTTGGCGGTGTCATGGTTTGGGACCAGTGGTTCGCGGCCCAGAACACAATTGACGGTGCTTCATACAACCAAGTACTGTACGAGTCCATGAAGTGCGGTTGCAAGGAGTGCCCAATCCCCACCAGCACGATCTCGACGACAACCGCTGAAAGCACAAGCTTGTCCACAGCTCCACCGGTCACAATCACATCGTCGACCTCCGCACCACCCACTTCCACGCCGACATGTACCGGAGTTGCTGGCTGGGATAAGGATGGCACCAACATCGGTGAGTACTTCTAGGAGACGGGACGACCAAGGAAGAAGTTTGACACTGACTGCCGTTCCCTGTGGAAGGCTTTTATGCCGACGCAGCTTCTGCAACCTACAGCGGCTGCCTCGCGCTCTGTGACGCCAACGAAGACTGTCTCAGCTTCGGTGTCCTCTCTGCTCCTGCATGCGCTCTCTACAGCTACACAGTCGAAGGTAATATCGTGGTGGACGCGGGCTCTGGCAACTTTTTCTTCGACAAGGGCGGCGTCTGCCCGCAGCCTACCAGCAGCAGCACAGCCGTTACCTCCGCCTCAGAAACAGTTTCCCTGTCCAGCACGAGCGTCTCTACCGGGTCCTCTACGGCCTCAACTGACTCGGCCTCTACCATCTCGTATACTTCGGAGACTAGCACATACTCTGCCACGACTTTGACAACCTCTAGTGCCGAGAGCGCCTCTACGTCAGAAGCTACAACCGCAGAGGTTCCTCCTACGACATCCGAGACAGAGGGTGTTAGTATCAGCTCTACTACGGGCTGGAGCAACATCACATGGACCACTGCAAGCACCTCAGAGTCTCAGACGGCCCCCACAACGGTCATCACCACCAGCAGCTTTCATCTGTCAACTCGACCCCACACGTCATGGTCTAACTCTACCTGGACATCTCACGGCCCGAGCTCCACAGAGCAAGGGACCACCGAGTTGTCCACTACGCCTGTCACGTCGACGTCGGTGGCAACTGAGCCCACCAGCCCAGGCAGTGGTGGGCACACAACAGAGACATTCTACTCGACGACTGTTGTAACAGTGACTTCCTGCGCCCCGACTGTGACGAATTGCCCTGGTACACCACATGTGACAACCTCCGTAATTCCAATTACCTCAACAATTGTCCCTCTGCCCAGTCCGGGGGATGATGAGACCGTCACCGCCACAGTCGTTCCAATCACTTCCACATCGGCTCGCCCCGGTCCCGGCGGCGAACAGCTGACCACGAGCACAATTTACAGCACCACGGTCTACACCGTCACGTCTTGTGCGCCTGCTGTGACCGACTGCCCTGGCAGGCTCGGGTCTGTGACCACGCAAATCATTGCCATCTCGACAACCGTCTGCCCCGTCACGGAAGGTGGTCACACCGGTCCCACCCCACCCGCGGAGAATGGTGGCGGCGGCGCCGGTTCAACCCCCTCCGAGACCAAGCCTGCCGGCTCCGGTCCCAGTCCGTCCGCCCCAGCCGGAGGTGAAGGCGAAGCCTCAAACCCCAGCCCTTCCAGCCCGGCTGGGGGCGAGGGATCCCATGTCAGCCCGTCGGAGGGGCCCGAGGAGGGAGCAACTACCACCACTGTCCAGACACAAATGCACAGCACAATTACCCTGCCCGTCGTGTCGGTTCCGACTGCAGGGAATGAAGGCTATGCCCCGCCGCCGGTGAACAACGCCGGACCGGGACCCAGTCACGTGTTCGGTAACAGCACGGTGACCAAGACCTTTAGCCTCGCAACGGTCAAGCCAACCGGGGCCGGTGTCCCCGCGCCTCAGAACACGGTGGTGACTGCCGGCGCTGCACGGGGTATTGTTGGGGCTGGCATGACGATGGTTGTTGGTGTGATGGCTTTCATGCTGTAATGAGGAGTACTAGGTACGTTTGATAGGGTTTTAGGACTTTTGTACGCATAACATACCTGTATTTGGGTTGTGTTTTGCATTTGTTGTCCCGTTCCTTTTGGGTGTGCAATAATATGAGTATTATACAGACTATTAGGCAACTCGTACTTGTGCCGGCTAATGCAGAATCTCTTGTCCAAACTAGGGGCAAAAGTCCATCCAAGGACCTATGACTTATTTTGCATTCAGGTGATATCTGTGCTATTCTTCTAATCGAATATTGTTTCGCTTAGCATGATATTCTCTGCCCTCGAAAGCCCTTATCCTGAACTTCAAGTTGTTTTACAACAATTCCCAAGCACAAAACTTGAAGTATATAATTCATCTGTTCAGGAAGGCAAGCACAGTTACTTGCAGTCCCCAACGGTATTTGTGGTCCCGCTGCTGATCACGCAGTAATTGAACTGGGGACACTGGCTTATAGTTGATCTCTGCCCACTGTGCCCGCCCGCTGAGGCCCGATGTTGTAAATTCTCAGATACATATGTAGTCTGCCGCGACCGCATGAGAAAGTTTATGTACATCTTTTTCAAGGTTGGCAATGCAGGTCAATTTTGTCTGCCAAGCGTCATTGGAATGAATACGGGTGATTGGTAGGGGAACAGCAATAGGGCGGGCCCAAACATGACAGCGGCAAAGACATCCTGGGTTTCCATTCCGCAATGGGTTGGAAAATGCTACTGGCCAAGACGTTGTCGACAACGTGGGACGGTTTCCGATTGCTAGCGTCGAACGAATCCGAATGTTCCACCAGCCAGTGTGGATTAACATTACCTTGTTGATACCTCATTCCTGAGTATTCTCGACAAGTGAGACATTCTTCTCTAATCGTTCGAGGGTTTCAAGGAACTGGCAGATTAGTTTACGGTATTCCCGCAATCTATTCCCGCAATCTATTCATGAGAACGGCGAGAACTGAGACATCGTGAGTCTACACAGATGCTCCCGGGCAATGCATTCTGCCTCTGGCAAAAGATCAGCAGGTTCCGCTGTTGAAGCACGAGATATGCCGATGTTTTTCACAGTCGGGCCGCATCCATGGAGTCTGGTGCACTACTAGACCCAAAAGGTATTCCAAGTATGCAGCTCGGTGTCTGATAACTGATATGTGAGCTTTTCGCGAAGCCCTCGAACTCAAGTGCTAGCAATATGAATGAAACACGAAGCTTCCTCGACCTTGTCTCTGGATTATTTCTAGCCCGGTTTGCATCCATCCAGGGTATTTGTTGAGGCATGATGTGCCTTAACCTGGTGATCCACTTCATCGCGGCCATTTTGTTGACGCTTAAAGTTCGGGCTCAAGATGTTTCTTATATCACCTCAGCATTCACTGAATGTTTCCCGGTTGCCACAGGGACATTGCCTGATGATTCCGCACGAGCCACAAGTCTAACCACCGCGTCGATGTCCGAACCTGTTGGCCCATCGGATCTATTAAACCATCCTTTAACGCCAGTGGACTCTGGTGGTCTAGTCGGGGAGGGATGGCATCCACCTGGTATTGCGTCGTACACGTACAGCATGCCACCATGCGCAGTTTGTGATTGCCCGACCTGTACCACCACCAGCGTCTTTTCGACAATGCTCCCGGATCTTGGCTCAAAGGGCCCAATAGAGCGACCCTATATTGTTACCGAGACCTACGTTGGGATGTCCTCCCTGCCCTACTTCCCGACGCCAACACCTATCCCGTACGGATTCACAACGGCAGTCGAGACCTATACAGGCGGTGCACCACAGCCTATTACGCGAACCATCGTAGTGCCTAAGACCGGTAGGCCAGGGCGATGCGATGTGACGAAATTGACGTGTTCTCTCGCAAGCCACCGGCAAAGCATACCCCCTCCAGAATCGGGTGCACATTCATCCACAGGGGCAGCCGAAACTCACAGTGAAGCCACCGCTGTTGGGACTACTTTGATCACCAGCAGGGAAGGTGGCCCCGAGATGACCGGGGTGGAGGACCAAAGTTCGGGAGCTGCGGACGGCGGAACCAGAGGGCCTTCCACAGCGACCGCGACGGATATTTTAACCAGCGCAGCTAGCTCATCCTGGTCGAAATGGTTGTTGTCATATGGCGTAGTCACTTCGGCCTTCTGGGGAGTGTTTCTGTTTCAATAAGAACGAGACGTCTCGATATAACCTCAAAAAAGACAGCGATTGAACGCGCGCCTAACAATGATCGATGGACCAAATCTGATACCCGTTTCCTCCAGTCTCAGCGGCACACAGAACATGCAACATGTTGTCCATTACCATTGAGCGTGCTCCTGTATATTCAACGGCAGATGCAGCATTTGCTGTCCCGACGACGTTGGCTTGGGCAAACGCCCTGACCGGATATTCATCTGAAGAGAGGGATGTATGAGCCTAGGCGCAGCCAAAGCCCGATCCCGCTCATTGCGCATAGCCACAAAGTCCTGCTCAGTTATGCCGTCCCTCAGGTGCTTATTCTGCTTCTTATGCTCCTCGACGCTCATACAAGGCGAGGGTTTCCTGCCGTGTGAGGGGTAGTCGTGTCCAGTCCATATTTTCACATGGTCTGGTAAGCTGAGGAGTTTCCGCCCTGACCTGTAAAGATCGCCTGCGCTGCCACCAGGGAAATCGCACCGGGCGGTCCCAATATCTGCGTGGAAGATAGAGTCACCACAAAAAACATTGTCTGTGAAAGTGTCAGCATTTCTCTGGAACCCAATGGATAAGGAGAGCTGGAGGCTAACCTCCGATCAGGTATCCTATGTGGTCAGGTGTGTGACCGGGGAGATGAATTGCCTTCGCCTTCAAGGTCCCGATCTGGAAGACCTCATCGTCATCGAACAGACGTTCAAACACGCCGTCAATCTCATCGGCCGGTACGTTGTACCTCTTACTGAACAAATCTTGAATTCTAGCAATACGCTTGCCGATACCTATGGGCGGTTTGTGGCCTTGCGTCTGGGACAATCGGCTCTGGAGATAAGAGCCGGCGGTGACATGGTCTGCGTGAGCGTGGGTCTCCAGGATCAAGTCTACCTTATAGCCCTGTTCCCTGACCAGAGAAAGCAAAGCATCTGCACTCCCAGTAGTCAGGGCTTGGGTTGCCGGTTCAAAGTCAAGCACGGGATCGATGATAGCGGCGCTCGAGGTGACCGGGTCCGCAACCACATACTGCCAAGTACCTGTCTTACTCTCGAACACGTCGTGAATTTTTGGCTGGGTGGCCATCGTCGTTACAGTAGCAAAAGACAATCGTGGCCGAAATTGCGGATTGGGTCCAAGATAAGTCGTGCTCACTGGCAGTTCCTTTGTTGCTTGAAATAGATGACGTTGACTTGACGGTGCAGTGGACCGACGACGAATTGTTCTCGATGTTGTGTTCACCGTCGGCGGATATGGTGATGGGCTTGGACTTTTGAAAGGGGCGGTAGTGTACCTAGGGAAGAACGATGATGTTGCAAATGCTGATCTTGCGCGAGGCGGATGCATGGAAGAGCTCTGGAGTGTCGCAGTGCTGCTGCCGTTGGGAAAACGTAGACATCGCATGTTGGGTCTTCTTCGCATATAAATATTTCTATGCCAGATTAAAGACGAAAGTAAATTCATGCGCCAAAACCCCGGCTGTAACTTCGTCTCACCTCTCCAATTGGTGATAAAAGCAAACTTCTAGTATGCTAGGCACTGTCGGGATATCATTCTGACTGGCTTTAGTATGTAGGCTGGTCTAGTCGGCGAACTCCTGGTCTAGTCCCGAGGTCGGCGACCTTTTAAAGTCTAAACTTGCTCAACACCCGCATAATCCAAGGCTGTTATGGTGCGCAATAGAGGCAACTTTCTAAAAACCCTAAAATCCCTTATACCTATACACCTACATTAATAGTTAGACACCTTTAATCTCCTAATTTAACTAATATATAATACTTTAAAGACTTATCTATATCTATAAACCCCTTATTTAAAATAAATACTATTATATAGTGCTATATAGGTATAATCTTCCCCTTTCCTTTTTTTTAAAATACTATATATTTATATAAATCTTAATATATCTTTTAATTTTTTTTAATTAATATAATATTATTAATATTATTATTTTAAATCATATATTATTATTTAATTATTTATATATTATATATTAAAATAAAAGCTATATATTTATATTAATAATTCTATTTTAACTATAATCTTCTTTTATTAAATATTATTAATTTAATTATATCTCTATAACTTTAATAATTAAATATTATAGTTATATTAACTACTATATTTATAATAGTTAATTTATAAAATTAATTTATATTTACTCTTATTATTCTAAATTTAAATTCTATTAAATTATTTATAATTAATATTAAAACTACTATTTAAAATTATTATTAAAGTAAAAATAATATATAAACTTAAAAATATATTATTAATATAAATTAGTATTACTCTTTATTTTAAAAATATATAATAAAATTATTAATAAGTTAAATATTTATAATTATATATAAATTATTAAATATAATAAATATTAAACTTTATTATTTAAACTTAATTGGTTATATTTTTATATAAAATATTAATTAATTTAATTCTTTAATATCTTTATATTATAATTAATCTCCTTAAAAATTAAAGAGTTATTTAATAAATTATATTTAATAATAGTTTAAATATTATAAAACTTATTATAAATATAAAGTTTTAATAACTTTTAAAAGTTTATAAATATATTTTAGGTGAAAATAATTAAAAATAATAATAAAAATATTTAATTCTATTTTTTAAGATTAATATATTAAGTTTATAAATAAATTAATAATTAATAAAAAAGAAATATATAATTAAAATATAATTTATATAAAATAATAATAAGAATAAGTTAAAAGAATAAATTTTAAATATATTTATTAAAAGAGAAATATAGATTAAATAAAAGTTTTAAATAATTAAGGATTAAATAACTTAAAATTACTAAATAAAAGATATTTAAGTTAGTTTAAATTTAATTAAAGTAAAAATATATTAATTTTATATAATTAAATAGAATTATTTATTAAAAATAAATAATTAATAAATTATTATTTTTATAATATATATTATATATTAATAAATCTATTTAAAGATAAATTAAAAGTAAAAATATATTTAATTTATATTATTTTTATAAATTTTTTATAATAAATATATATAAAATCATTTAATTATAGATATTTAAATATAATTTTATAATTATAATACTTAATAGGAATAAATTATAAAAATTAAAGTTTAAAAATAATTTAAAAGTATAAAATAAAAATAAATTATTTAATTTTATTAATATACTTTAATTAATACTTTTAACTATATAATATTAATATTTATTTTTATATTTAATTTATATTAAGTTAATTAATATTAACTTCTTTTAAATAGTTATATATAAAGATATATAAGGTTATTTATTATTAATTTTAATAGATTAATTTTTAACTTTATTTAATTATTAATATATATTTAAAGTTAATATTTTAATATTTTATATTAATATATATATAATATTTATTTAATTTTAACTATAAGTTAATTAAATATCCCTTAATTAATTATATAATATTATTATAAATTAAAATTATATCTATTAAAAGATAAGTATTTAAATTAATACTATTATAATTAATAATATTTAATAGTTCTTAAAGTATAGATTTAAATATAGAATACCTATAATTATTAATCTTATTTAAATTAAGTAAATAATAGAAAACTTATAGCTTTTAAGAATAATATATAAATAATTATATTATTTTAAATTAGATAAGTATTTTAAAGCTATATAAATTAAATAAATTTATATTAGATTCTTAATATATATATATAGAGTAATATAATATAATATATAAAGTTATTTTTTCTATAAGTTTAATACTTTAAGCTATTTAAAGTATATTTATAATTATTAATATATAACCTTTATATATATATTAAATTTATATATATTAATTAAAACTTAGTATATCCTTTATATAGGCTTCCTTATTAATATTTAATTTTAATATTATATATATTTTTCTATATAATTAATATTTATAAAAATAAATTTAATTATAGATTATTAAATAGTACTACTTAATTAATAGTTAATAATAGTTAAATAAGTTAAAGTAGAAGCTAGTAATTACTAAATATAGTTAATTAATAATATTATAACTATAAGATAGTGTATAAATATTAAGGTCTTTATATAAAATTAAATTCTATAATAAATAGAAATATATACTAATAATAAAACTAATCTCCTTATTATAATTTATATATATTAATAAAGAGATATATTTATATTATTTAATTATTTTAATATATTATATAAATATAATTTAAACTATAATAGTTAAAATATTATAATAAAATTATATAATAAATCTTAAATATATATTAATTTTAATATAATATTAGATTTTATATATAAATAGTTTTATATATTTATTAATTAATTATATAAAGTTTAAGTTAAAGTATATTTAATTATTTTAATATTTATATATCTTTAAATAATAATATTTAAAATAATTTAAATAGAATAATAAGTAAATATTATTAAAAATATTTTATAAAATATTAACTAAATATTATTAAAAGTATATATAAAGTATATTTTTAATATTAATTATAAGGTTTTGTTTATATTATTTATCCTTAAAAATTATTATAAATAATTATATTATTATTTAATTTCTTTTAAATTATATTAATAAATAATATTTAGTTTTTAAATCTATTTAATATTATATAGTATAATAAGTCGGTTTTTCTTTATAGTAAAGAACTAAATTATTTAGAGTTTAATAATCTTAGTTTAAAGTAGAGTATTATAATTTATTATTATAAATTAAAAGAGTTAATAGTTTAACTTTATAGAAGTTTAATTAAATACTTTTAAAATAGATATATAATATAAATTTTTATATATAAATATTATAAAATTATTTAAGTTAAAAGAATATTAAAGATATAAATATTTTATTTTAAATCTAACTTATAATCTATAGGTAATATAAATTAAGGTTAATTAATAGTTATAGTATTATAATAGATAATATATATAATAGAAGGATAGAGGGAGAGAAAGATAAAGAGAGAGAGAAGGAGGAAAGAGGGGGTAAAAGTAAAGATAAAGTAAAGTAAGTATATACTAATATATATAAGATTAATTAATTATATATATATATTAATTTACTTAATAATCTATTTAATATATTTAATATATATTTTAAATAAATAAATAAATAATAAATAAATAATAAATAAATAATAAATAAATAATAAATAAATAATAAAATAAATATTATTAAAATATTATTATTAAATTATTATTATTATTATTTTATACTTATATATAATTATATATATTTATATATAGCTATATATAGCTATATATAGCTATATATAGTTATATATAGTTATATATAGTTAGGTATTATTATTTATTATTATAGGTATTTAATAATTTAAAACTATTATAAGAAAATATATAATAAAATTTTACTAACTCTACTATATCTCTTTAAACCTATCTAACCTATTAAATCCTAATTATACTATTTATATATATATACTTTTATAAAACCTATAAACTCTTTAAACTAACTAATAAGTATTATAGAAATAACTTAAAAACATTAATAACTCTATTTATACTTATATAAAAACCTTAATAATAGTTAAATATAATTACCTCTAATTAAAAGATAAAACTTTTATTTAAGTTAAAAATATTTTATTTATTATAGAACTAATCCTAATTATTAATATATAAATAACGCTAAATTAAAATAATATTAATCTTCTTATATAAAGCCTTAAAGGTTTTAATATTAATATAAACTATTTAATTATTATTATAAGTTACTATTCTATATTAATAAAGATTATAACTAAGTATATAAATAGATATATAATAATAAAAATTAAAAAGATAATATATTAGTATTTAATACTATAAACTAGAAAGAAATAAGTATATAGTAAGTATTATAGTAAGTTTCACTATAAAAAGACTTACTTAAGGGTATAAACATCTAATTACACCTTACATACTTAGCTATAAGCTTAAAGAATAGCTAAACCTTCTATATATACTTATTAAAAGTTAAATAGAATCTATTACTAAAAAGTTATTATTAAAATTATTAAAGTCCTTAATTAATTATATATTATCCTTAACTAAAGGCTTATTATCTATATATATATTAGTATATAATCTTAAATTACTATAAAAGGTTATATATTTATATACTTTTATAACTATAGCTTTTAATATTTAATTTTATTTAATAATTAGTATATATACCTTTAAAGTAGTTAAAGTTAGAAAGATAGGTTATAAATAATTAATTAAACTTACTATAAATCTTATATTAAGTCTATATAATAGTGAGTGCTAGTATAAAAATATATATAATAATATTTAAAACTATTATTAGTAAATAGAGTTGAATTTATAGTATTAATTATCTTTAAGCTTACTAATATAGGTAATATTTAAAAATATTAGATTATTTATAATTATATTAATTAATATTAATAAAAATATATATAAGGTTATATATATATTATTATAATTATATTATTTTAAACTATATAATTAATATTATTAAAATATTATTAAAAACTTTATTTAAATAGTAAAAGGTAACTTTATAGTTTATATTAGTTATATTAATATTATTTAATACTATAGGAAGATAAACACCCTATACTTCTAGTTATAAATATTCTTTAAGTTTACCTAATATTAATAGAGGTAATTAGTATTAAAGAGAGTTATTATAAATTACTTAACCTTATTTAGTTTTAAAAGATCTTATTAACTATTAATTATAACTAATATAATCTTATTATTACTAGGTAATTACTTATAATTATAATTAATTATTTTATTTAAACTATTAATATTATTTAACTTATTACCTTTAATTAAGTTAACTTTATTATTAATAATAATATCTATATTTATATATTTAAATTAAATAGTATTTATATTTATACTTTTAATTAGGTAGTATTTATACTTATATATTTAAATTAAATAGTATTTATAATTATACCTTTAAGTTAGGGGTGTTTATAGTTATACCTTTTAGATAGGTAGTATTTATAATTATATACTTAAAATTAAAGATAAATATTTTAAGATATAATACTTTAATAACCTATAGGTTAAAGCTTTTATTATAATACTTATAAGTTCTTTTATTATTATATAGGGTTATATAATATTATTTAAGGCTATATAAATTTATAAAGATTTATAAAAATATTAATTAGTTTAAATATTTAAAGAGGTTTATAAAAGTAATATTATAGTTAAATAAAAATAGTATAATATATTAAGGGTTAAAATTATAAAATTAATATTAATTTTAATAAAAAGTATATATTTATATACTTTTAAATAAATTAAGTTAATTAAGAGTAATTATATAGGTTAAATAGGATAGATAGAGGTAATTATAAATATATTATTTTAGTGATTATTAAAAGAAAGAAAGGAAAAAAGGTAATAAATAGTTATAGTTATTTAATAGAAATAGTAAGTGGGGCCTATTAATAATCATAATACTCTAATTAGCTAGTTCCTTTATAGGTTTATTAATAACTTTATAGTATATTTAAGTTATATATATATATATATATATTCTATTAAATAAACTAGGGTGTTTAATTAAATGGGTATAGTTTTAAGGGATTTTAGGGTTTTTGGAAAGTTGCCCCTGTTGCGCACTATAGCTGTTAACCTGTAGACCCCGATAGCCGTTCCAGCCAGCCTGATCCGAGGCGCCGCAGACATCTCTGGTAGAACCTGAGCACCTCAAACCTTGGAACCCCACGCTCTGCCTGCCCACGTGTTATGCCATCGCCACCGGTCCGATCACATTGCTAGCTATGAGATCCAGACCAGTGAAAACGGCGATTTGTGGCCAAATCGGTTGAATTAAGTTGTCATCCGTCCGACCACCTCGAGCTTAACCTAGGTATGGTAATACAGAAGAATAGTGGTCCCCTTGGAGCGATATGACGGCTTCAAAATTCCACGGGTCTGAGTACGGAATCAAAGGGATGTATGGCGGTCTACAATCATATCATCGCCCCTGTTGATACCTTACTAAGGTCTTTCGTTACCACCGTACGAAGGCGCCATGTATGTCCTCGGACGTATACGGAATAGAAGCGAAACCACACGAAACCACACACAATGAAAGTTTGAGTGCGTTCAACCTTGAGAACAACTCCATAGGACTCGGGTAATAGCGACATCATCAACTAACTACCACCAGCTTGTCGTTGCACCAGGAGTAAATACCAACCTCCGCAGTATCGAGGGATTGCCCGAAGCACTGTGTAGCCATTGTCCACTATATACCTAGGTACTTGAGTATAGCGATCGAAAACATCAAGGCCTAGCTAGAATTCCAAATTCACTCATGAACATGCCCACCTATTTGATACCCAAGCATGCATGTGATTTGAAGAACAAAGAATTCCAAGGGTTATTTACACACATGGCACTGCGGCTCCGCAAGATTCGGTTTCCAAATTGAAACTGTCAATTTTGTACCTGCCCCAGGGTGCCTTCGTAGTATCTCAAGCCACTCTCATAACGGTTCCTCGGTGATGTAAATACAGTCTTAGGCTGTGTCCAACAGCACGACCTCCGCTTCAGCACTTCCGACGCTCTCGACCACAAGCTTGTCGCCCGCATTTATAGAGTCAACGAAAGCTCCGTCGCCCTCCTCTAAAACCGCATCATCCCGACCGTCCAGCCTGATCTTGGCCTTCCCACCCTTTGTCATTGGCAGATGGACATACACCTTGCGCTTGGTTGCCTGTGTGACGTTTGCGCCGACCTTCCACTCAAATTTCTTCTCGGGTGTGATAATGCCCGCGCCCATCACAAAGTCAGAGTGGATTGGAATAGTCCCCTCGATAGCGGGTTTGGCCTCCTCTTCCTCGGCCTTGGTTGCATCCTCGCCCGCCTTCAATGGGCTGAGCACATGGACGAAACCCTGCCGCTTGTCCTCGTCGGAGAAATGCTTGGTATGGTAGCGTGGAGTGAGGCCGCGCTTCCAAGGAATCGCCCAAATCTGAAGGAAGTGCACCGTCTCGGACCTGTGCTCATTCTGCTCCGAATGTGCAATTCCAGTTCCGCCTGTGGTGAACTGCACGTCGCCACGGTGCATACGGTAGAACTTATCCGACTGACCGCCCTCGGCACCTCTCTGCAGCATCGAGTCACGGTGAGTAAGTTCTCCGGACAGGATGTAGCTGAATATCTCAAAGTCCCGGTGGGGGTGAGTGGGAAAGCCATTCTGTGCCTTCACGCGGTCTTCGTTGAGGACTCTGAGTGAGCCGAAGTGCGAGAAGCGAGGATCATACCCTAAAGGGTGTTAGCATTTTTGCTGAGAGCATCATCAATCCAGGAGTCGGTCTTACAGTCCGCGAAGCTGAAGCTGTGATACGTGTTGAGCCAGCCATGGTCGCTGTGGCCCCTCGTGGTACTCCTGTGTGGAGTGATCTTGGCGTGGTGCAGAGTCTTGGACATGGCGGACTTGACACCGTTCATGTGTTCTGGAAGATCTTCTGTGGCTTTTTCTCGATTTGCTGAGAGGATATTCGAAAACAAAAGACTGCTGGTGTCACTGGGCGAGTACTGGTTGAGTAACGACTTGAGGGTCACAGAGTTGTAGATGATGAGTGAAATTGAGGCCACCAAAATTGAGAGGGCGAGAAAGAGACGCTTCATATACGCGGCTCAGTGCAACTATCAAGCAGGATTCGAGAACTTTGGGGGGGGGGGTCAGTGATTGTTGATTTGAGATGCTGGCAAATTTCTTGATGATGCTTGGCTGAGATGCACTCTGCCCTAATATTTCATACGCCAATGGTTCTTATTTTCTATGGTGACTTCTGGACGACGCACTAATAAGTGGTAAATGTCGAGTACTGTGTAGTCATGATTAGGCGATGCTGACAGAGGTGGAAATTCCCCACAGCGGTACGTACTCGTGGAAGAACCGACGCTAAAACAACAGCCAACGTTCCAGGTGGATCTTACTCAGCCAGTGGTTTCCTGCTTGTTGTAATACATCACTCAGCACCGTCTCAACCTCGTTCTTGCATAACGGTCTACAAACGGTGGCGGAAGCGGCCGAAAGCGGCAACCGCTTAGACAAGGCAACCCTGATCGCTTGCCCGTCATCCTTACAAAGCTACCTAGGTACCTCGGTACCTAGGTATCCAAATCGTCCAGGCCGTTTCGGAACAGCTGCGTTCTCATCGTTGTGCACATGCACCATCCACATGGAATCGTGCACGTTGCTGCTTTTCAACCGCAAGAATTCTGACCAGTCTCAACAAATCGCTAGTTTTCTTAAGCCTCCTGGGTTGGTATATCTCGATGTCCTGGAAAGAGTTGTATTGGTGTCTGATTTTAATCCGGATCAACGAAAAGCATCGCACGCATTCCCGACTGGAGCAGAAGGAAAGGAGCGGACTTGCTTGGTCCCGGACCAGTCAGCATCAAAGCGTGCTGTCGTTCCTGGCCACACCATGTCGCCTTGGAAGAATGGTGGCTTTCTCATTCCCGGATTTGTCCCTGAGTCCCCTCAGTCCCATCTCGGGACCCAAGATACATAATGTCATGCAGTATCTGCGACCACTCGCCCGGTAGGCCTTCTTTCCACCAGTACTGCACCTTCACCAAAATACCCAGCGCCTCTCCTTCACTGCCAGTTCCTTCATCATCCCAAAGATCAACCCTCATGCCGACCCATCCTTCATTTTCTGCGAGGAGCTTGATGCTGGACGCCGAGTCGAACCCTGCAAGTATGGCGCTTTCATCGTTTCCAAATTCCTCTTCACCTTCCGTGAGCGGCCGAATTGTGTAAAAGCTCTTATGCTGGGTGCCCTCATCAGTGGCAGTCTTCTTTGCCGGGCCACTGGTAGGAAACGGAGTGTCCGTGTCTTCGATAAATTGCTGTATTCTAGCCTTGCCTTCCCCAGAAGCCTCCCGAAGGTATCTCATTATTGTTTCTCTTTCTCTGGCTGCGAAACCCGGTCTAGGTCGACAAATCTGACGACAAGCCGGGGAAAAGAAGTGGGCTTTTGCTTCAATGTTCGCTGTGTGGCGATAATCGGCATATAGCTGCTGCAAGTGTGCTGTTATGGCCTTCTGATCTGAGGCTTCCATCATTCAAAGCCTGTGGAGAGCGAAAAGTAATTAAGCACCTGAACGAATCCTTTGTGTGATGTTCGACCTGGTGATAGCGCTCACCTGTTTGTATTTGAGCTCTTTCAGCAATGGCAAAATGGTGTCATGGCAGCTTCATGGTAATTTCAAGTCCATTCAAGTCAAACGTGGCCTGAGTCACAGTGGAGGGGCCTGGTGCTTATGATTTCTTTAATTGCTGACTGCATCTGTACTCGGAAGGGCACCAGTGCCCGCTGGCAGCTCGGTCTGGAGATGACTAATAGGTGTATCTAGGTAGGTACCCAGGTAGGTATAGCTTCCAAGGTTCGCCAGCCGATGGCGTTGTCTGAAACTGAAGGCCGATCACTCATGTGTATCAGCCTTCAGCCTTTTCCAGGGAAGATTCGAAGTTCTTGAACGGTTTCGCCTAGGAAGACGTTTCTGGAGTAGAATTTCCGCGAGCGAGGACCGTACTAATACGACTCGAATCAGAGGACATGCCACCTTCATGTCTCACCACAAAAGAACCATTCCGGCAGTGTGAGCGTTGCTTGCAACGAAACAACGCCCCGCCCCGCCTTTGCCAATCACTGAGAGACTATAGAATGGAACAAAATACATGGCGTGAGCTATTTTGTGACCAGTGAGATGAATCTGACCAAAACACAATCACATTAGACGAGCATGCGTCGATTCCATGATGATACTAGGCCATTGCGCTTAGCCAAAAGTCTCAACAGGCCTGTTTTGGTAAGATCATCTGCGCCCAATCGTGAATTTGAAAAGATGCTCCGGTATTTCGACGGTAAGCGCAGCCATCGATTGACGGAATGGTCCAATTCAATCACTGTGTGAAAGATTTCTTCTCCAAGCCTTTGATCTGACGGGCCCACACCTCTCGGGACAAGTCAACCCAGCTCTCGCCGAACTCTTCCAGGACCTTGTTGACGTCGAGCGCGTTGGCATTGCATTGTCTGTTGTACTCATCATCGGTCCCAAAAGTGGCAGTCTTCCATTCGGCCTTCCATTGGTTGACAGCATCCTTGGCCGCTTGAGACTGGCTCTGAATGTTGGTGGCAATCATGTAGAAACTCGACCGGTGCTGGTGCTCTTTCTCCGGTTTGAATAGGCGGATCTCGGAGAACTTTGAAAACTTGTAGAACAGAGAGAGACTATTCCATGTCTCGGCCTTATGCATCAGAACGATCATGCTCGCGCCGGGCTTTGCGCGTTCGAGGGCTATCGCCAACTGGGAAGCCTTCAGGCGGTGGGCCTCACGGTGCTCCCGATATGACGCGATTTGATGGGTACGAAGTACACCGCCCTCGCAGGTGACGAGGTCGAACTGCTGTCGAGGGCGAATGGCTCGCTTGAGGAAACGCTTCGCATCAGGGTGGCTGGGGGGAATATCGTCCAAGGGGAAGCCGAGGTCGACTGCGAGCATCGTGACATCTGCCTGAATCAGATCCAGGCGGGGACTCTTAACAAGACTCTCGACTCCCTTCTCTCTGATCGGAAGGGTGATTCCCACCACTTGCACGTTGGGGTTGACCTTCAGCGCCTCACCAACGAAACCGCCAGGGGCGAAGCCGAGGGCGAGCATGCTTGGTCGCTTCCCAGGGAGATGGAAGACGCCGGTAGCTTGCTGCATCTTGTCTCCTACCCTATTCATCATGCCGAAAAATATCTTGGTGGTCTCGGGATTGGCATCATCGCCTAGCTTTCGCTGACGCTCGAAATACTTATCACCCTCGGGATTGTCCCAGCCCTGCAACGCGACAGTCAGCAGCTGGTCCTGCAAATCGCAGACGAATTATCACTCACCTTCTTGCGGATTTCTGTCAGCTGGCGGAACTCGGCGACATTGTTCAGAAGGTATTGCATCGTGACGGCGCGCTCGCCTTCGAAGAGTCGATCTTCATCCGCTAGCGGGGGGCCCTTTCCACCCTCACGTAGGTCCGTTACCTGGTGCATGTCTTTCTCCTCTGGGCGCACGACCTTCCTGGGGCTATTGAGATCCAGCTCCTGCAGGCCAGACACTAGAGAATTGTCGATGGTGGCGTCACCAGCTTTGTCAAACGCGCACGAAGACGGGTCGGTCAAACGGGGCTGTTGCTCCAGCACGGCCAGCGCACCTTTCCCATTAGCAGGGACCGGCATCCTGTTTTCGATGCCTTGATTGCTGTGAGACATGGTTGCAGTAGGAAGTAGTGGAAGTGGGTGTTTGTTCTGGGATTCGGAATGGAGACGAGGTTGCGATTGCAATGCTCGATTCTGAGAGCAAGACAACAATGGAAAGGAGTCTGGGAAAGAAAAGCTTGGGACCACAGTTGCAGAGATAGCTTCCAGGGATGAAAAGATCCAAATAAGCAAGCTTCGAAGACCCGGGAGACCAAGGTGGGGGCAGCTATATCAAGGCTCTGAGGACGGCGTTCTTTCCAAATCAGAACAGAAGGGACAACCTGCCTTTTCTGGCCTTGAGTTTTGTATTCGACCCTATCTCTTAAGTCTGCAATCCTTCCAAGGTCCTCACATCCTGCCCTTCTGGACGCACAGCCAATGCCATTGTGACATGGAATTACAGCCTGCCTAGCTTTAAACTGTTATTGTTTGGATGACGGACATGGGTGGGTGAGAAAAGGAACATGTATGAGTGGCTGTTTTCCGCATGCTTCATCTGCTTTCAATCGACATATAATCCTCACTCGACCCTTCCAAAGCCCAAGCCCTTTAGCTGTAAGTTATCCGAGGACCCCAAGACATTCCAAGGTTTCCAGCAAGACTCTCCAGACACACAAGTTGCTGAGCAACAGACAGATCAACCAGCCTACAAAGCCTGACATCCCATCCAAGCAACATGTGCATCTGTTTCTGGATGGAGTACTGTTGTGAATGCGACAAGCCGGACTGCCCTCACAAACAACCCTCACACCCACATAACCACCTTCAAGACAAACTCTGGTGCATTATACACCACACCTGGCAACACTGCCCTGCCTTCATCCAGTTGTTAGACTCAACTCAGAGGCCTCAGGATACTAGTCACCAGGTGGCAAACAACGACCAGTCACAACACAAAGAAATGTCTTCTTCCAACCAACCTTCAGGATGTTTCAAAGCCAGCACTGATCCACGGCACGGGGGACGGCTTCCAATATGCCAAGACATCCAGTACAGTGCCTGGCGGACTGTGAAGGATTGCGATTATTGCAGGGAGTACTGGATTGGCAGGAGCATGGACAATGCCATCTGATGGACCAGGCACCTGGGGCAGGTCTACCCACCAGATCTTGGGAGCGGGTGAAAGAGCTAGTGGCATGGGTGGCCAAAGCATCAAGGAGGGCAGTCAAGGTGTGGGAATAATCTACTTATGTAGAGCAGTCTCATCTTGACCACTTTGGTAGCAGTGAACCATCCCTGGAGCCATAGATTAAGAGTGGTGTGTTTTGAATCACCACGGCCACTTGGGGCAAGTGTTTTAGGAGAGAACAAAACAGGTCTTGAAGGTTTGAGACAACAGAAAGAGACTTTGTGGAATGAATCAGACTTGACAGGGTCATTGCTTATCAGGGGCCATTGTAGCGCCTCTAACATGCTCCCATTATCCTGAAATTGTGCCTCCACATCCCTGACTTATGCAAGTCATGAGCTTTGTGCATAAGAAATCAAATCATGTCTGTATAATGATGCTCCCTGTAGTTTGAGTGACTTGCATGGCAACATTTGACGTTGCAGTCTTGGGCACTAAGAACCTTGGAAGCTGGCTTGTTATCACTTGACCTCCTTGAGCAACTGGAATGAACATAAGTTGTGTTTCGGGCATAATCTCATGGGGGAAATTCCGCTCAACCCATTTAATGAGGTAGACAATTAATTTGCTGTTGCCAGGTTCTCTGAAGTCCCCCCCCCCCCCAATAGGCGTTCTTGGCACGGCTACCATCTGGTCTTGAGTGTTTACCACTGTATGAAAGCGCCGCATACGTTTATATGTATGGGGATTAGAAACGAAACCACTACGGCTACCATCCATCTGATCGATGAAACGCCTATCCAACATGAATTCCGAGTTTGACTCCAAGAGACTGAGAAACCCTCAAGGAACCATGTTTGTCGACTACATGGACCGATTGGCAAGGAACACGCTCCAAGACACCCAGTTTGCGGTGGCATCGGATGGGGATAGAGACAGCAAATCCTAGCTGATTGAGAAGAGAAGGCCAGCGAGGGAAGATTTGCATCACTTCACAAGGTCCTTGTAAACTTGATCACCAAGATCATGTCAGTAGGGACAGAGTCGACTGAAGAGGCCGGCAGCGCTGGAGTCATCGGGCTTGAATCGACTTCATAATTTTGAAGGTTCGGTAGCTGGAAATCAGGAAGTATTCTGCGTTTTGGCATCAGGCCGTGGCGTTGTGGATGTCGAGACAAGACCTGAATTAATGTGTTAGTATGGAACAACGCTGTGTCCCACATTGTCAACTTTTCAGTTTGAAATAGTGAAAACGGGCATGATGTCCTCTCGTCAGCTCGAACCTCCAGTTCTAAGACGGGGAAACTGCTCAATCTTGCGAGTGAGTGGAAGTCCCATTGTCATAATGTCAGCGGCTGTCACAAGCAGGGACCGTCAGTCAGTGCCTCATCAGCGGACAAACTCTGAGTCACCTTCTAGCTCCACTGAGAAGCCCCCTGACCCGTTCCGAGTTCACGGTCTGCTCATAAGCAAGGAGTGTTCACGTTGCCACTTGTCCTGCGGTGCGTAATTATTGGATCCGAGCTTCAGTGTAGACCACAAATGTGTGAAACGGTCTCATAGGACAACACACATCATGCCACTTTGTCAGGTAAAGTAGACGAAAGGATGTAGAGCCGGCCTCGAGGGCGTACCATGCTTTCGGGTTGACCTTGTCTACCAGAGCACTGGGATTTTGACAATATGCTGTCTGAGTATTGCTCAACGGTTCCCGCGCTGGGCTAGTCATAGTAGCCCGCTTCTCGGACTTGGGGTTGAGCGAGTTGAAGCGGACCTAGGGGTCGTGTCTGCTGTCGGTTGTACACAAAGAACGGGCTTGCTGATCTGTGACACAAGGACAATTGACTTCCTGATGGGTCTCGAAGCCCCTGGCTCTCGGTGACAACCCAATGTGAGCCACGGATTTTCTCTTCACACTTCTGAAGCGTACTACTCGAAAAAGTTCTCTAACAGCACCAGCGGGGTAGTGCTGTTGTTATACTGCAAACATCTCGGTGGCACCCGGGGCCGGACGCGTCGTGAACGCAGGTGATGGTCGATCATCCACCCGGCCACTTAGATCACATACGCAGAGGGGCCTCGGTTCCAAGAAAGCGTCATAAAGCCGGACAAGAAGGTTCCAGATCCCATCGCTTTCGGGCAGTGATTTGCACCCTCAGGAAAATGATCCGGGCCCAGAGCCACGAGGACCACCAGGACCACCTTGAGGAGCGTAGATGTGAGTAACGGAGATGTGAGCTGTATCAGGCCGAGAAGGGTCCCAAGGTAGGGGTGGATATAGTAGGGTACGCTGGTGATGTAAAACAGTTAGGTACTTGAATACTTCAGTCCATGGTCCCAGAGAAGGGATTCGGCCTTGGAAGTTTATGTGATGCAGGATTCCCGCTGCCCTTGTATTCTCGCACGATCCGGGATCTAGCGTAACTTTCCTGTCTACAGGTACATTAAAAGCATCGGAAGTGTTCCGCGGGCTGTTAGATAGCCGGCGATTCGACTTCTTACCTAGTGCCTCTGCAAGGGCTCCACAATGGACTTGCTTGGCGAGGAGGTCCAGGTTTTGAAGACTGAATGAGGTGCTGGGGCGAGGTCAACCCTGCCTGCCAGGCCTGCCTGCGTGTCGACAAGTCGACTATTCTGACGGCTTGTCTAAAGTCGCCACCTGGCTGTTCAGGTTTTCTGTAATATCGGCGGCGTCACGGCAAGACCAGAAGATCACTCTCGGCAGGTGGGTCTTCTGCAGATGGTCGCACCTATGATATGCATTGAGGGCGATAGCCGTCTCGACCCTCAAGTTTTATCTCAAATGTTCAGATGCCCTTAACCAGGCTTGCAGCCTGGCCATCACTCACGTCACTTGAGAGTATAGACTCCCTACTTATTTTAGGTGGGGACTCTATAGTTTATAGTAATCCTATAGCTAGGTTGATTATTAAGTGGTTTAAACTTAAGTAAAGGATATTTAAAATTAAAATGTTAAAAATTTAGAGTAAAGGAATAGGTTTATATAGTATTTTAAAGTATTTTTTTTAAATATTTTTTAATTTTAATACCTTTTTAATTAGTAATTTATATAAAAATAATATATTAAAAAAGAGAATTAATAAAAGCTTTTTTTTAAAGTTTTTTTATTTTTATAGCTTTTTATTTAATGAAATTTAGTATATTTAATTAATAAATTAAGTAGAGGGATAGAAGTTATTTTTTTAATTATTTATATTACTTAATTTAGATTCTCTTAAAAATAGAGTATAATTTAAGGTAAAATAATTAGTATTGGTATTATAAGTTTAAAAGGGTACTTACTTAAAGAAAGAAGAGTTATTAGGGAAAAAATTTGAATTTAAAGTTAGGGGGGGAAATAGGTGTCCTTTTATCTTTATAAGGGGTGTATTTTAGTTATAGACCTCTATATATTAAAAGCTGACCTTTCCTTTCTAGCTATACCTTAAGTAAATAATAGCTATGAGTTAAGCGTAGCTTTTCCAGCACGGAGGTCTGTGTGTTAGAGATAACTTGAGTTATAGTTGACTAACTAGCTCGGAACAATGCCGGGAACGATCACTAGCCTTACCACGGTGCCGGGTAAGGCCGTACGTGCTCCCTCCGTCTTGAGCGAGCGGGCTGGCTGGTCTCGGTTCATTGTAACGAGCTTGGCCACATGGACCATTCGCACAGGCACACATTTGACGTCGCTGGTGGGTCATGTTCGATTCTCTCAACAAGAAGCCATTGGACGTTGCCAAGCCGGGTGGTGGTCGCACAGCCCCTGACGGGAGACTGAACCCCTTTGCTCGTGGGGTTGTAGAGATCTTTCCAGGGGTTTCTCAAATTTTTGGGCCCCTGTTCAACCGCCCCCCCCCCGAGGTGGTCGGTGCTGTTCAGTGGCAGCCGCGTCTGGACGTGCTCGTAGTGGAGCTTTTCTCGCCCGGGATTGAAACCACTGGGATTATGCCTCTGCAAGCGGGTCATATTCTGGTGATTAGAATCCCAAACAGGTTAAAAAAAAAGAAAAGAAAAGAAAAGAAAAAAGGTTCGCAGTGTCGCTCTCAACTCGGGTCTCGAGATCGGGACACTCGGTGAAACATTCTTTGGAGGCTGGCGGGTCCTCGAAGCCTCGCGAAGCTTCGAGTCAAGACAACCAATCACGCATCCCGGGCGTGCCATGATGAATCAATGACGGCAGGGGGGCCTCAGGTGTATATATGTCGCGGGCACACATCCGGCCGTGACCGATGATTTCTCCCGGGGCTTTACCAGCTTTGAGACCAGAGAGAAATAAAGCGGCAACCCGTTCGTGACTTGCCTGCTCGATCGGCGGTCGATTCCGGGGCTAGACCGGCTGTCTGGAGTAATACCAGCTTTTTGCTTGGCCTCCCAGAGGGTAAGCGCACATAGCACGGACCTATCAACGGGGCCAGGGAGCAAAAGCTCCGGGGCTGGCCTTTTACAGCCCCCCCGTCAAGGACTTTAATGCTGGGTTGGGCGACGAGGAGGTAGCTGTCCAACAGATATTTCGCGGGGAGGGAGGGACAACAGCTGCTCCTTTTACACACTGGAACCCGGGGGATTAGATGGATTTGTCAACTTCAGAAAGTGGTAGAAAACCACAATACAAGAACCTCGCGAGAGACTCTTTGCGCTGCTTGACCGCGTGAGGGCGGCCAGATACCCGTCACTGACGCGCAGTGACGCCCCCACAACCTCTTGAACCGAGACCTCGCAGATGCAGGCAGGCTGACAAGGAAGAGCGCCTGTGGCAAAATTCGAACATCTGGCAACATCCCTATGATTCGGCCATTGTTCCTCGGCTTGCTTGTCAGTGCCTCGCGCGTGTCTATTCCCTTCCACTGGTGGACTCGCCACCTGGGGCTTGTACTGACTATGCCACAGGCACGTCGAGCGCATCTTCTTTTCAATACTATAAAAAGAGGGACTGGGACCAATTCGTTGATGATGCGCCGGGTTTCCTTTTTTTGAGACACGACGACACCTTCAGAACCTGTTGTGGGGAACCTTGCGTGTTCGGACTTCATGTGCAAGAGACACTCCTACGATTGCCCAGTCTGCGGGAAGGAATATCTCATCTTCATCAAGTTTTGTCCGCACTTCCATCAATCAGAGTCATTTTGTCCGCAGGGGATGACCGAAGTAAAGGAGATCATGACCGAAGGCCGATGCCCGAGTCCTGTCTGCCCTAATAGCAGATCCGGCGGCTGTGTAGTCAGTTGACAACCGTGTCAGCTCGTGTCAAGCCCTTGTCGGAGCCCCAGCCGCCAAGAACCAGCGGCGCATCGTTCACAGCTTCTGCCCATGAGCGCCGACCTCGACGACCTGATCGATGCCATCGTACTCTGGCACCTCGAAATCGTACTTCTTCGCGATAGCCGGCGCCACGAACCTGGTTACTCTCAGCAGTTGCATCGAGCAAGTCGTATAGCGGTACGCACCTCCCGCCGATAAAATGCCGGCCCTTGAAATATTTCACCAGCGGTTTGGGGGCCGTCAAGCTGATTAGGGCTGTAGGATGGAAGGTGCTGCCCAGACCGGATTCCGGGGGCCCTTCCTCGATATCCCAAGACGATGGAGCATCGACTGAAGTCACTGGGAGCTGTGTCTGCTCCATTGCCCGGATGACAGCGGGGAATGGCTCGCGGACCTCGCCCGAGAAACTGAAACCTAGGGAGCGATGAGTGTGAACCAACGATCGATTAGCGGGATCATCTCGAAGACGAACCGAAGATTGCATCAACAATATGGTCCGTGGATTTGATGGCCGTGGGGAAGTCCTCGGTGAAAGGGATCTCTAGGTCCTCCAGCTGTTTAGCCAGACGCTGACCACATCATCAGCTTCGAGGCCAAGCGAGCAAGCAAGACTCAGTCGAAAAATGAACAAGGAACGACAGCAACAAAGCCTCCCATCTCATGCCTGCCCAGGCGAAGCCCCTGCTTAAGCTGCGGGCGATCGTGGTGCCTGTTGATGAGCAGTGGGCAGAGCTCCATCCTGCGCCGCGGGTTGCCAGAGGCTGGACGAGCCCCTCTCCCACCGGACTCGTGTGTACAGTGAGAATCAGCGTAGTGCATACCTGGTAGAGTTCGTTCTTGCTCCGCTTCGGATAATAGATGGTTGGTTGGTAGCCGTACTGCCGAAGGTGTCGAGCGGCAACAAGCCCGTCACCACCTGACTGCGAGGTCAACCCTGCGGCCCGTCGACTTGGACCTGGTCACAGGCTGCAACACACCGTTATTTCCGGGACCACATGCGACCAAGATGCGGCGGCCAGCGCTAGGAGGCTGAACCCGATAGACTAGTTGGGCGGGGTCAGCCAGCTTTTCCGTATTTTTGATGCCGCAGATGGCAGAGGAGAGCCGTACCAGCCTGCGAGACGGACAAGCCAGCCAGCTCCATGAGCTGGTCGATTGAGAATGCCCCGCTGCTCATCAGCTCTTTGTCCAAAGCTGCGGCAGCCTGGGCCCCAAGAAACTGTAGAGAAAGATTAGCATGAGACGCCTGACTGGGCGTTGCGCAGTCGTACTTTCGCAGCCATGATGAAATTCCTCCCGTTGCTTCCGTCAACTTGCGAGGATTATTAGGTAGGAAGGCAGAAAAAGCACAAATACAATAACCACGTCCGAGTCCAGACTGTGTTGTCGTTGTGAGGCTCCTCAGATGCCGGGCATGTCTCTGGACTGACATCACTACGGCATGTACCCTGCTGGAAGCGCATGGGTAGGAGTGAGTGCTATCTGTAGCCTAGAATGACTAAGTCCCGCCGCATCTGATTGGCGGCCCCCGACGTCAAGCAAAAGCGCCGGCCCCACCCAAAAGATCAGGCGCGACATTCTCCCCCAGCTGTCTGCACCCTCGCAGCGCAGCAGCTGGTCAACCCGAGGTTTCCAAGCAGCAATGGTCGTCAAAATCAGGCTCGCCCGGTTCGGGCGGACCAACACCCCGTTCTACAACATTGTCGTCGCACATGCAAGGTGAGTCCACCCCAACCAGGCAGCCGCCGACCCGCTCGTCATGACCAGAAGAGAGCCCCAACGCTGACCTCGCCCCTCTCCTCCACAGGACCGCCCGGAACTCGAAACCCCTCGAGGTCATAGGCACCTACGACCCTATACCAAAGAAGGACTCGTATGACGAGTCCGGCAAGCTGCACAAAGACATCAGGCTCGACGTCGACAGGGCAAAGTACTGGGTGGGCGTTGGGGCGCAGCCGACAGACACAGTGTGGAGGTTCCTCTCCATGGTACGCATTATACACACGGCCACATGTGACGCCCTGCTCGGAATGCTCGCTGACACGCCAAACTCACAGCTCGGGATACTGGAGCCCAAGTATAGACCCAAGGCGAAGAACCCACCCCCAACGTTACAGACCCATAACACCACCACAACTAGCATCTGATGGGCAACGCGTCCATTTTCCTTATCCGCATTCCCGAGGCGTCATTTTGGTGTACCTGTGTATTATAGGGTGAAAGAACTTTGTCCCGAGTAGTCAGTCTACATCGACCGTCTAATCAAGACATCTACAAAGGGACTGAATTGTTTTATGAATATCATACTCGCCCCGTCTTGTGGCACCTCTCTTGTTCCTGCTAGCAACCAATGCTCAGCTTCACCCTCACCGGACAGGGCTTTGCTATTGCTCATTTGGAATCCAGTCCGGGAACCAGGCAGCTGGTTAGCAGGCCTCGGTCAGACTTGCTCGAAGACTCTCAACTGGTACAAGCACAGTAATATGAACGTGTCGACTGTCCGACTTTGCGACTTTGAGAGGCCAAAAGCTCGCAGTGAACCAAACCAGGATAGCCGTCCATTGGGACAGCTTGCAGCCTTCAGGCCTAGTCACCTTGTGTGGTGGTTTCGTTTTAATCTCCATACATATAAAAGGTATCTCGCGCCTTCGTACAGTGGTAAACGCTCAAGACCTCACCTTCTTGCGACCGAGGCAGTGCTTTGCATGCAGGAAAACACGCAGGAGTCTCAGTTGTCAAGAAAACGTTGTGCCCGGCCAGGCATCTCAAAGGAGGCCAAATTGAGCGCATCCGTTGTCCTCTTATTTCAAAGTGAAGAAAATGGTATTTGCTCTACAAGCTGCTGATGTTCAGGTTTCTAGCCAAAGTCATTCGCCTTTGAAACAAGACCGATCAAACAGAATCCGAAACATTGGAGCCCAACGCCGAGCGGTGTCTAATCCAAAGCCAGCAACAACAGGATTGGCTCTATGTAAGGTCAGAACGAGTCCCAGCCCCGGAACACCATATATATGCAAAGCAAAAATGAAGAACATGACTCTGTAGGAGTATGCAGAACGAAGGTAATGACACAAATGAAATGCGCGGCATGTCTCCGATGCCACAGACGTATCTCACTGGGCAGTCAGGAAGCTCGGTTGTGCCCGAGGATGCACAATTGCTTGGCGGCAGTGCTTCAGTGTGCCACAGTGAAGAAGGTGTTCAACACAAGACACACAACCATGACACACATGCCATAAATGGCCAGGCACAGAGCTAGCCTCCTCAGCAACCCGTGCTCGATGTGTTCCAAGTCCCACCTCCACCTCTTTCGCATCCTCCACCAGCCACCGTAGCCGGCACTGACTCCTCCTGAGCGAATGCTCCCACCGGCCTCCAGGATGCCTGAGCCGCTTGGCTCAAACCCAATATCAGTGTCGTCGCTGTCGTTCGCGTCCACGTCGTCGTCTTCCTTGGTGAGCCTCTGGTGATGGATACTATCCGGGTCACTGATCTTGTAATAGAACAGCCCGGGAAGGATGAAGCTGATGGAGGTTGACCCTGTGGCGCCGACATATGCGAGCACACGGTCGAGCTGGCTCACGGTGAGGGAGGTGATGTATGCCAGCACGATGATGAACGTTGTGAGGAGTGCGAAACGCATATCAGACATAGACACGGCCGGCGCACCATGGCTGTCGGTTGGCCCAGAGCCCGTCGGGAGGAGGGAGCGGTTGCTCGGGGACTCTGGACCGCGTTGAGTGCGGTTGGGCCGCCACCGGAGCACTGCATCAAGAGATGCCCGGCAGGGGTGGACTTGAAGTGGAACGCTGAACATGACCAACACGACGATAGCGGCCTTGCCGATGGTCGAGGCTGCGGACGAAGGATACATCATGACGATGTTGCCCAAAACAGTGTTGCCAAATGTCAGGTAGCCCGTGATCGCAACCAGGACATATATGCTCGCTGCGGATCCGATGCTGGACGAGATGACTCCAACGATGCTGGATGGTGTGTTGTCCTTGATCTCGTTAATGACAGAGAACATCTAGCAAAACATTAGCACATGCGCTGCTGGCGTGGAAGGCGGTGCTTTTCATCAGGAGCACGGGGGAGCCTACATTCTGATGGCAGGTGTAGGCAAAGACCACCACGGGCAAACTGCTAAGAAAGGGTATGGGCCCGTTCCAAGCGAGGTAACTGACGTCGCCGCGGTTTTCCACCGAGTCCGAGGCGAAGTGGTAGACAACGAGGACGATTAGGTATCCGATGGAGATGAGCGCAATGACGCTCGTGTACTTGAGTGAATCCAGTCTTCTCAAAAAGCTAAGTGGTATGATGATGAGCATAAATGCCGTAATCCAGAAGTTCCGGTCGACCAGGAAGGGGACCTGGTCTGCGGCTTCATTAAACCCCCTCATGACGCCTGGCATCAGGTCGCCAATGATGATCAAATAGGAGACAGCGACTCCAAAGCATTTTACGGCGATCGCGGCATCGAATATGACGGCCGCATTGGGGTATGTGAGCTGTGACAGCGCAAAGAAAGACGAGCTGCCCCTGTCGAGGTATCGGGCGCACCGGGCCTGGAGATAGAGCCCAAATGCAGAGGTGATGCCCGACCATACTATTATGAAGGTTCCCAGCAGCATTCCCATCTGTGACATGGCGTGGGGCATCGCTAGGGTTCCGGCGCCAACGATCGTATTGAGCAGGTTGATGTTGCTGCTCATCATAGAGGCCTGGCCTCCTCCTTTGGGGCTGCGCCCTCTTTTTGGTCTGCCGTCGCATGTGAGATTAGCATCAGGCTGAGGACTTCACAGGAACGGGCTACGGCCGACGAGGCAGCAACCGAGGACAGCAACAGCACCAGCACCAGCACCAGCACCAGCACCAGCACCGGGGTTCCGAGGGTTGTGCGCTGACGAGGGCCAACACGTACCGTGCCATGGCTCCGGCTTCAGAGCCAGTTTCGTTTCCATCAGAGAAGGTCGAGTAATTCGTCATGTCACGGGTGCAGGACCGCGAGCCACCTGGCTCTGTCTAGACGCACTGATGGATGGAGAGGACGTCGGCTCGAGGAGGGTCGGTCGGATTCGTCTGGTGGGTGAAGCTGAGACAGTGGTCGAGGTTGGCGCGCGACGGGGCTTCGTGGTCGGGAGACGGGGAGGTCGACAGCGCCGAGTGACAGTTCGCAAGGTATGTCGATAAGACTATGGGCGGAAGAAGGGCACGGGATGCCTGGAGCAACTCGTGGGGGTGAAGTGCGGGCTGTCGACTGCCGCAGATCGGCTTGCAACCGGGGCGGGCGGGAGGCTCCAGTCTAAACCGGCAGCGGCTAGCAGGAGGAGGCTCCGGATAGCGACAGGCAGAGCTTGACACCTTGACGCCACCCCCCAGCGTTGACGTGATGGTGGAAAAGGATGAGTAAAGGATGACCAGGCGGATGCACACGACACAGGCCCATGCGGTCAGCGCACGGGAAAACGCCGCCACGGAGCTGACTCGAGGGTCGCAGGTCGCAGGCCGCAGGCCGCAGTGACAAGGACTCGCACCGCCAAGCTCAAGTCACACGTCGCCGTCACACGACGACGTTGAAGGGCGTGAGATGCTGGAGCGGCTGGCAGTCAGGCAGTCAGGCAGTACGGGGTACAGACTGTAGGGCTGGGCTGCCTGGCTGCGAAAGGCCAGCGAGGCAGGGTTGGCTGTTCCGGCTATTATGCTCTTGTCCATGTGTCTGTCCCAATGCCCACTTGCCCCAGAAACCTTACCCGCACCACAGGGCCCCAGGGCCCCTGACACCTGAGATTTGTCTCGGCCTAGCAGCCCCTCCCTCTGACGTAAAACCACACAACCTTGGAACCAGCTGTCACTGCAGGCCTGCCAAGCAACCACCTACCCCAGAGCTTCCAGCCGGCCTGCCCTGCCTGCGCCAGGGGGGTGCACATCTTCCCCGGGCGCTCACCCGAGGTCGTCCTTGGCCTTCCGAATCGAGCTTGCTTGCTTGCGGGCTGGGCTGGCCTTTACACACACCGCAGGTTGCACGACACATACGTTCAACGCGAGCTTCTGCTTCCCCCCCCCCCCAAGGTGGTGGCGCTGCATAGCCGAGGAGAGACTGTTGACCCTCGCTTAGGGAGCCCAGCTTGCCCAGGAGAGTGGGTTTGTTTACATCGCACTAGGCTGCGACAATCTCCCAAGGTCTGTAGCCCACGACAATGGAGGAGCAATCGTTGGACAGGACCACTCTCGCCACCATCTCTCTGCTCGAGGCCCGTCTCCTGCGGATCGAGCAGATTCTCCACGGCTCGAATTCCGTGTCAGCCGCAAGGCCAGCTGGTGACTCGGCTGTCGAATCACTTGCGAACCTGGAGCGCCGCTTTGCAGCCCTCATCTCCCGCTTCCGCGTCTACGCCGATATCCTCAAGCTTTGTGAGCAGCGATCCCAGGCCATGATTCCAATGGCTCAGGATTTAGGACTCAGGCGGCTGACTAGCTGTATCTAGACCACACCCACCCGTCATTCTTCCAGTCACCCGCACCTGACGACCCGGCCCCTTCCCAGCTGGATACTGCCGCCCTCCGTGCCACAGTGCTCTCCTTCGCCTCCTCGTTCCCTAGCACCGTCTCCGCCCTGACGGCCGTCACATCTGATACTCCCGTCCCAGACCCAAAGCTGAGCGCCAACATGGTTGCCCTGCTACCACGCATGAAGGGTGTCGAGGCGACACAGCTGGCCCAGGAGGCGGAGATCGGAGAACTTCGGGACCGCAGCGAGAGGGTCGTCAGGAAGTGGTACGAGGAGAGGGTGGTGGGCTATGGGAGCTTCATCGCCGACGTTGAGGGCCGAGTGGAGGGCGTGGAGCGTAAGGTGAGGAGGGCGGAGGCCCTAAGGGACAAGGAGGCTGAGGCTGTTTGAGCCCGCCGGGGGCGGACAAGAACTGATTGCATCTATGGTCCGAGGATGCCTCCTTTGATCCTGCCAACCACCAACCACCATGACTTGGCATTGGCGTCACGATTCTCCATGTCAAGCCTTCTTGGTGATGCCGCGTCTCGGTCCCTCGCGCCATGGACCAAGTTGGGAGTGCATCTAAAGAGTGGTCGGGGATGCCTCAGAGCCAATACTCATGTTGTCTTCGGCCCAGGGCCTGGGGGTTGAGAACGGACAATCGGCCGGGGCAGGCAGTATACAATAGCATATTGCGGGCCGAGGCACAGGAATGGTAGTGACCGTGTGGCCATCGACCACGTCGAGACAGGAAAGGCTACATACCACGAAGAAGCCGATCGCATTGGACGGCCAGCCAGAGGCGGACCGGAACAGGCCAGCCCAACGCTTACACACAAGCAGTGAAGCAGTCACGGGGTAGCGCAAGATAAATCGACACCCGGCAGCAATGATGATTCCAACTCAGCCTCAGTCTGGCCCCCAGGCCAAATAGTCTTTGCACTGTGCAGTCACCCGCATCAACATCGCGTAAGGCTCGACTTGAACGGGCTCGCAGCTGTGCCGAATCACACCCGGGAAAGGGCAGTCCGCGTTTCAGGGCCTGTGATATCACTCAATGCGAACTGCACTCCCTCCCCGGCGATTGCCAGCCGGGCTATCGTCGTCATTTCCACATCAGATGATTATTTCATCCTGCTTGGACGGTTCGTGGCCAATGCCATCGACAAGCCTCGGCGTTCCCATCGCGCAAGTCGCAAGTAGGCCAAGACAGTCGTTCCACCAAATAATCGCAGGGCAGCTGGAAGTGCTGCTGTCGTGGCTACGCAGTGTTTGAAATGCACACAGCGAACAGACGTCCTTTGCGGCAAGCCACTTGTTTTACTGCGATGTAGCTGGCCCGAGATCGTCTTCACCCGGCTCGTGGGGAGGACCTGCTAGGCGGGATAGATTGGACGAGGACTGCGGTCAAGGCACCCGTGCGTGCCAGGTGCCCAATCGAGATGGACGAGAGCGCCTTGTCAAATTGTTCTTGCCGCATACAGTCGGACGGCGCAAGTTGTGGTATTATTAGGAGCAGGCCAATTTCATGCGGGGAGTAGCGGGCAGTCTTTACCAAGAGCAGGCAAATGTCACGGTTTACCGGTTGTTTCAATTTAGATAGGGCTAACCACCTCGGGACATTTCGAGTCCAATGTCTCGCGCAACGGAGGAGTTGTCAAGAAGCTCACTGCCACCAGGCTAGCAGATACGAAGACGACACGCCACCAACGAGCAGGAGGAGCTGCCGACGGCACTGCTGCAGTGGCAGCGGAACGTGTCCCTCTCCGAGGCCAGTCGGAGCCCACGACACGGGTGCGCTACGGGGCCCTGATCGACGCCGCCGACCCGCTTGGATGGGGGAGCAGCTGCAGTGAGTGGGCAGCCCTAAATTCAGGAACCCAGGAAGGTGGGTGGGCAGGTCGTACTCATCTGAGCGCGCGGATACAGTGCGCGCTTACCTGTCGTCAGGAGCAGCACCAAAGATCATGAACGCCAGATCCGATACAACAAGTCGGACAAGGTGCTTATTCACGTACAGCATTGTCTCCCGGCGACCGGGTCCGATCGCCCCGGATTTACCACTTGCCCTGGCTTGCTTACCTAGGCCTAGGCATGTACAACAGCTGGGGAATCTGTGTCTGTAGTGCCACGAGCTGCTTGATAGGAGATCCGGGGCCTCGGAGATAATGGACCGCCAGGTTGGGGCTTGCTGGTTTCAGGCGCCGATCCCCTTTGACATTCGAAGCCCGTGAGCAGGACTGCGTTCTGCGTTCTGCGTTCTGCGTTCTGCGTTCTGCGTCCTTTGTTGGCGGCCAGGCGGCAAGGCGGCAAGGCGATGCGCGCACAGCCAGACAGCCAGGCTGGCTGCCAGAATTTTAGAGTTGGCGACCACGTCGATCAAACGCACAAGAGCGCTGCTGTGGGGGGGAGTTTTGAGGGTCAGAGTTACTCAAGGACCCGTCAGGACCAACATGTCGCAAAGCACTGGACAGCAATGATGGGTTGGTCATAAGCGAGTGGGACGCAAGATGCACTAGAGCCCAGAGAGGCGCTGAGGCCGCAATAACCGCTTTTGCTGGTCTGTGGGCATCTCCATGGCGGCGCAGCGGGCGCTGCCGCGACAGGTTCATCTGTATGCAGTCTTGTCCTAGACAGAGAGGTCTGTCTGCCTGTGTTCTTCAACGACACCCGCCTCGCGATGGGATGGAGGGCAGATGGCAGGCTGGCAGGCTGGCAGGCTGGCAGGGTGGTTGTGTGATCGACCGGCAAGCTGCGATGACGGTAAGTTTCAGGCTTGGCTCTGAACTGGACCGTGTGCAAGTGTGGAAGCTGGCTGGCTGGCTCGTGTGCCGGCCGTGTCCCCGCCTCAGATCCCTGCGATGTTTCCAGTGCTGAGTGCCGAGGCCGGGTGCCCGGAGCCAGATGGATGTTGATCCGTCGTCGGTCGGGCTGGCAGGTGGCAGGCTGGTCGGTTGGCGAACGCAGGCCCTCCTGTCACACCGCCGCAAAATGGTCCAGGGCAGTGGTCCAGGGCGAGCGTGGTCATCCGATACCTTTATGCAGCGCAACGGAGCATATATGCAGGAGTGTGCAGAAGGGACCCCGACGTCCTGCCCGATACCCAATGGAAATGCCAGTGCCCTGGGGCGTTGTAACCCCCAGACGCTCAAGGAACGGGCTGAACGGTTGGCTGTCGCTAGCTGAGAAGCCCAGGCAGTGGGGTTGCGCACCTGGGCAGCTGGGCAGTAGACTAGTTGACTAGTAGTAGCCCGCCAGCTCGCAGAGGCCGTCTGAAACCCGACGACGACAATTGCTCCAACCCCTGCATGGTCACAGCCGAACCACGAGGAGGGACAAGGGATTGGGCTCTAAATTGCAGCAGTCAAGCAGATTAGTAGATTTGACAAGTTGGCCAGCAGCTGTCACGGGCGAGAGCCCACATGGTCGGAGAATTATGAAGGAGACGTGGCTGGCAAGGCCCTGGCAGCCTGGCAGCCTGGCAGCCTGGCAGCCAGGACTGCTAGCACGTCTGCAGTAGTGTAGCCCGCGACGATCTGGAGTCGTTACCAGCCTATCACCACGCCCGGCCTCTGATCAACTATCCTCTTCTGGCAACGACTTGATCCTGGTCTGTTCTCAAACGCCCTTCCGAGCCGGTTCACTTCTGAGACTTGACTCGATCTTGCCCTGTTCGGCAGCCACCTACCGAGCCTCGTGGGTCCTGCCGTCGTGCCCGTCGTGCCGTCGTCAATGTTTGCTCCATGGCCCATTGGCGTTGGACGGTTGAACCCACGCTGCCGGGTGTGTGGGACAGAGGGTGGCGGATGCCTGGACGGGCGCATCAACATCCCGCGGGCGATGGGGTCTGAAATTGAGACTGCTTTTAGCTCCCTACCACGCGGTATACGGTTTGACGGTATACGGTTTGACGGTATACCGCCCCATCCGGCGCGAACGGACGGCACACAGCGGTGGCGCCATGCACCACAGTGCTGTGGTAGCAACAGGATAGCTGGATACCTGGACACCTGGACAGATAGGAACAGGATAGGAGCAGGGCAGGAACGGGATAGGGCAGTGCAGGGTCCAAATGGGGAGGTGACAGCGGCACACCACCACGGGCGCATTCAGACAGGCGCAGTCTGAGGTGGCTATGCTCCCCACGGTGCACACGACGCATGCCTCGACTTGCAGCACCACGACGGCAGGACGGATCTGGCGCCCACCACCTACCTGCAGCTGGGCCGGGAACGAGGAGGAGGAGGGGGTGGGCAGGTGTCTGGGTGTGCGCTCTTCGCCAGTGCCTCTGGCTGCTTCCAGTTATTGGCAAGGCTGTGGCAAGTGGTCAGCACTACCAATTCTGGTTGAGCTAGGACCCTCCTTCGAGTCCTTCCCCTGCAAGACGTCTGGATCCTCCCTGCCAGGAACCTCACGCACACACACACACAACGCGCACACACCAATCCAAGCACAGTGCCTGCAGTGCATGCTGTGCCTGCTGTGGGGCCACCCCCATTGATTCTCTTCTCCGGCCACCCCTGCAACGAGATCAAGCCGCTCCTTCTCGCCTGCCTTTCCCTGTCGCTCTCTCTGCAGTCCAATCCAATCTCATGCCCACCACCATTTCCCCTTCTTTGCTTGGCTAGACCACGGCATCCTTCTCTCCCTTTCCCCTTCCCCGACTTCATCTATCCGCCCAGGCCCTGCACAAGGCAACCTGCCCTGCCGTGCTTTAACACATACACATGCACATGGGCTAACAACCCCATCTTTCAATTCCCTCCTCTCTTTAATCCCTTGCCCTGACTCACGATCCATTTTGATTCTTGCCTCTGTCCACTCCCTGCCTCCTCCTCGAGCACACAGCACCCTCGCGTATCCGACTCCTGTCGATCAATCGATCCATCTTGCGACATCCTCCCCGACCCTCGCCTTGCGTGCGTGTGCCTGTGTCCCATCATCGGTTACGAGCAATCTGCGCCGTCCGGCACTGCGAGAAACTCGGCCGGCCTCCAATCAATCGCCGACACGAGATATCAGGAAACAAATCCCACCGCTCGACATCACAATTCAAAAGAGGTGGCACTCGGCATTCAGGCGGGACATACTGCGACGCTGCACTTTCTGTCTGAACTACGCCGTCTTCCCGATCTGCCGCCGTCCTTTCCAACCTGACAAAGGGAATCAATCAATCACCTTGCACGGGCCATCAGCAGCCTTCTAATACGCCTTGCCCGACTTCCGTCGCCTTCACTCCGGTGTCCCATCGCAACAAGACCAATCCATCTCGGTCCTTTTTTCTTTCTTTCTTCCTTTTTTGCGCCAGCAGCCCGAGGCTGCCATCGCCATATTTTCAGCACGAGAGTCGTATTTGGGAGCAGCCAATACCAATACCAAGGCCACGCGGACCATCCATCACCATCAAACGATCGACCCCCAGCACCAATGTTTTTTTGAGGCAACTTTCAAGCCTTTACAAACATTTCCAAGCCGAACTATCTGTTACCAGGTAGTTTGTTGCACTGTCAACCTATCTAGCCACGCAACCAACGGTTCCACCCATGCCCAATTACGGCTCACTTCATTCACCATCGCTGCGCAAAATGGAATACAACAGGCAAAACAGACGACGAGGAATCGACGTCGGCAACATCATCGGCGATCCATTCGCCCTTGCTACCATATCCATTTCAGCGGTAAGCACGCCAGAGTAGAGCCTCTCCACAGGCCCCCTTCTGAACCCGGTCGAGCCCAGCCCGGCCTTCCCGCCCCATCATCCTGCAACCCATCCTTCGCCCCCCCAACCCAACCCAACCCAACACTCGGTAATTTTAGATGGACCGTTGGCTGACAGTCCCCTAGCTCGCATGGATTATTGCTTTCATCGCATCCATAATCGCCCAAATCCAGACCAGAGATAGCTTCCCCACGTACACGTGGTGGACTGTCGTCTACTACTTCTTCACAGTTGGCGGGGTCTTCGTAGTGGTCGCATCCGACACTACCCAGACCTACCATGTTGCCGTGGTTGGGTACCTGGCGTGTGGTCTTGTTCTCACCACGTCCTCTGTCAACAGTCTTGTGTACTCTGCCAATGGCGCCAAAGAGGCTGCCTCCGCGGGATTCATCCTGCTGTCCATGGTAACCGTATGTTGCTTACATCCTTGCATCTCAGCTCACCGCACCAGCTGCTTTATCCACTCCCGCATCGTGGACATTATGCTGATCAAGTCGGCAACAGATTGTCTGGATCTTTTACTTCGGCTCTGCGCCTTCCGCTGTTCCGCGGGCTTACCTTGACTCATTTGCCTTGACAAAGGAGTCCCACATGATGAACCGACAGACGATGAATTACGGTGGCGGCCGCCCCGAGACCTCAACTTCTGTGCAGCCCCCGCAGATGTACACATCCGCACAGCTTAACGGCTTCGAGAACCCATCGCCTGTCGCAGGCATCTCAACCGTACCCGGCGCTCGCACCAGCGCCGCAGCGAACGGCTTTGGCAACTCGCAAATGAAGGCGCCCGGTGCAACGAACAATGAGGGGGAGATAGTCCCTCCGACCGAGTACCCGTACCGCGCGAAAGCCATCTACAGCTACGAGGCGAACCCGGACGATGCCAACGAGATTTCCTTCTCCAAGCACGAGATCCTGGAAGTTAGCGACGTCAGCGGTCGGTGGTGGCAAGCACGCAAGGATAATGGTGACACCGGCATTGCACCAAGCAATTACCTAATCCTGCTTTGAAGACATGAGAATGCACGGAAGAGCGATTCAAACACAGCCTGTGGGGATGGGAGATGGACGACTAAGGCCCTCTAAGGAAACGGCTACCTCCGAAAATAGGAGGCCAGGCCGCCTACTGGCCGCCTCATTATGACTTGTATTATCAACTTAAGCGTATACCCAAGAGACCGGCCGATACGTGTGTCCCATGTGTGGAGGAAAGGACAGTGAGCGCATGTTTCTCAGGGACCATGCGGCATTTCAGACCTGCTCAAGGGTGCGATTGATGGAGATGGTTCGCATTGCAAGAGCTGTGCAAAAGGCACGACGAACCTTGGCCACTCCACATGTTATGGATGGATGTTTAGGTTCTCACCAGGCAGACCGCATATCAGGCCGGGCGAGGACATTATGAATTTGTTTTACCCTTTTGTCCTCCAACCCCGTCTCACAAGTCTCTCGTTGGGCAACAGCGCAAGATGCAACCACCACACAGATTCTTCTTCTACCAACCCCTTTTTTCTCTCTATCGCATTTTGTATACACTCTGTTGTATGTGGATGTGCCCATTCCATTCTCCGGTACTATTTTTCTTTTCTCTTGAACTATTCTGGGTGTTCTTCCTATACCATTCCCTGAACGCTGTATACATCCCCTCGCAGAGACACGGGTTCATGATTTTCATGCTTTGGAGTAGCTTGCATTTGCAAACAGGACGGGGTTGTTAAATACGCGCGGGATTACAGGCTCCAAAATCGAGGCAAGACTAACCATAGTTAGTGGCAACGAGAAATTAGTGAACGAAAGCCCGAGCAGCAGTTCAATGTGAATACGCGTTTGTGTTATTTGCCCCCTCCAGTTAGAAGGGACATGTCTCACTGAGCCGCAGTGCGGGTGTCACCACTTCTTGATGCCATCCCGAATTCCCTCTTCCTTCAGTCCGCTTCGTTGGCGGAGATTTTTGCAGACAGCTTCGCAGTCATGGTCGAGGACGAGTTGCCAACCCGGGTAGAATGGGACTTTCCGAAAGCCCCCCCATGCTGCCTAACAATCTCGCCGAGTGCTACACATGCCATGGAAGTAGCGGGTCTCTCTGAGCCGATCCGGGGCAAACTCGTCGGGAAAAGGTAGCCATATACTCATCCTGGAACACCAGGCCGGCGCGTGCCGAGTTGAGCGGGCATGTGCACACACTGTGCCGATAGGCGTTATCTCCAGATATTTTCCCAGATAATATGCCTCGGCTTCTGTGGACGTAGATCGTGGGGGTGGCCCAATCCCTGAAATCGGTGCAATACTTTGCTGCAGGGTTGAGCCCATCATGACTTGTCAGAGAGTGCTCCCAGCATAGCCAAGACACCCCGTCGCAAGTATCGGGCCCGAGCCAGGCGCATTACGCCTCCTGCAGCCGCACCCGAAGCTCCCTCTCCTTCTGCGCAACCTCGAGCTCCAGCCTCTCGACGCTGTACTTGAGCGCCTCCTTGCGCTGTCGGACAGCTCGCGCACGGAGCCCAGCCCCGCCGTCTAGCGTCTTCCTCCCACCAGCCCCCTTGCCCCTGGGCGCCGGTCTGGACGACGACGACGAGGAGGAGGAAGCTTCTGTCGGCGGCTGCGATTCAGATCCCCTGCCGAGCCTCCCTGCGTTGAGGTCGCTGCGGGCCTTGAGCGTCTCGATGCGGCGGGCCTGGCGGTCGATCTGCCTGTCTGCGCGGTCGAGGAGGTGTGTGACGAAGGGGCCGATCTCGTCGCGGAGGGAGGACTCTGCTGCCGCCAGCGTCGGTTGGGGGATGAGCTCGTAGTGCTGTTTTCCATTCGTGTCAGCCTTTGCGCTGCTCTGATGTGAGGTTGCGCAAGCGGAAGTGCCCGGGCTGGCTTCGAGGTGAAGAGGCGGGGGTCTTGTGACTTACGCGGACTGTCTTGAGCACTGACCCGAGCCTGGGGAGGTCTGAGACGCCGTTCCCAAGCGTCTCGACTGAGGATTCGAGGAGGTTGAGGGATGTGCGCAGGGAGGCTACGCAGTCGCCGTAGTTTGACGGCGCGGGGGAGTGGGACATTGTTATTTTCCCTTGTGGTTGGGCACAAATTCTGGGGGAAACCTCGAGTTTTGGGTCGTGAAAACAGATGACAGGCTTCAGGGTCACCAAGCCAGGTCGCGGTGGGTTTCTCTTGTCGTATCTGGTCGGGTTGCAAGCGTGTTCTGCTAGTTGCTTGCTCTGTCCTGCGCAAGTAAACAGCCGGATGAGGTCGGATTGTTTACCTACAGTACCTAGGTGGGTCGGTACCTAGGTACCTGGGCAGTGCAGGGATGTTCGTCACGAATGCGGAGCGGGTCTGGGGAAGCATAGGGGTCTGGCCTTGGCTGACCGACCCGCCACAGGCCAGACCATTTGGGCATGGATGCTGAACCCAGGTAAGCGGGACAGCCGTGTCCATCATGAAGCACTTTACCCTAGTATCTTTGGTTGCAAGCATTCAGTCAAGGTCTCGGCTCTTGTGTAGCAGACGCATGTTGTCTGACAGAGCCCTTGGATAGTCTGTCCGAATTTAAAGGTTTCACTTAATTACAAGTAAATATAAGCTATATACTGCCTAGGTACATATGTAGATAGGAGTTGAACTAGTACTGTTCTCTTCCAAAAAGTGTTTGAACATATTGTTTATGAATGAGTTTTAGTACGAGAACGCCGGGTCTTGAACTGTATGAAGACGCCGCATACATTTTATATGTATGGGGATTGAAAACGAAACCACTTTCAGTACGAGATAAATGAGACGGGCTTTCCGAAATCCGGGGTAACGTTCTAAGGGCATTTGACTTAACAGGAGCCGTCACTATCAAGCTGATCAACAAGTCCATGCCCGCTCCACAGATCCGGTTGTGGTTACTCAGGTCAAGCAAAATGAAAAACCTCGTGCTTTTACAATGTTAAAAGCACGTAAAATATGGATGTCGCGGAGTAGCAGTCTTCAAGACTGAGCCGCAGCTGCTTGCCACCAATGCTTTGTTCTTGTGACTTGTGCACCTACGTGCCTATGCGTGCAAAGATGTGACTGGTTCCAGGCCAAGTCTACAGCCGCAAGGTCTTGGCTCTAAAGAAGCTGAGGCTGAAAACGTGGACTCAATCAACCCCATGTTTTCTTGCACAATATGATGAAAGCAATAGTTGCACACGTATGCTCATCTCACTTGGCACCTCCAATTTCCAGGTACCTAAGTACTCAAGGTAAGGATAATTGTATATCAACGGGGAACATGCCAATAAACACATGCCATGTTTATTTCTGAATTGTCGCCAGCCCCATCCATGTCCCCAGCCTGGTTGAGCTGAAGGACTGCAGAATCAGAATTATGGGTACACAGTACAATTGTCTGCGTTCTTGGAGAATCGCGGCATTCTTGTGCGCCACACCGTGCTCTCATTGTGATTGAGAGGGCCACTCGTGTTTCTGGCGCATATTTCGGTCTAATATTCAGCCGCTGCCTTCCTCTGGCATGTTGAATATCATTAGCAAGCCCCTCAGCGCTAGCTCGTCATTTTTAGGCTAGAATCCCGACAGAAAACCAAACAAGCCCCACCTTCCGCTTGTCTTCAAGGAGAATCTCACCACAAGCAACCACAAATACCACCCAGAGATACCAGCATCCGTCATGACACGAAGTGCCCTCTTTGTCATTGACATACAGCGCGAGCTCGCGGATGATCCCAAAACTCAGATCCCCCATGCGGAGCGGATCCGTTCTGCCGGCGGGAAGATTCTCTCAGCTGCCCGAAGCATCGTCGACCAGTACCGGACCGCTCAAAAACAGTCGCCGTCGGTGATCGTATTTGTGCAACATGAAGAGAAGCCTGACCAAGGCACCCTTGTGAGAAACACGGAGCCGTGGGGACTCGTGTTCGAACCACGTGGAGATGTTCAAGAGGAGCGCCTGGTTGCAAAGACCACTCGTAAGTCTGATCTGCTGCCATCCATGCATGATACTCTGAACCGGAAACCCAACATGGAGCTAAATCCCCCGGCAGAAAACACATTCGAGTCGAACCCAGACCTGGCTGATAAACTCAAGGCCGAGGGCATCACGGAGATCGTGGCCTTTGGTATACAGAGTGAATGCTGCGTCGCCGCTACGTCGAAGGGAGCGCTCGAGGCTGGGTTCAAGGTGACCGTGCTGCGGGGAGCCCACTCAACCTACGATACCGACTCCCAGTCTGCAGCGGACATCGAGAGGGATGTCGAGCAGCAGTTGACGGACAAAGGCGCTGAGGTTGTCCCCTGGGAGGATGCACTTGCCTCTTGGGAGCAGCGTCGCATGGTCTCGAGCTACTCGATCTTTTCCGAGTTGTAGGGTGAGTGGCTAAGATCTCAGTGTATGTTGTAGGATGCTTTGCAGGCTGGTTACAATATGTGGTTTTGCTTCTAATCCCGTATATATGAAATATATAATTCAATATTATCTGTATGTCACAAAGCTAAGGCCATAAGCACCTATTGTATTATAACTATTATTATCAACATTATATTCTTTCTAATCACTAGGTCTTAAGTACTTACTACTATATAGAGGCGCTATATATATCCTTAGATAAATACGGAATAAAAGTAAAACTATATATAATTTAATATTCCGTCCTACCTACTACTAGGACGGGCGGTGAGACTACTAAGTCCTTTACTATAAACTATCTAGTTAAAAAAACTAGAATAATTAATTTAAAAGATTATATACTTCTTAAAAATATATAAATATTATATTATTATTATTATTATATTTTAATATTTATTTAAATTTTTAAAAGAGTATTAATTTAATTATATTTTTATAATTATAAAAAATTAATAATATTATAATTAATAATTAAAAGTTTATTAACTTTAACTATTTTTATATAATATTTATATAGCTTTAAATTTATATTTTATAGATTGTCCTCTCTAAAAAGAAAATAAAAAATATTCTACCACTAGGCATAGGCAAAAAGTCATGTGATGGACGACCACGGGATCGAACCGTGTACCTCGCGCAGTATAATCTTGACTTTAGAGAAGAGAAGATATTTGCTAAGCGCGCGCTCTACCATTTGAGCTAGACGCCCTTGTTGAATTCTATAAAAATAAATAAATCTAGGTAGCAAACCTGAAGAATTTTTAGAATAAAGAGCTTAGTTTATATAGTATATTAAAAGAATATAAATGTTTTATTTTTAATTTTTTTTATTTACTTTTTATTAAATAATAATAATATAAAGTTAATTATTAAATAAAAAAAATAAAAAAGTAGTAAATTAATTACTATATATTATATATAGTTAACTATAGTAAAATTTAATCTTATAAGTGAAATAAGTTTGTTGTAGGAGTATGTTAAAGTATGGTCCACCTGCTGGCTTGTTTGATAAACGGGCCCTTAAACAGGCCGACAACCAGACCTTGTGTCTACTTTGCTGGGTTTTGTTTGAAAACTCATATCATTTCTGACACCGGCTTTTGAATTGGTCTGAGAACTTACCTAGGTACCAGATAGGCTGAATGTGTGCCATGGTCTTCACAAGATATGAACACTCCAGCCCGACATGCTATCCAAGCACAAGAACGAAGACATGCCACCTGCACTGATTGTTGTTGGCATTGTTAAAACGCTGGGTCTCTGAGCGGTTGCCTTTGTGCGAAGGGCCCGTACCCCTTCCTGATGTAAACCGATCCAGAACGAAAACACCCAGTACATGCCGACCATACCCAGATAGGACCTTCTGAGAGGCAGGTAACGATTCAGAAAGCGCGGGTTGCTCTATTATGGGCTCAACCCCTCATTTACACATTCATCCATCTGTGGTAGAGTTGTACCATCTTCAATGAGACCCGAGGCATTGTTCGTGGCGGCCCGAAGACGAGGACACTGCAGTTCTCTGGCCTAGCATCAGGACCTGGGATGACATGGACGCCCTCACATGCACCTCTAGCTGCAGTGTAGATTTTGGTCTACTGCAGCGCCATGGGAACGCAATCTGTGGGAATACAGGATGATGAAGTTTGGTGCCTAAACAAACCTTGGAATGCTCTTATTCACGGCGGACGACCCTGAATAAGGTACTCCCAGAGGCACATGCATTCAGGATCATCTGCAGTAATGTAATACATCGAACCTCTGCAACAATTGCTATTCAACTCGAAACAGAGGAAGCCGAAATGCCAGAACCGCAGTGGGAATACCGAGAACCACCAATCAAGCCCAGGGCCGGGGCATCCTCATCTTAAGCTGATACCGACTTCCAAGCAGTTCACCATCCTCGTCCTGGTCTCCTCTTCCGCCGCGAAGCCACCCTCGTCATCCGCACCGTCTGCGTCGGCAACGACGTCATCCGATGCCTCGAGGCTCATTGTCCGGACACTGACCATATACTCCTTCTGGTCTCCGAACCACGCCGCAATTTTCAGCGTTCTGGCCATGGCCCTCCCGGTGCCACGTACCAAGACCTCGTCTTCGACGCGGCTTGGGGATGAGGCCGCAGAGTTCAGAGCAGCCATCCGCGCGGCCAGGGGGAGCCCTTTGGTCGACCGTGACGAGGGAGCCTTGTCCAAGGCATGGCGAACCTTGCTCACGATACCCATGAAGGGGGACTTTGTGCCGACTTGGATGATGGGCTGCTTGGGGCTTAGAGGTGGCCCCCCACGATTGCAGACCCGAGCACGGTTTATGGGCCGCTTATGGACCTTTGAGTCTGGGTGATTTGTCAGCCAACAGAATACTCCACTCTCCTCAGGGCGGGCAGATGATGGTTGTTACACACTCTTGGGGAGGGATGGAAGTTTTGCTGGCCCGTTGGGCAGCTGACCTGATGCCTCTTTAACCATCGTAGGTGGTGAAGCTGCTGAATATGAACCCTGGCCGGTCTGCGAAGGGCGCACGCGTGCGAGACAGAGTGTGAGAGATACAAGTGCTCGCGGATGGAGAGTCTCAGTGTGTGACTGGAGTAGCGCAAGATGCTCGTTGGAAGATTCTGGAGATGCTGCGCCGCTTCTTCATGGCTTCTTCATGGCACTAGTGGACTGCACAAGTTCCTCCTAGGCAGATTGGATGTTTCTGGTGTACCGAAGCAACGAGTGCGAAAGAAGGGCGAATGTATTCTGATGTTGTGTCGAGCGTGGTCAAATCACTTGTTCTCTGATTGTCAGACTTCAGGAACTTGGTGGGGCGTGGCGCCAGGCCGCCTCTGTGAAACGGGCCGGGTAGCGCCACGAAAGGCGGGTGACTACTTAAGTAGGTACTCCGTACACTGGTGCACAGGTGCCGTGCCAAGGTAGGCCGCAGGGTTGTTAAAGTGAGAGGTTTTGCTTGGATTCCAGTATCAAGAAGATGAGGCAGCAAAAGTTTAATTGCCCAGAAGGGTCGACCGTATTGTACCCCTAAACTTCAGAGCTGGACATTCTGAAGCAGAGACCCAACCAACCAACCAGCCGCTGAGACCCCCTGGCGTACGCTAGAATCAATGAACGAGCTGTTATGATGCTTCAGGCCCTGGGTTCCCTCACCGCCTTCCGTGAATGGGCCAGCGGCGACAGGGGTGCAATGGCATGACGACAGCGGCCGCGGCAGGAACAAGCTCCAAGGACCCCGGTCCAAGGTCGAATGGGGAACTCAAACTACGGATATTGCAACGACAACTCGTAAACCGTCCCTGTTGCTGTCCAGCAGGCTGCCAGATTCCACAATATAGCGACCACGTTTTACGAATGCCACCATGGCTGCCTGAACCCCTCCGAGGCAACAGCTCAGCGCAAATCTATCTCCCATCATGTCTGTTGAGATCTGGCCGTCTCTGCCTCCAGGGCAGCTTATAACAGCCGTCGAGCAGACGCAGGTGAGCTCATGACTGCAGGCCCCTCGAACCTCAGCTCCGGGCGTGCTCACCCCAGACATCGTATCTTGATATCAAAATGCTCGAGCCAATCGGTGACGGCTGGGTTCTCCTCCCACAGCTCCCTTGCACCAGGCCGCTGACGACTCGGTCCGCCCAGAGACGGGAGCTGGTATGGCTCCTGAACGAGCTGCACGGGACCCTTCAGAACCTCAAGAGCGGCCTCGAAGACTGCTATGCTCTTCTTGCACCCGTCGACCCCGGTAGCACCCTCGTCGTCAGCACTCCCAGGAACGAAATCGTCAAGGGCCATATCACCCGGGTCGGGACGAGAATAGTCAAAGGCGTATGGACCTCACACCCCCGCTCTCTTGTGCTGGGCATGCCCCAAAGGCTGACATATGCATCAATGACTTGAAGATCCTCACGCTGAAACTCCGAACTATTCAACACCAAACCTACACTGTAAATGCCGAGCACCCGATACAAATCGCGCCCCTCGCCACGCTCCATACCCTCCTAAACCACTCCATCGACCTCCTCACCCTCACCCTTAGCTACACATACTCCTCCGGCCCCACGGAGCCGCCCGCGTCGCCAACCCTACCCACGGCTACATTCATAGCCGCCCAGCTCCGCCTGCTGAGCCAGTCCCTCACCGAGGCCACGTCGCTCCTCAGGGGTCCCCAGCCCCTGACCGCGTCCGACGCGACGTGGGTGTCCAAGTCCTGCAGTCCGGCCCACTTCTCACCGCCGACGGGGTCCAACCTCAGCATACAGTGGGGTCTTCAGGAGAGCCAACTCGTACTGTGGCTGAGGACCTTGGAACCGGCCGACGCCCCCGTGAACCTGGGCATGAAGTTCGCGCTCGCCATCGGCACGACCCGCCGCCTGGAGCACGACGAGGCTGAGCAGGTCTTCATGTACACCTACCCGGACGGCGCGGCCCCGGATCCCCAGAAACACGGGGGCAACGGCGGTGCGGCGGGTGGCGTCGGACAGAAGAGTGGTGCCAAGGAGGGCAGTGGTGAGATCGAGGCGCAAGTCTTTGTGCGGGAAAAGGTGCGCGTTGAGAGTGCTGACCCTGCATTGATGTCCCTGGGAATCAAGCTCTCCGCGCTGGCCAAGACACTGGCTATCGCCAGGGGGAATCTGGCCACCGTCATGGGTGAAGAGCTCGACGAGTGACGGACCATCTGAGCAGATGAAACAGTGATACCCCATGCAGATTGTCGCATCCAAACTGGCTCTCAACATGATTTAGCGCAAAGCCTTTGTGAACGAGATAGAGACTCCATGATTTTATTGCTAAAAAATATGCCTTGCCAATGAATCCCCTCTCCTGACGCCAGTCTGTAAGGTCAGAAAAACACAGAACACCTAGCTGCAGTAAACCTAGTCAGTCTTAGTGGGTTTGGCTGCCTCGCTGGCAAACACGAATCCAACCTCGGGCAGGATACCACCTCGTTGTCCATTTCCAGCGAGACTACCTAGCTGCCACTGCCACATCTTCCTGGAGGCCCATCCAGCTTCAACAACAAGTTGCTGAGTTCCTTGGGTTGGCCAACTCATTCTCACCAAATGAAGAGCAACACGGAAGTTAACCATTCATTAGATGGGAACGGCGACCATGGCAGCACACATGACCACAGGGCGCGCGTTATGAGCGTCGATAGTCATGGCGATCACTGTTCGCAGAGTGGTGTGGATAAGGCCAACCGTGAGCGGAGAATCTTCATATCGATGATAGCGCCTTAGGCAACTGGCGACCAGGGCATTGGGATCAAGATCCTCGACTTCATCGTCTGAATCAAGGGCACCGTCTTGTGGACCGTATCCGCCCAGCCGGGTATGCGCCAAGAATCTTCACGACGGACCTTCCGTTCTTCCAGGTCGGCAAACTGCCAGAGGTGGTGCACCGTATTAAGGTCGCCGATCTGCACAAACCAGGCTCCGACGCCCTCCATCACCTCGCGCCGCGCCTTGAGTCCCCTCCGCCAATGGGTCTCCCACTCGAGCAGGTTGCCCGGACTAAGCGTGTAGGAACGGAGCTCGAACACGCCGCCAAGCTGTCGCGGGGGAGTGGTGGGCCAGAAGCTGAACTCCTGCATTACCGATGTCTTCTTGGAAGTAATGAGCGCCCTCAGCTTCTTGTCGAACTCGGGGAAGTCGGGATGCGATGAGATGTTGTGCAGAGACGTGTGGTAGCCTGTGTATCGCTGGTACTCCCAGATGTGGACTAATGAGCTGTCAGTTTGCGGTACTATCAAGGGTGAGTGAAGCATGGCAAGATAGCGGGCACGTACCGAAGGTATCAACATCTCCCACCTCTGTCCGCCAGCTTCCCACCAGATGAACCTTATTCTCGGGCAGGGAGGCCATGCGGGGGTACCAGTTGCCCACAAGCTCAACATACTCATCCACCTTGTCGGGCTTCACCTCGTGGAACACGATGCTGTGCACGTACTTGCCCCGCGCGAGGACCTGGCTGAAGCTGGCCTCGAGCTGGGCGTCAAGCTCGCGGCCCTCCTTTGTGCCGTATATGAGGTTGGTCAGGGGGCCTGCCTTCCGGGGCGGCTCCTTCTCGGCGATTTCTGCCGCTCGTTCTGGGGTAAAAGCAGTACTTAGTGAGCCCAGGCCCTGGGGAGAATCACCGGTGTCTGGGGATGGGGAGGAGAATAGGGACCCACTAGCATCCCGCTCCTTCTGAGCTGCCACCAACTGCTCTCGGAATGCCTTCTGCTTGCGGTTGAAGGCCTCGACGCTGCCGTCCTCGGGGTTGATGTCTGCCATCGCAGGGGTGTGCTTGGAAGCCGTGATCGATGAGCCGCTGAGCATACGGGCAGCTTGGCGCGGGGTAGCTGTCGCCAGGGCGGCGCGTGCAAGTCGTTGGGACAGCATGGCGGCGGAGTTCTGGCGTGGAACAGGAGCGGACTGGTGGACAAGTGCAAGAACAATTGACTTTGTGGACGGGAAGAAAAAAGACGACGGGTTCCAAGACCCCGAGTTAAAGCTGAAACAAGCACTGGGGGGTGGTTGACTGATGCTCTGGTCTGAAAGTGGTGCAGTGGTAGGCGCAGTTGGAGGGAGGTCCGGCTCGTGCGTCGTAGCAGAGGCAGAGAGGCAAATTGAGAGATGCTGGTTGGTGGTAGTCAGGGTGTCAGGAGCTGGGAAGCTGTGTATTCATCAATCAGTGTGCCAGGCAGCAAATGCAGAGGGGAACCCTGGTCAATTGGTCTCGATGGCACTCTAGTCAACTGGACGAGGGCTGGAGGGTGGTTGGGTGGGTGGTGGTGGTGTTCCAATTCGGGAGCTGAGCTGTCGAAGGGGTCTTGTGTCCTCAGAGCTCTCCCCGCATCTTGTGACACACCCAAGGAGGAGGCAAGGAGGCAAACACCCGGGGGACGGGGGGACCAGGAGGCCCAGGCGCCCAGCGTTCCCAGGGAAGGGGGAGCCCTAGGGGGCTCCATCTCCCTTTCAGAAGCCGGGGTAATGATGTCAGACCTCCGCAGTGCGTCGGGGTAAGGACCCACTCGCCTGGAGGCCAGAACAATTGAAGCAACGGGGGCAGCCTGGGGCGGAGGACTGCTGACATAACGCTGCCAAGTCCAAACCGCACAGCTGTACCGTGTTGCTGCCTCAGGCCAGATGCAGTCCCGGCTGCGACCGGGGCGTCGGAGCAAGCTGGAAAAAGACTCGCGTATCAACGACGACATCGCATCGAGGAAACCAAACCCGCCCACCCACCCAATTCGACTACGTCTCCCCCCCAGGTCGAAGCAATCACTCATTCAAGATGTCTTGGCTCGGAGTCACCCCCCTCAAGAAGTTCCCGGCTCCGGTTCGTAAGTCAATTGCCCACCCGGCGCAGTGTCCCGGTGCAGGGCAGAAGAGCACATGCTAACAAACCCGCAGTGAAGCCGATGGCACCCTTCTTCGCCGCTGGTACGTGACCACGCCGACCTCGAACGATTTGCCCTTTTCGAGGAGCACGTGAACCCCAGGAGGAAAGAGCAGCGAGCTGACCGGAGAGCAGGCCTTGTCATCGCTTATGGTATCAACGCCGCCCAGAACGCCTCAATGAAGAGTATGTTTTCCCAACTGCACAAGGAGAGAAGGTTGGCGGCAAATGTGGCTTACATGAAATTTGCAGGCGACGAGTTCAAGAACGACCCCAGGAACCCCCTGGCCAAGTCTGGCGGTGCGCACTAAGAAACACGACCCGACCACAGGATGGGGATGAGCGCATGGCGACAAGTCTCGAGGCGATTATCGATCGACGTACCCAATCTAAAACGGGGCTGGACTGTATCATAGAGCATCTAGAAAGCGAAAATCGAAACCCTGTCGAGGCGGCTGGACGTTGACACGAACATCTGGGTGCAATACGATGTCTGCGTGATGTGTGTTTAGGCGGGAGGACTGAGTGCACTCACATGCACGCTTTTTTCGCAGCATCGGGCTGCATAACTGTCTGTTTGACTATGCAAATGCCTCGGTAGTCCATCCGGTCTATAATGCACGACGCAGATTTCCGTCTATGCCCTGCCACCCCTCGGCCAAACCCCCGACTCCTGCAGCCCAGACATTTGAACGACCACCAGAGCCGGACACACCCCTCATCTCGCATCTATGTAGTCAGGTCTCTGCGTTGTCCTCGCAGCACTGCTTAATGAACCCCACCAGCGGCATCACGAACTGCTTGTTCACCGGGACATAGTGCCCGCCCGGGTGGACCACCATGATTGGATTCTCAGACCGTTCCTCGAGCCCGCGGCTCCGGCCCTCCTCGACGACCGTGTCCAGGCTCCCGATGAACTGAAGCGTCGGCGTCCTGATCTTGGGCTCGTAGAGCCAGGCCAGCGCGGGGGGCGGCGCGAAGAACCCGCTGTACACCACCGCGAAGCGCAGCGCCGTGCCGCCGTTGGCCTCACGCAGCGCGGGCACCCAGCTCCAGTCGTACGTGTCGTCGCTCGGCGGCGGCTGCCTCTGCCCACCCGTGCCGGCGGCGACGTGCTCGAGGGCCGAGGCCAGCATGGCGGCCATCGCACCGCCCTGGCTGAACCCCACCACGCCGTCCACGTGCCCGCCGGCCTCGTCCCTGATGCAGCGGGCGAGGCTCTCGAACCCTTCCCTCAGCAGGCGGTAATTGCCGCTGGCCTCGTCCTTGCGGAACCATGCCCACGCGTCCATCTCCTGCGAGTCGGCGCCGCCGCCATCGCCGGGCGCCCCGCCGCCGGAGGGCTGGAATCCGGGGATATCCTTGGGGCTGAGGCGGGAGGGGGCCGTTGGGTAGAAGAGGGTTGGCTGGAGTTTTGAAGGCGCAAGGGATTTGGCGAGGAGCTTTTCCAGGGCGCGGGTCTTGGCACGAAACAGAGGCCCCGATTGTGTGTAGCCTAAAGCCTTTGTCAGCTAGGTCTCTTGACTAGTAAGTAATCTGACCGCGATGCTGGAGGTGGAAGGCCACTTCCCGAGTGCCGCTTACCATGAAGCATTAGAATCTTGACCTCTCGCATGGCCTTGTCCTTCAACCCTGCCTCTGCCTCGGCCGCGCCCCTCGAGCTTGTCGAGCCCTGCTCGCCCTGCTCGCCCCTGTCGCCCGCCATGCCGTGCAGCGCCTGCAGAGTGACAGGTGAGTTCGAAGATATCCTCTGGCGGAGGTTTAGTCTCCGCAGCTGGGATGGACGATACATGAATTCTGTTGTTGGTCTGGTCGTTGCGAGGATCGGGCAAACGCCACGTCCGGGAGCCTAGTCATCGCTGCAGGGGCTCCACTTCAGCAAGTCGACATGTTTCCCCCGAGCGACAACCTCACCCACTTGTACATTCCAGAAGCATACAGGGATGACAAGTAGAATTTACTCTCTGACTCGTTGGTCTGGCAGTATAGCAAACGCTGGATGTATCGAACCTAGCTGCAGACTGCAAGTAATCAGTCGATTCAGTCCACAGGAATAGCTAACACCGGGAATACCCTCTCCACGCTCGATACATGTCTCTATGAAGCCCGTGTCCTCTTGCCAAATGATTCTATTCCGCAGCACCGCTCTGGTCTGCACCATGATCCTGGTCCTCATCCCCTCCATCGTCTATTCCTGCTCGACTGGCTTCGACGGAATCGACCCATCTCTCGATCGCTCGACGTACCAGGGTCCGAGAAACCCACTCCCGAACGGCCCACGAGCTGGTAGAGCCCAGGCCGAATATGTTTCCGTTCTGGTGTTGGTTCACCATCCTCACAAGCCCGTCAGCGGGGATCCCATCGGGCGCCTGCTCCTGCTGCTCCGACCAGAAGTCCCATTCATTGTCCGGCAGTTCGCAATCTCGTATATGGTTGAAGGGAAACATATCCAGCCAATTCTTACGGTTTACATGCGTCTTACGATCCTCGTAGCTACTTGTTTCCTGTGATCCCATACCCTCAGAGGACATATGAGAGTCCCCTTCGGCAGAGGGTGCTGCGGAAAATGTGATGGGGAAATTCAAATCCGGCCGAGCGGGCCGCAGTGCAGGTTGGTTGAGCAGTGGTGGATCAGGACTTGGGTTCGAACTACGTTGTGAAGATGCTCTGTTCGCAGCCTCAGCATCGGCTGCCAGGCGAGGTGGGCTGCTGTCAGCAACAGTATTGTGTGCGGGCCCATGAGGCTCTGACTGCGCTTCTGATCCCGATGTTGGCGCCTGTCTGCCGCCTCGACGAGCACCACCGCGACGTGGAGCACGGCGGAAATGATTGTGGTATCGACCAGACCTTGCTCTGGCGGGTCGCCTGCCTCGGCCGCTACCTCGCAGACATAAAACAGCCTTGTCGCCGGCATGGTCATTTGAAGATTCCCCTACATTCCTCACACCATACTGATGGATGGTTGATGGCTTTGTGGCATGGCCGTGGTTGTTCATGATTTCGTGTTCATTAATGGCAGACCACTGACCGCTAACGCTGTCGCCGGCGTCTGTCCTGGGGCACGGCCTTGGTGGCGCCGCCCGATTTCCTCTGAGCTGATGTCTGATAATCTCCTCGGAAACTAGTCCGCCTCTAAGCTTAGGTCTGTACTCATACACAGGCTTCATTCCTCCTCCCATTGGCCTCTAGCCCTTTGTCGCAGCCTTCTTGCCCGAGGGCTGAATGCTAGCCATCATCTCGTCCTTGGTGATGAGATGCTCGATTTTGCCAAGATGGCTGAGCAGATCCTTCATGTTGTAGCTCCACTCGTTCAGGATGTCGTCAACACTCCGTGGCTGCGCAAAACTGACAATACGAGCGGGGCGGTCGATCCGAGCATACACCATCTTGGAAGTGACGAGCTCGCTGATATACTTCTCGGTCTCATCCTCGGTGAGGTCCAGATGCTGTGTCAGACGGTCCATTCGTATGCGAGTGTAGTACTTGGCAATCACTCGGACGTTGTGTTCAATGACACGCTTGCGCAGGTCCTGCCACCGCTGGTTGGCCTTGGGGTCAGAGGAGCTGCCTAGCTGGGCGTCGAAGATGTCCGTCTGGCAGAGGTGCGGCCCGTATATTTGCTCCACGTTGGGCCAACGCATGAGCTCCTGAACTGTGAATTCCTCGAGAAGTTTCGCCTCGAGGGGCACTTGGGCATTGCGCGTGTCCGCCATGATCCGGTGCATCAGATCATGCTGCTCGTTATCGTGAGGTGCGAGGATGACGAAGTAGATGATACGCGCCAGTGTCTACATGGTGAGCAATGGTCAGCAGGGAGCTGTGCGGGACAACCTGTTTCGAAGTGATGACTTACCGCCTTGAAGAGTGTAGGGTCGTCTTGCACGGACTGGATCTCAAGGACCTCCCTATAGTGCTTGCATGCATCCAAATATCTGTCCTCGCTCTTTGCAAGGATGACCTGCTGCTCGTAATACCTGAGTTTCAGGGGCGTTGCGTCCGCGGCGCTCTGCAGGTACTTTGTGCTGATCTTCCGGCTGAGGATGCCGGCCTGGGCCCAATCTTGTGTCTGGATGCAGAGGGCAACCTGATCAAGGATGAACTCTGTCTTCTCCTTCCGATCCATGGAGCCAAAAGTCTCGACCTGCAGCTCGCAAAGAATATCACGGGCCGCCTTGACATCACCGTAGTGGTCCTTCTTGAGGTCCGAAAGAATCTTGGTGACACGGGCACGCTCAACCTCGACAAAGATCTTGCCCTCGGTGACCGTTCGCAGGGTCTCGATGACTTGGACCTTCCTATCAATGTTCGATATGACCCCGAGGAAGTCAATGACGGCTTGTACCATCTTCTGGATGGCTTGCTTAAGTTGTCCATGCTTCTTGGACAGGATGGTCACTTGGTCGCTGAGAAGATCCCAGTCACCGGCGGATTTGCACAGGGTAACGATGGCGATGAGGAGTCGAGAAGTTGAGGCGAGGTCAGATGCCTGTCGGAGACGGGGTCAGCAGACCTGGGGCCGCGCTGGATATAGGGGATTCCGGCTTACCTGACGTGTTTGCTTCTCGAGCAGGGCGAGCTGTTCGATAGCGCCCTGAAGGTTGTTCTGTCACGCAATTGAGCTGTCAGGGACCAGCTCTCAGAAGTGTCTGTCTGGCTGTAATAATGGGTTATCACCTTGGCTAGCAATTCTGCCTGTGGGATCTGCTGGTCGACCTCCTTGGTAAAGTCCTTGTCGGGCTTAAACGCGGCGTTCGCCATCTTGGGCGGCTGGTGATGGGAATAATGACGATGGCGTGGGTCAACGGATGTGGATGTATTCTAGATGGAGTCTGGCGGATCGTGCCCGTGGAAAGAGTGTGTTCAGTTCGGCAGACGTTGGGTCGAGGGTCGTTCGGAAAGGATGCTTCGGGCGCGGTTGCTGAGGCTGGCTGGCTGGCTATGGTGTGTCTGACGGAAGGCAGCTGTCGCAATGGAAGCTCTGCCTGCAGCTTCGCCGGGGCGACCAAGTCCCCCGGCAGGCAAGACCCGGCCCCACGTTATGTAATCACATTTGCCTCTCAACCTTGTTCCTACCGTCAGCACCTTGTTCCCTAGTGTGCCTGGCATACCTCGATCCAGAAGGTATCACCTGGGCAGCCATGTTGAGCCTCATCAAGTCTCGCACCTGCACAAGCACACCACCTCACTACACACCACCTCACCACACCAGAGCACCACCTCCATGGAAGTTCCGTCTTGCATTTTTCCCAAGACCACGCCCTGAGTCAACCCCGGCTCGAGTGGGGTACCTGTCGGGTTTCTAGACCAGCCCCCCCACCCTGTTCAGCCCAGGAGAGGAACCGGGCTTCTTGAGCGAGGTTGCTCGCGAACAACCTCCCTTAATGCTCACTCTTTGGTCCCACAAGCTTTGTGCTGGGCTCAGTCATGGATCCCTCACGCAGAAGCCAAACTTCACTTGAATCGCGCCAGTCCGGACCCTTGCTCATGTGCTGATGGTACCTTTGAAGCCGCTCCCACTGCATGCGTCGGTTGTTATCCGTTCGGTATGTTGCCGCTTCTCAGCAGCCGGCAGGTTGGCCAGAATCATATGGGGCAACGAACCCCACGAGCGGTCCTCCCGTCTACCTAGGTAGACATGTGTGAGAACATAACTGCCGACGAGCCGGCCGATACAGCTACGTAGGTTTGTGTACGAGTAGTGTCTGAGGCGCAGCACGCTCCATTGAGGTCGTAGCAGTCTCCCAAGGCACATTGGCAGGCTCTTGGCGCTGAGCCCTATGTCGTGTTGAAGCGCATGATTTGGGCGTCGCAATGTGTGCTCCGGGCCAGCAATCTCCACAACCATGACGTGGATATATGTGTTAGTCCCTTGGACATCGGGGCGGAATCCCGCCCTGCAGCCTGGCACTCGCGCAATTTGCTCTTGACCTGTATCTCGAAGAAAGTGTGCGTTGGCGATGACCACGAGCCGACCATGATTGCAGGACCTCCAGGAGGCGTCCCGAGGCCAGGTGGGCGTCCGTGCCGGCCTGCCTCCCGAGTGGAGATGCTACTATACAATGCAGATCAGTTATCCCCCGCCCAAACAAGGTCCCGAAGGCTCAACCGAAACCGAAAACGTAGGCTACTACCCTGTTTCGCCTCAGATACGAATACGTTCCTACATTAACGATTACGGCTCTACAAGAACGAATACGTCTCCTCTGCCCCTCCAACCCGACTCACTCTGCCTTCTCCCCGTCCAGTCACTGTTCGGTCGTTTCAAACCTGTGGGGTTGGGGGGACGCTGGGTATACATACAAGCACAATTTACACCGGCGAAGAACTCTCCCGTTCACCAAAATGACGTTGCACTCATGCCCCCGGGATTATTCCACGCAGCCCAATACAGGAATCCCGAACCGGGGTCCCTCCTCCTCCGGGGCCCTCTATCCACAGATGCCTGACGTCAAATTAACATATATTCACTGAGATTAGCTTTAGCTATGTTCTGACTGCCGCCCCTGGCCAGTACTAAGGACTATATATTGATGATGCCTCCGGAACTTAATCACCTCCCCTAAGCCTCACCTGGCACACCCGCGATACCACAACAGGACACTTCCCCGCGAAATCCCGCTTTCCACGATGGCGTCTGTTTCTCCTCCTCCCTCCAAGCTCACAGAGCTACTGGCCACACAGTGGCCTTATGTGTTGACCACAGTTTTGGCTTTTGCCGCCGCATGGCTTCTCCAGGCGGTCCTGAAGCAAGATCCCCTGTCCGGCTTGCCCATGGCTGGATCTGAGATCGGAAACGCGGACAAACGACGTGCAGCCTTTTTTCAAGGTGCTAAGAATATCTATCTGGAGGGTTACCGAAAGGCGAGTTATTCGTATTGCATGGGTTTACCGGCTCTGGCTGACATTTGTGGCAAACAGTTCAAGAAAGGCGTGTTCAGAATCACGACAACAAGCTGTAATACTAGCCCACTCGTCCTGAGAGGTTATGTCGGCATCCACTTATAATTTCATTCACAGATAACGATGTTGTCGTACTCGACCCGCTCTTTCTGAATGAGCTCAAGAACCTCCCTGACGATACTGTCTCCTTTGCGGGGGCCATCAGCGACGTACGTTCACTATTGTTGAAAGGTCACTGGGTGGAAAGAGCTTGTAATTGACAAGTGGAACAGTTCATGCAGTCTAAATATACCGGAATCCGAGCTGATCGACCAATCATCCCCCATATCGTCAAGAAAGATTTGGTCCCCGCGCTGAGTACGGCAGACTTGGTCTTTCCCAAATCACGATCGTCTGCTGATTGAGTCTTGACAGATCGACTGAACCCTACCATCGCTGAGGAAGTTGACCAGTCGTTCCGGGAGGAATTGCCACCTTGCAAGGACTTCACGCCAGTGAACATATACGGGAAATTGCTCAGAATTGTTGCCCAAGTTTCTGGGCGGATCTTCATCGGGCCTGAGCTCTGTCGTACCGAGAAGTATATTGATACTGCGAGTAAGTCACTTACAACAGGAGTTCTCCCGCTTACTAATGCCCTTTGCGCGACCACTAAAACATCAAGGAGGCCAAAGTTCCGTGTAACTATTGTTACACCCAGCACGCGGCGAGTTCATTTGCTAACAGGATTTCAGTCACTTACACGGTTGAGATATCAACTGCGGTTAATGCCATCAACGGAATGAGCTTCTGGAAGCGTACCTTCAGCGCGGCCAGTCATCCAAATGTCAAGGCAATACGCGAGAGAACACGGGCTGCGGACGCGTTTCTGAGGCCAATTGTCGAGCAGAGGAGGAAAGACCAAGCGATGAATCCGGATTACCAGAAACCCGATGATCTGTTGCAGTGGCTGCTGGATGATGGTCAGGACACGTTTGGCGAGAAGGGTGACAAAGAGCTCGCTTCCATCCAACTCGGCTTGACGTTTGCTGCTATCCACACGACGTCCTTGACCGCCACGAATGCCTTCTATACGCTCGCGGCGGCGCCCGAAATCATCCCCGAACTGCGTGAAGAGGTCCGCTCGGTGCTGAACGAATATGGCACGTTCACCACTCAAGCCCTGCAAAAGATGAAGAAACTCGACAGTTTTCTCCGAGAGGTGATGAGAATGAACCCCCTTGGATACTCCTCGTTCCAGCGCAAGGTTCTCAAGACGTTCACCCTCTCGACCGGTCAGGTCATTCCTGCCGGCTGTCTCATCGAGGTACCTGTTATTGGCATCAACTTCGATGACGAAGTTGTTGAGAACCCAGAGAAGTTCGACGCCTTCCGTTCGTATCGCGCGCGGGAGATGGAAGGACTGCAGGGTGCAGACAAGGCCAGCGCCGGCGCAAGCAACCAGTTTGTCTCCGTGAGTCCCTCCAATCTTTTATTTGGATACGGCAGGCACGCCTGCCCGGGGCGATTCTTCGCTGCGAACGAGATCAAGATGATCGTATCTAGAGCGATCCTGGATTATGATATGAAGACGTCTGATGGTTCAAGGGAGAGATACCAGAACCTCTCTTTCGGGGGCCAGGACTTCCCCGACCCATCCAAGGTGCTCCTGTTCAAGAGGGTTGACTAGAAGATTTCTCTGTTTCTTGGATCTCTTGGATTGATTGCGTGGCATAAACGGTGGTGGATCTTTCCTTCAGTCATATCTCCCTCGCTTCACGGAACCCTTGGAGTTGTTCAATATGATTTAGCAGCAAATATTTGACTTGTTGGACCTCCCGAGTCACCTTTGCAGTTCGAATTTCCCAGTCTCAAGAGTGATAGGCTTGGAATTCACAGCCAAGTCACCGATAGATAGCCTTCCTGTGGTGCCAACGGGAACAGTGGTGTCAATTTGTCAATTATTGGTTAACAAGTGGAACCAGTACCCGTAACGTTGGATTCTCGGCAGAAGATGTGGCAAGGTTGAAAGCTCATGGCCGGAGTATATTTGATGGCACAACACCGTGTCCATACTTATCCCAAGTATTGGACGCCCAGGCACAGTTTACAGAGTTGAAGGTATTTCGTTCTTTTGAACTGGTTTCGCCTTTATTCCGTGTAAGTTTGAAGACATCCCATGGGATACGTGGCGCCTTCAGGCGCCATCATACCTAGGTACAGTGGTAAACGCTCAAGACCCAGCATTTAAAAGCGTGCAATGCCGAGAACAGACGTAGCATTACGACTGGCGCCATGTCTCTAATTCCTCTTCCTCGTATAATTTGTGTGGTGACCTTCGCACCGAGTATACTCCAGGAATGACCAGTACCTTGTGGGCAGCCTCAAAAATATCTTACACCCGCTTCAAGAATGCGGCAAAGCCGACATAGTTACAGATTCTGAATCGGGTGATGCTTATTGAGCAGGTTGGATTGGAGTGTTAAAGGTGCACAAGAAATTCGTAAGTCTGACGTCTGCGTGTACGGCCCAAATGCCGTGGCAGTACTAAGTAGAGCCAGTTGCGTCCTCTTACTCCGCAAGAGGAGGCAGCCGCGCCTGAGCTAGCTACTTATCTACCTAGGTACTTAAGTACCTAGGTAGCTAGCAGTGCTGATGGCCAGATTGCACTTTCCTCGCTCACTGCGCATCTAGGCATTCGGTATGCTCATGGGCCGGGACTATTTTCTCAAGATAATAAAAAGAAATGCTGCGCTGATCTTGCTTCCCTTCCATCTTGGTCTGCCGATTCTGCAGGGCTTCCTTACCTGAGTACTTCAAGTTTACTTAACCTTCATTTTCCTAATCATATACCAAGGTACACATGCATAACGTGGCCATTATGGCCGACCCCGAGTTCAGCATCTTGACGCCGATCGGCATGCTTGGCTACGGCTATAGCATCGAAAATTTCTGGTACGCGATCGAGGAGTATCGTCCTGAGGCAATCATTGTCGACAGCGGTTCCACCGACGGCGGTCCTTATAAGCTCGGTATGGGGAAAATGACTTCCAGTCGTAGCTCTTATGTCCGGGACTTGGAGCCCATCCTGGCCGCTTGTTTCCACTATAAAATCAAAGCCCTTATAGGTTCAGTAGGGGGCGATGGCAGTGACAAGCATGTGGAGGAGATGCTGGATATTGTGACCGAGATTGCCCACAGGCTTGGGTTCAGCTTCAAAGTTGCTACTATTACTGCAGGCGTCGACCGCCACCTGGTGAAACAAAGGATTGCCGCCTCAAAAGTCCACCCTTGTGGCCCTGTTGAAGATCTTTTACCTGACGTTGTCGATGGTGCGGTCGATGTCGTCGCTCAGATGGGTGCAGAACCGTGAGTATTTCTCAACCTCTCCAAAAATGACATCGATCTCTTCAGCAAAGAATCCTTCAACCAAATAGCTGACAGGTCCACGTGGAAGTTACATGGAGGCTCTCAAGAGGGATCCAGACATTATTCTGGGTGGCCGTTCCTACGATCCTGCACCCTTCGCAGCCTTCTGTCTCTCGAGAAATGTGTCCCGGGGCGTAGCGTGGCACCTAGGGAAGATAATGGAGTGCGGTGCTGCCTGCGCGGTCCCAAAGGGGCAGTCGATCATTGCCACCATACGTCGTGACTCTTTCGACCTTACCCCGGTGGCTCCAGGCGAGAGATGTACTCCTCTGTCGGTGGCTTCGCACACACTCTACGAAAAGACACGACCAGATCGTCTTCCTGGTCCAGGAGGAATATTAAGTTTAGATGCTGCCAAGTACAACCAGTTAACGGAGAAGACCACAAGGGTCTCCGGAGCAGAGTTCGTACCGACCCCATACCAGGTCAAACTGGAAGGTGTAACGCATCTCGGCTACCGCACAGTCTTCTTCGGCGGTATTCGGGACCCCATTTTGACCAGACAGCTCGGGGACTTCCTTGGAAGAGTCCGTTCGTACGTACAGGAACGATTCTCAGGCCTCGACAAGTCTGACAACTGCCGCCTGATATATCACGTTTATGGCCATAACGGTGTGATGGGGCCCCTCGAGACACAAACAAAAACAGATGCACATGAGATTGCGATACTCGGTGAAGTTGTTGCTCCTACTCAAGCTCTAGCTTCCACCATCGCCAACTACGTCAGAACATGCATACTTCATGCTCCGTATCCCGGCCAGATGGCCACGACAGGAAACTTTGCCAGTCCCTTATCACCACATGAACAAGAAGCTGGTGCCGTGTTCAAATTCAGCCTTTACCACCTAGTCGACCTCGAGGAAGGTGAGCAGGCTTCGCTGTTCCCAGTCAGCTTCCGGAAGATCGAGTCAACCCATGAACCGTCTCGCCCTGAGACAATCACAGAGGATCGGAAAGCCACACTGCGGAATGGCGCATTATTTCCAGTTTGTATGCATTACAATGCCGAAGTTTTATGTCCAGGTTGCTAAATGTCTCGGTGGTAGCAAAGAAGCAGGCCCCAAAGACAGATGCTAAGATGAGCGAGCTTGCTCGCGTAATCCGATCAAAAAACGCCGGTCCCTTCGAGCTGACGTTCGACATCTTGTTTGATGAAGATATTTACCAGAGGGTTCGTGACGCCAAAGTACTGGACAACAAGGTAATTCAGCGACTGTATGGCGTCGAAGAGGAGGACATAATGGTGAATATGTTCTATGAACCGGCTCTTGCCTGGAAGTGTACCATCAAGCGACCATGGGCCCAGGGAAGTATCGGGGAGAGAGACACGCTCGGAACACAGCAGCACGCGCCATTGCTGAGCATAGAAGTGCCAGGCATCAAGGTTGAACCACCTACTACCATTGGTACTCGGGACCGTGCTGGATTCCTTGCCGGGGATATTGTTCGCGAGATATGGGCGGGATTACAGCTCCCACATGGCGCCCTCGAGTCTCTCGAGCTCCCCGGGGATGATGGAAAGCCTGCGTTGCCTTCATCTTTCAAAATTGGGTCTCTGGCACAAGCCACTATCGCTGTTTCGGGGCTGGCTGCTTCTCTCATCCACTCACTGCGGAAATGCTGCCCCGTTCCAAACGTCACAGTCCCCGCAATGCATGCCACAATCGAATACAAATCAGAAAGGCTTTACACCCTCAATGGAAAACCAGCGCCGGACCCAGAGGGCCAGATCGGCGGTCTTCACAGGACCTCTGACGGGCATGTGCGCATTCACGACTCGTTTCCTCACCACCGGGATGGCGCTCTTCGGTTACTCGGATTACCATTGACTGCAAGTCACGCCGATGTGTCGGAGAAGACTGCAGAGTGGACAAGCGTGGACCTCGAGTCTGTTGGCCTTGATTCGCAGCTGGCAATTTACGCCTTACGCTCCTACACCCAGTGGGACGTACTTCCTCAAGCGAAAGCAGTTGTGGACTTTCCCATTTCCGTCCTTCAGATCGCCCCAGGACCGATTGGAATCCCACAACACCTGGGTCACGGTGATGACAAGTGCCTGCGGGGTCTTCGCGTGATTGAGATGAGCCGCGCGATTGCTGCGCCTCTAGCGGGCAAGACACTCGCAGCCCACGGAGCCGACGTAATATGGGTAACCTCGCCAAGCTTGCCGGCCTTGCCGGCCATGGATATTGAATTCGGGCGAGGAAAGCGTACTATCAAGCTCGATGTCCGTCGTGATCACGACTTGCAGAAACTTCTGGACCTTGTCCAAACCTGTGATGTCTTCATTCAAGGGTTCCGGCCGGGCACTTTGGCGGCCAAGGCTCTCTCGCAAGACGAGGTTGCGGCCGTGAATCCCGGGGTGGTTTACGCGAGCTTGGTAAGCAGCTTCTGGATACAATTTTCCCTCTTGAAGAAAAAGTTCCCCCTATCTGTGGTATACGCCAGGCAAAGAATCTGTCACGCTGCTGGCTTTGAGACAGGCTACGTCCATATTTCGGACCCCTTCATCCCCAACTTGTATGGGTTTTCCGAGTTTTGTCAGCTGATACCCAACTTTATAGTCTGCATTTGGACCTGGAGGCCCGTGGTCTAACCGCAGAGGATTCGACTCACTCGTCCAGACGTGCTCGGGGATGAATGTGTCCGAGGCGGAGCATCGTGGGGCAGGTGAGGCTGCGCGAGACACCCCGTGCCAAGCTTTGGACCACGCCAGTGGATATTTCCTGGCCTCGGGGATTATGGCTGCGCTATACCGACGATTCACAACAGGTGGTACACATTCGGTGCATGTGTCCCTGGCCGGAGTGATGAAATATCTTCGGACTCTGGGGCAGTACCCGGGCAGGTCGGGATTTGAAGCGCCCGATTTCGAAACAGCAGCGGATGTGGAAGACTACCTGGAGACACGCATGAGTGGCTTTGGGGAGCTGAGGGCGGTTCGGCACAGTGTGACTTTGCACGGGTGCTCAACATCGTGGGATATCATGCCCAGGCCCCTGGGGAGCGACAAGGCGGAATGGCTTGTGTGAGAAGTGCTGCTGGCTTCTTCGGATACCGTCCTACAGTTTGCTCCCAATGCCCTGTCTCTAGGAGAGTCGTCTGGGGCAGGCGCACAAGCACACCCGAAAAAGCCTTGCACTATCACATTGAGTTATCAGCAGGACTTAGCGAAGCACGAGTGGTGGATGTAACCTAATACTTGCCTGAGTCTAGTCAATTATCCTAGGCCACAAGCTTTTCAGGGACTGCAATCGTCTTCGAGCACTTTGGCGGCTCTGGAGCTAGTCATTTCTTTGCATTTGCTTGAATCTCACGCAAGAGTGCATTGTGTATGCCTTAGGATTCAGTGAGACCACGGCACATCTTGGCCTTTCAATTGAGGATCTGCTGATTTCATTTTTACTCTGTATACATCCCGAAGGTGCACGTGGCCCCTTTATACGGTAGCGAACGCTCTGAGACCTAGTGCTTAAAATGGATACAATGCCATTTTAGAATTTAGAAGACGTGCTATATGAACGACTCTTTGCTTTTGCTGGAATTCCTTGGACTGGGCTGAAGATGCAATGAGCAACTAGTCACATTTATTACAGATTGGGCGACTGTAACGTTATGAATGAGGAGCATTTGGTGGGAGTTTATTCTTGGGTCACAAAAAATGAGGAGGAGATTAGGTAGATAGTTTGAATGTTATTGAGTCCTTCTCCTAACTCCTGCTTTTGTGACGAAGAATTTGACAGCAACGCGCAGTTTTAAAAGTTTGTAGGTCATGAAGATTTCCAAATTATCATTTGCAGGAGTTTGGTTGCTCCTCATCTGGGCAGTTGACTTCACAAAATCATCGTAGGTCGTGACCTGTGGCGGCGAGGAATTAGTATCATCCAAACAATCCACCTAATGGAAGTGTTCAACTTACGCCCAAGAGCCTTGCCACGCTTAGATACTTCCTTGGCATGGTATGCCTTGATTTTAGCTCGCCGGGCCTCCTCCTTGGCCTCGAATTCAAGCCTTTTCATCTCTTCGCGGGCGTCTTTGACCTCCCGCCGCGCAAGTTCCAGAGCGCGATCGGCTTCTTTCTCTGCCAGTTCGGCGCTCATCATCCTCTCGCGCGCCTGGACTATGGAAGGATCGAGCTCCTCATTTGCCCCGAATTTGCGCAGGAGGCCGCTGTGGCCTGTCCTTGTTGACGTCGACCGGCTAAAAATGCTGCTGGCGCCGTCGTTGTGCGTGGGGCTCGTGCGATAGGTGCTGGATGTGCGACGCGTAGAGTCGGTCGCTTGGGTGGAAGTGGTTGGTGTTGGGGAGGGGTCACGGCGGAGGGAGCCGAGGAGGCCACCCCTCTTTCGTGGTTCCTCCTCATACTGAGGCTCGGGAGGCGGGAGCTCCTCTTCGGGCTCACGACGTGTGAAGAAAGGCATCTTGGTGGTTTACGGTATCTGGGGCACGTGTGCGTGGCGTCGGTACTTGACGGTGGGGCTTGTGTGGGAAGGGCGGGTGGTTGAAGCAGCCCAGCCCTTGGCCGGGTGATCAGTCCCTTTTCATGGATTCTCGAGCTGCCACCATCGTACGGTCTGCCACTCCAGCGTCCCCGGTGGTGCCCTTGGTGCCTCATCAAACCTGCTTTTGGACTTCAGGGTCGTTGGCGATCGGCAGTGACGTCAGACCATTCCAGCCAATAGAACAACACGGTGCCCAGTCGGCCACACCCGATCAGGACAGCCAGCGACCCCTAAAATAAGCCAGCCAATATGCAGGGTCCAAACCAGCCAGGGGGTACATCATCGCTGCTGGCTTCCCGTGTGCGATGATAGCATGGCTGAAACCATTTGATGTTGCTTACCGCTCGAGTGGTGCCGCCAGCGACGCAAACGATCGTCAGCTGCGACGCTGAGACTTTGACGCAGCAAGGCACGGAGCAACTGAGCATGAATCTGTCCTGGCCACGGACGAGCTCGTCCAAGATAGAGGAATGATCTCTGCTCGGATGGCTCGTATTTATCGTAGCCACAACGCCGCCACCCCCTGCTGACTGACACCTTAGCTAGCAGTTCATGATATCGTATGGCGATGGACTAAACCGCAGGTCAAAGGGCCAAAGCATCTGGCGGATCTTGCCTGCTGCAGGGAAAATCATGACCTGCACAGTTTACATTCACATTGGATGCGTACTGACATGGACTGGGAGTCAAATGCGGTCGTGCGGCTTGTATCTTGGGGACCTTACTTTGGTGCTCGATGAGGCCTGCCCTTCTTGAGATGTGCTTGTTGGCGGACAACACTGAGATATCGTTTCAGGGCCCGGGACTTTCCACCAAATTAAATGGTATTCCATTTTCTTTGCACCACTTAGCGACAACCAGGCTTCGCCTACAAGTATCCAGACGCTGAGGATCATCCAGAATATTTGAAATGTTGGAAGAAAACATACAGCTCGAGTTATTGGTGCTTCTTTGTTGCAGCTTTGGCGGTGCGGGCCACATGGACAGCAAATACCACACACGGCAAACTCGACCCTGATGGGGACAAGGCGAGAAAGCCGATTGAATAAGCCCCGGACCGACCGGAGCCGTGAAACGTGGGGTTTGACCCATACCTTGTTCGGGTTCCTGATTGTCAACCTACTAACGCGCGTTTAAGCATGTGAGGCCTCGCTGCACGCCAACCAGAAACTTTAACGTGATGTCGGTAGTTCTCAAGTGCTAGCACCTGTGGAATGGGATCATGTTGAATATCGATCTTCATTTCGGACTACCACGTACCGGAGCATTCATTGCGGTGACCCCCAAGCACGTTGAATTTACCCCGGACTTCCAAGGTTGGAGGGACGCGCCCGACCTGCCGACGGGGACGCAGCACACTTATTGCAACCTCCCTCGGCCGCCAAAGAAGGCCCGACTTTGAGGTCCTGGCAACGTTCGAGATCAACAACTGCAGTTTCCAGTCTTTGCCTATGATGACAGAGACCTCAAAGGGCCGATTCCTGATTTCCTATTCTGTACTTTCGGTGCTTGGTGCCGGTGGCCAATTCTATCGAGTCTCTCAGCATGTCGGCTACGAAGAGGTGCTAGACCAAGTTGAGAACTTTTACCGAAAATCCGGAATGAGGCCCGAATATCAAAGCGCCAGGGGAAAATGTCAGGAGAGGAAGGTTGCATCCTGCTACTAGCATCACCAAACTACAGACTGCTTTAACAAGGTGTGGCTCGGCTCTACCCCGTGGGGGGGGGGGGGGTGCAGAGCTTCAAAGTTGACTGGTACGGCTTAGCGAGAACAGGAGTCCCGAGTCACACAGTTGCAGTAGACTGACCGACTCGCGATGGGCCGTTGCTCATATGATGCAGCAAAGATGCAGTCCCAAATACTTTGTTATCTCTAACACACAGACCTCCTTAAGCCCGCACCTTTAACCATAAACTCCCCACCCATTCTAAATAGGGAGTCTACACCTAAAAATATTAGTAACTACTAAGCCTTATATAAGTATAGCTAAAAGGTAAAAGATAAAAAGTAGGTAATAAAGGTCTATAACTAAAATATAATTATAATTATAATAAAAAAAGAAATTATATTTAAATAAACCTTAATTTATTTATATTATTATTAATTTAATTATTTATTATTATATATTATTATTTTTAAAATTATTTTAATATAATAATTTATTTAATATTACTTTTATTATATATATAGCTATATATATTAAAAATTATAATTAATTTATATTTTAATAATTATTAAAATAGTTTAATTTATATTATATTTAATATAAATTAATAATAATTAATACCTTTTAATATAATTATATATAAAATAATATATTTAAGTTATTAAACCTTTTAAATATATTAAACTTTCTTATATTTAATTAATTAATAAACTAAGATTATAATAATATTAAATATAATATTAAAAATATTATATAATTTAATTTTAAATATAAATTTATTATATATAATAATTACCTTTTAAACTTTATTAAAAGTAACTTTAATAATAAAAAAGTTAAAAAAACTATTTTAATATTATAATAATATTTTTAAAGATATTATTTTTAAACTTAAAACTATAAAAAATTATATTATAATATATATAAAAATAAAAGGAAATAAAAATTAAATATATAATTTTTAAAGTTTTTAATTAAATAAATATATAAATTATATTAAAAATATATTTTTATTAATATATTAAATAATTTAATTATTTATAATTTTTAAATTAATAAATATTACTATTTATAAATTTAATATTAATATAATTAATAATTTAATTATAATAATAAAAAAGAAATAGTTATTTTAAAAAAGGTTTATTTTAAAGTTTAATTTATTTAAAAATAATTAATTTTTAACTATATAATAATATAGTTTAATTATTAAAGTTAGCTATTAATATTAATTATTTATAATAAAATATTAATTATATATAAATAAATTTAAAGGAAAATATATTAATATTTACTATTTTTATTATAACTTTTAAAACTAAAAACTAAATATTAAATTATTTAAAATTTAACTACTAATAAAAAAGAAAATATAAATAATTATAATTATTTTCTATTTAATATATAACTTTATATATAAAAATAATTTATTTATTTAAAAGGTTATAGGGTTATATTTTATATTAAATAATATAAATATATAAGTTATTAATACTTTTATTAATAAGTTTCTTTTATATAAACTTTTACTTTATATTAATAGAAAGTTTACTATTTTTAAGGGCTTAATTAATAAATATAAATATAAATATTTATTTTTTATTTTATATTAAAAGCATTATTAGATTATAAATAAAATAAAATATATTTTTAATTTATAATAAATTTTTATTTAATTTAAATAAAAGTTTATTATATTTAAATATAATATTTATTATTAATAAAATATTTAATTACTAATATTTTTAAATTTTAATATTTATTTTTTATTAAATTATATATAAAATATTAAATTATATTTAAAAATAATTAAATATAACCTTTATTATTATATATATAATTTAAAAATAATTATTTAATATAATAATTTTAATTATTTTAATAAAATTTAAAACTTTATTAATAATAAATAAAATTACTTTATTAACCTATAACTATTATTTACTTTAATATATTTAAATAATAAAGTAATTATATTTAATAAATAAATTTTAACTTATAATATAAGTTTATTATAACTATAATTTAATAATATTTTTATAATATTTAATTAACTTTAATTAAATATTAATATAGCTTATTTTAAGCTTTATTTATAAACTTTTAAGTAAAAGGAAAGAACTTAATATTAAAGCTTCCTATTATTAATTATATAAATATATACTTTTATTATATATTATTTTTAAATAAAAGTAATTTATAAAAATAAAATAAAATATTAAATATATATAATATTTATAATAAATTATTTAAAAATATTTATATTTTAATAATAAATTTTATAAAATATATTTTTAATTTATAATAATTATAAAACTATTAACTATATATATTATATTAAAAATAACTAATAAAAATTATAAAATATATATAAAAATATTAATAAATAAAGGCCTTTTACTAACTTTTATATTAAGCTTAATTATATTAAATTACTTTTAAAACTATTATAATATTAAGAATTTAATAATTAAATTTAAGATTATAATATTCTATAATATTTAAATTTTAACTTAAATTAAATTTATTAATAAAAAATATTAAATATTATAAAGTTATATTACTTTTATTATAATTTAAATACTTAACTTATTACTTTAATTATTTATAATTTATTTATATATAGCTTAATAATTAAAAGGATAAATTTAAATTTAATTATTATAAGTTTTATAAAATTATAAAAATATTTTAATATTATTTTAAATAAAATTTTAAATAAAATTTAAAATTTAATTTTTAATATAAAAAATAAATTAATAATTATAAAAATAAAATATTATTAATATTAAATTCTATAATTAATATTAATATATATAATATATTAAAATATTATTAATTTTTAATAAGTAAACTAATAAGGTAACTATAAGTTAATTTATAATATTATAATTTAATTATTAATATTTTTTAGGAAGGTAAGTTATATAATTATAGGCTAGAAATACTTAATATAATATAGCTTTTAAATAAGAAATTATATTTAAGTAATAAGTTTAAAATAATATTTTTAAAGTTAGTATAATTAAATATATTACTATTAAATATAAGTTTAAATTTATTAATTAAGCTAATAAGTATATTAATTATAATTATATTAATAATATTAAATATAATAAAAACTTAATATATAATATTTAATTAACTTTTACTTAATTTATATAATATAGCCTATAAATAGTAGCTATTTAAAAGGCTATTAAGTAATTTTAATTAATATTATAAAGGGTTTATATATTAAGTAACCTAATAAATAATATTTTTAATATAATTAAAAGTTATTTTTAATAATATATTTAAATAAATATTAAATTATAAAGAGTTTAACTTTTAAATATATAATTAAAAATAAAAGATATTATTTAATTAGCTAGATAAATAAAATAAAATATATTTAAAGTTAAAGCTA